ACGGAATTTTAAATCCTTTTTTAAATTCTCATTAATTGGGCGTTTTGAATTATACGCTTTTTTAAGTTTGAGTTCTGCTGGCAAAGAAGATGCCGCAGATCCAGATTTTCTCGTTGTTTTTTTTGTTTAACATTAATACACTTCCATTGGCTATCAGAATATGAATGTTTATAAAAAAACATGAAAGGTTGTTACCTTTCTACTTTTACAATTTTAATCTGGGATAAGTAAACCTGTTCATTTTCAACATTTTTATCGAAATGATTAACAATATCTGTTGTTAATTGTTTGACATCCATAAAGTCTTTGTGTGTTAATTCTTTAATGGCAAATGGTTTTTTCTGTTTTCTCGAATTTCTTATAACGCTGATAAACTGTTCAGGTGTGTATATTGGATCGAGCCTTACGGATTTTTGCAACTAAGAAACAAAATCATTTCAATGAAGTATAAATTTATGTAAGTTTCGGAAGTTTTCGAGAACAGTTTTATAGGAAAAAAAAAACCTCTTTTTCAATTGTAGAATGTGTGCTGTCTCCTTCATTTTGCGTGTGTCCGGCAATAAGGAATTTATGAGAAATGCTCTTTATCTTGAGTACTTATACAGCATACATTAAATAAGCAATCATGTATCTGAAACAAAATAAACACCGTTTGATATTTATTTGTTCACAAAATTAAAAGTACTTACTTGTTTTCATTCTGAGCTCCGCAGTTATCACTATAAAAAGTAATTTCCAAGTCTTCGTTATTGACGGTATTTGCCTTCTCTGCCAAGTACTTAAAAATGCAAGACGTTACTTCAGTAGCACCTTTTCCTCCTTCCCCTTCATGCCAAACAAAACAACAGGAGTGTTCACTTTCCATTTCAGTTACAGTTAAATTCATTACATTTATTTTGGATTTATAAGAAAATATTGATATCTCTCCTTTTGGTAGAGGCAAAACCACTTGCATATCAAAACAGTCAACTATAAATTTTTCGCTTATTTTACTTTTGTCACAAGCCTTTCCTTCTCTGGACTTTTTTTTTCAGATTGATGTTTTTCATAATCATTTTTAAGTGCTTCCTTTATTTGATCAGTTGCATGTTTATATTGGTAACAAAGGCTGCACTGATCTTTCTTTGGCTTAAAAAAGGATACATTAAATTCTTGATTAAAAATATCTGCGTACATGTGATATTTTCCAAAAGGTCTTTCAGACTCGCATATATCTTTATAATCTCTGTATATGTCAGCAATACACTTGCTTCCATCAATAAACTCTTTTGTGGTTTGTGCTCTCAAATAATGCGATCCAATTCTGGATATAGAATTAATGTGGGTTTGTATATAATTTTTTATCTCTTCGTCCAGTTTTTTGTGATTTTTATGTTTTCCTCTCAAATCAAAATGGTTCTGTCATTTATATCCAAGGTATTTTTGAAAAACATTTTACACACTCGCATTTTTTTACCTTCTTCGGTATGAAAGTGAAAGGAATAATTTGGTCTTCTTTTAACATCTTTTAATCTTGTATTAGGTGGCATTAATTCCATGTGCTTCAGAAAGAAATCCCTTTTTCTATTAATATCTGGCAAATTATAATAGTCCGTGAATATTAGATTTTGCTGAATTTCGGCGATTTTAGTAGAATATTTAAAAATGCAACTTGCCTTACCAAAAAACTAAAGGTACCCTTTACTTTTTTTGCACGTATTATCTTTTTAGACTTGGCAGAGGATATGTAATCCTTTCCCGCATTACGTAAGATCTTGGCTTTCGTTTTTATGTGTTCTCTCTCATGTCGTTGTCTTTTTCTTGTTAGTTTTTTTGAAGGGTTAGCTGCAGGTTCGGGTTCAATTATTTGTGTTCCTCCATTTTCGTTTTCTTCTTCATCCGATGAACTTGCTGATGAAGAACTTGATGAGCAGGTACTACAACTTGAAGCTGAGGAAGACGAGGATGAGGAGTTTACAAAATTAGGATCTCTTACGTTATCGTCAATATCCTCTTCAAATTCAGACAATGAGTTGCTACTTTCATACTTGTTGTAAGTATTATTATCATTAGTATGGGTATTCGCAATACTTTCAAACTCGATGGCCAAACTATTTTGGTGCATATCAGTAATGTTGCTGGTTTCAGATAAATTATTTTTCGTCTCAGCAGTAAACTCGTGACTATGACTCGTTGCTAAATCCGTATCCATATTCTGAGAAGTGTGATTTAAATTTCTGTCCCGATCTGATGGTAAGCCAAACTCTGGTTCATCAAATGGCGCAATAAAAAAAAATCAGGACTGGATCTCTTTTCTGGGATTTTCGCATCATCTGCCATAAAATTTTCTTTTTTTTCAAAATCAACGTAGTTATCTTCAAATTTTTGAAAATTGGAATCAGGCAGAGTTTCAGTATTTTTGTTTGCATCATTCTTTTTACGCAATGAAGCCATAATGCGTTCCGTTCTAGTGTTATAACAAGGGATGCGTGTTGACATCTGAAATCATACATTATCCCCTTTTAAACTATTAAAAAAGTTGGTTTACGTCGAGACGTAAACCAAACGAAACCGAAACGTAAACCGAATGAAACCAAAACAAAACGAGACCGAAACGATATTTTTACACTTACTTGATTCACTTTGCATAAAACCAATACCCATCTGTTTTAAGTTAAGAAAAATTTAGCTTTTTTATTGTAAAAATGTATTAAGAACTTATAGCACCTTTTTCAAATTTAAAATTTCGTTTTATAAAAAAAATATTTGATAGAAAAAGGTATCATCAATCTAGGATAATAATAGCCACCCGCGAACATAATTGAAGAATAACGCATTATCCTCATATAATACACCTATCCATAAAAAAAATCATAAAATTTTTCATATTACCCGCGCAAAACTGTATTAAACTAGAATAATGGGGTCTTCTACGGATAAAATAGAATTTTCTTACCTTACCTTTCCTTGACAATTCAAGGAAAAGCGTATCAAAGACAAATAATATGCTTTTCTTCGGAAAATTATAAGAAATTTATATCGCACAGTACACAATCTTAATACTTAATACACTTTTCTTCAGAAAATCAAAAAATCCCGTACTACGCAGGATTTTGGCAATAGGACGTTTTACCTAGCACGTTAGGGTAAAGTAGAACCCTAAAAAGTGTTGTTTTTGGCAAAACATTAAAAATTGTAATTTTACTACTTAATACGGTTTTCTTATGGATGTGGGATATTCTTTTCTCATCGTCTCCTTTAACTATAATGTGGTGTTCGTGGACAAGTAACAACTTTTTTATTTTTAACTAGAACATCCTGTATATTAACTTTTTAGATATAGATATAGACAATCTTCAATTTTTAAGTTAAAAGCGACCTACGAGCATTACAGAAGCGTCACCATTTTGTCAATTTCAGTTAATATGAGTATAGCATTTTCGCAATGGAAAAACATTTTTTTTTTGTAAATTTGGTGATTTTAGTAATAAAATATTTTGATTAATTTATTTTCAATAAACTGTTTTTAAAGATAAAATACAACAAAATTGTGGAACCTTGGTGTTTACATTAAAAAAGATGTTTCAAAGTATTTTTCCATTTAAAATTTTAATTTTAGGTTTTGATCACCCTGTATTTATGTATTTTTAAAATATCAACACAGTCACTTCTATAAGGAAATTAACTCCAGTTTCAGTTCGAGAAATCAATGGATATATTTATACCCTCAAACATCAGTTTTGACATGAAAATATTCCCAAAATGGCGATGTTAATTTGTTTTTATTTCTTTTAGTGATATTATAGGTTAGGGAAGAAATATCGAAATCGGATTTTCAGTAGCGTGTTATTTGCAATAAAAGTGATACCATTGCATTTAATGTTTTTGAGAAAATAAATTGTTTTTGCTAGTGATGTCGCAAAGCGGCCTCTAACGGCGATACAAGCAATCGAAACCAATTTGCTCAGGGCACCGTTGATGGCCTAAGAACAGCCCTTTTTAAATACCCCAAGTTTCACAAAACATGTTCAACCATTCTGAAGTTAATGACATTTATTGCTGAAAATGTTTGGACATTCCCCACTGCTTTCCCTTGAGAAGTAGAACAAAAAAAATTGTTATTTGCAATATAAGTTCATGGAACATGAAATTTTCAAAAATTGAAGAATGCGATTCCGCCTCCTGGTCGCCATTCTAGAACCTTATAATTTTGCCAGCATTTTCTCTTGGCCGCTTTAGTCATTAGTTTTTTCAGGCCAAGTCTTTACGACAATTACTTTTCGAGATAAGGCCGAGTGCCCATCTTAATTGGCCACCTTGATTACATAAGTATATAATTAAAAAAAAAAAATGCAGTTTGATATCTTGTATACGTCTTCTTCGTCTTCGCGCAAATGCAAGATTCCAAATTTAGCCTGTGACCTTTAAGTATTGACGTTATTGTATTTCGTGCCGGACCCATTAAAACTAAACCACTTCCGTTATCTCTTTCCCGTAATAATTAGTGCATCGTCTGCCGCATGGAATTACTTTAATCTGGCAGGGCCTCCTCTGCAATCTGTAATTAATAGAAACGGTAGCGACGAATCGCATGTGCCGCGCACGGTCTGGATGAATTGTTTCCGTGACAAGTTAGAATTTCGCAATAGCAGGGTTCGCAATGATTTAATGGGGATCTTATTTCGTTACTGGGACTCTTGCTGGTATATAATTAATTGTCTTTGTTGCGATTTAACCCACCCAGCACTGTAGTTTCACAAAATTATTATTTTATCCAGTGCGATACATACAAACATTCATTCGCGCAAACGATTAATCCGTTGGCAAGATTTAAATGTATAAAAGCAAAGAGTAAAAGTGATATCAGTCCAGCTAAACTCTCAGAGCCATCTCTCGGTGGAACAAAAATTTTGTGTCAATATTTCTGTTCAAGAAGAAGCAGTTTTCTATACCACCTTTTTAATGTTAAAGTCTACTCTGATGTCATCGTCGATCGTTTCATAGCAGCGGCGCAGGCGCATAACCTCGTCTGTCAGAAAGTGCTTCATAACCGGGATCTGTCATTGAAAAGTGGGAAAAGAAATTTGGTTTGCCAGTGAGTTTCCAAGCAATTTCGTATTTTTAAGTGATATAGGTTTAGAATTATGCTGAAACAAGAGCAAATTTTGCACATCGAACCTCAGAATGATCTTAAGTTTACAGGTAAGTCCCGTGCGCGTAATATCGTCATTGGTCTGGGACGGGTGATCAAATGTTGGCTTCCTCTGGCAAAGTTGGATTTTAACTGAATTTTTGGATTTCTAACGTAAATATTATAGTGCATGAAGAGATTTTGTTAAATAGCGATACCAATAAGGGTGTGACTTATAACCACGAGGTAGAATATTTTTGCAATATCAACTCGCTAACATTTTTAGAGTTTCGGTTCTAAATGCAAAGGTCTATTGCATTAAATTGACTAAATTTCCTTGACTTACCACCGTGCTGCTTAACACAGTGATGTTCATTTACGACATTATTTTTTATTTACTGGCAGCCTTTAATTACTGTGAAGGAGCTGTTTTTATTTCGTTAAATTGTAGAATCAATGGTATTTCCAAAAATTAAATTAGATAATTCTAGTCAAAAAATATAAGTGTATAATTTTGGTTTACCTACCTAATTTACAAATTTGAGGAATTAATTATTCTCTGGAAGAGTTACAAATTTTGATTGGTCTAAATAATCATAACTTAATACAATATAGCATATCAAATGTTTTTTTCTGTGAACCCTTTTTAAGAAAAATGAACTGGGATAATGGTTGTTGGGAGTTGCGGTTGTGTAGCAGTTTTTGTCCTCCATTTTATTTTTAGTAGATTTTTAGCTACTTTTAATTTTTTTATATTAAAATATGTAACTAGGGCCATTCAACGTCCCTGTAACGTCGTACATGAAGCTGACTAACCCGTCAGATCAGAAAGTTTTATTTAAAATTAAAACCACAGCCCCGAAAAAGTATTGCGTCCGGCCAAATTCCGGAATACTAGATCCAGGAAAATCAACAGAAATAGCAAGTATGTAAATGTTTTAAACTTGAAGAGGAAGTTAAATTAAGCTTTTGTTTTTCATTTACAGTTTGCCTGCAACCTTTTGTCTATGACCCAGCTGAAAAAAACAAGCATAAATTTATGGTTCAAACTACTTTCGCTCCGGAGCATGGCGACACCAACCTAGAACAGATATGGAAAGAAATCAGCCCAGAAAAACTGATGGACTCTAAATTGAAGTGTGTTTTTGAATTGCCTCCAGAAGAACTAAACCAATCTGAGACTCAACATAGATCAGGGAACACAACAGAGTCGGGTGAGTTTGGAACCAGTGACCACCACTCCAAACCAGCCAAGGTTAATGCCGAGGTGGATATTGAGCTGGACAAAGCAGTAAAGGAAGTTCAGCAACTTAGAGAATCTGAAAGCGAGTTGAGGCAAGAAAATCTTCGTTTGAAGGAGGAGATTTTGATTTTAAAGAAACAGAGGGGTCTGGCCACCCCTAACAGATATGCGCCCCCTGTGGAGCAACCTCAAACTATGTTATTGGTAGGAGTAGCTATCATTGTAGGTAAGTTGATGTTGAAAAGTGGAAATCAAATCAAATCTAACCAAAACAATATTTCTACTTTCAGGGTTGTTGGGCTTCATCTTTGGGAAATATGCGCTCTGAAACGATAGGCCTCCATCATCCCACTACAACACTCCACTGTAATGTATATTTATTAAAAATTTCAAAAATACATCTTATAAAAATCAGATTAACAGTAACTCTTGTATTATACATTTTGGAGAAATTCTGTGGGCATTTTTAGGCCGGGCCTTTTAGTAGATTTATATCTTTTAATTTCAATCAAAGCTATGTGAACAGTGAAAACACTATTTCAACAAAAAGTGTGTGTTGTTTTTTTGTAACAGGCATTTTATTACTCGTTTAGTTTCATTTTTGTACATATAAAGCTAGTAATGTATAAAATACAAAAGAAAACAGTATTCTGCTCGCTATTTGCTCTCGTCCTAAAATTTTCTTTTTAACGACTTACGACAACTTTGCCCGTCAAATTTTCGCAATAACTTTTAATTTCGTACATCGAACTAACATAAAAATGGGGACGGCCACGTTTGGCAACAGTGCAATCTGCAGCTTCTAATCGGCAGTTGCCGGATTTGTCATATTGCAAACAGCCTATTGCCATACGTCGATTAGTTTACTTTGATGTGTAGGGTAAGGTTGAGAGTTATATTGACTTCAGTTAAATAGACCACCGTTATTAATGAGTAAGGCATTTCTTTCTTGTAACCTTCTATGTTATAAATTGTTTTGTTTTACTTGTCTTAATATAGGAACTTTAATTTGAAAGTATTTTTGTTCATTGTGGGACAGGGGTTGGGACGAAACGGCAGGCACAAAATTAATCAACAATTTTAATTATTAATTTTTCAAAGAAACTTCCACAGGCTACTGTAATATTTTTTACAAAACTTCTGGATTCCTCCTGCGTCGGTTTTTGCTGAGTTTCGCCAATCATCCTGTTGGCTTCTTCAAAGCTTGACTGAAACTGGCTCGCGTTTTACTCTGTACCTGCTTATATATTATTTGAGGGAGGCGGAGCTAAATGAGGGGCATAAACACCGTCTCGGATGACTGATTCCCAAATTGGTGACAGGTAAAGACCTGAGTGGCGGTTAAGATTGTTAGGTTGTTTATAGATTTCTATAGACTATCGGATTTCGGATAGAGAAACTGATTACATGCAAGAATTTTAGTTTTATCGAAAAAAATTTTGTCTGATTTCATGGGTGTTTTCGGCAACAGCTGATGAGTTTATTTATCTTAGTCGTAAGGTTCTTTCGTGTTCTTTGAGCCTAGTTGGTATTTTTCGTCCGATTTCTCAATTGGAATTTTGTCTTTGACGGACCGAAGATGTTGAGAGATTTTTGGACAAGTGGTAATCTGGTTTTGACGTTATACTTCTTTAGAACTTTTGATATGTGATCAGTGTTGTTTTGAATGTAAGGAAGGACCACAGTGGCAAGTGTAAGATCGCTTTCGGCCTCATTGCTATTGGAAGGTTGTGGTCAAGTGTATTTTTTAATGGAGCACTTAATATCTTTAACGTGGGAATTATTAGAGAGAAGAGCAGAGGTTAGGTGTTTTAATTCTGTTTTCAGAGACTCGAGCTGAGATAGTTTTACGGCTCTGTAAACAAGAGAGTTGATAACCGATGATTTTTGGGCTGGATGGTGATGTGACCATGCATTAAGGTATCGGTCTGTGTACGTAGGTTTTCTGTAAACACAATGACCCAATGTTAGGTCTGATTTTCTATTGATAAGAATATCTAAGAATGGATGGTTATTATTAGTTTCCAACTCAATGGTAAAACGTATGTTAGGGTGTACAGAGTTTAAATGTCTAAGAAAATCTACTAGGGTCTCTTGCCATGAAGTCAAATAACAAAAGAATCATCGACGTAGCGTTTCCATGATTTTGGTCGAGAGCTTTCTTCTCAAAGGCGATGACGGGTGATAGTGGAGAATCCATAGCTGTTCCCGACGTGTATTCAAAAATTTGACCGTTATAAGAAAAATATGTTCCTGATGGTTCCAAATTCTCGGATTTTAATATATCTGAAATGATTTCAAGAGTTTCAGGAATAGGAAATATGGTAAAGAGGGATTCTACGTTGAAACTAGAATATCTCTTGTATCTAATGTAATGCTTTTTAATTGTTCAATGAAGTGAAAGGAATTAAGTACGAAACTGTCAGTTTTCCCTGTAAGGGGTTTTAATAAGGAAGCTAGATATTTTGCTAGAGAATATGTTGGAGGGGTAACAGATTTTTTCACGGAGTCTGATAGAGAAGAAGCCTTAATAGATTTGAGGTTGCGATCCATAGTTGATGTAGGATCTTTTTTAAGTTGACCATATGATCCGTCTGTAAGAATATCTTGAATCTTTTCCTGATATTCATTTGTGTCCATGACTAGCGTAGTATTTCCTTTATCTGCTTTTAGGATTACGACGTCTGGATTGGATTTTACAGATTTTAGGGCAATGCGTTCAGGCTTTGCAATATTGGATTTAGGAGGTTTTGATTTTTTAAGAATTTTTGCGGTTTCAAATCGAATTTCGTTAGCTGTTTGAGATGGCAGTTTGTTTAGGATAGACTCGACATTTGAAATGATTTCCTCTTTTGGGATAATATGGGTGGACGAAGTTGGAACCTTTTGAAACTACTAATTTTTCCGTTTCCGAAAGTTGGTGCGATATACATTTATTACAGTGTTTGGTAGTTTAAAAGAGTTTGAAGGCCCCCCTCAAACAATATATAAGCAGATACAGAGTAAAATACGAGTCAGTTTCAGTCAAGCTCTGAAGAAGCCAACAGGATGATTGGCGAAACGTCAGCAATTTTGACTCAGCAAAAACCGACGCAGTAGGAATCCAGAAGTTTTGTAAAAAGTAATTTTAATTATTAATTATTAAATGGATATTTTTGTTAGTTTTGATGAAGTTTGGGTCAATCTTACTATTGTGCATTCAAAAATATAAAATTAAAATTTGATGTGGCAAATATCCTGCACCTGAACGTGGTACTTATTCATTTCAAATATACAAGGTGCTTCGCAAATATTTGGCTTGTTCTGCAGATTCATATTTTTTCGGCTCTAACTTTTGAATTGTTTTGTATAATTTAATAAAGTTTTAGTATTCTGTGTAGGACATGGAGATTCATAAAACCATACTGCAGTAGATGTTTTGAGTCAAAATTTTGACAGGTGTCATTTAACAGAGCTAAAAAAACCCTTCAGACCTAGCACCAAGTTGGTAAGTTTGGGGTCAATAGGTATTTTTAGTTCCTGAATTAAAAAAGCATAAATAAAATTACCTAGTCCTTGGCGAAATATTTTTCGTCGAACAAATTTGCAAATGGACTTAACAATTTTAATCTAATTAGAGATAAGTTAGACTCGTATCACTACACATAAATTTGCCACATTCCAAGGCATCTGGATAACGTTTGTTAAAGGTATTAATAAAAAAAAAACGATTAGAATTTGTTGCCAATTAGGGGCATGCAATGAATTGTTTTTTTTTTCTCGAAAATGAAAAAGTTTAAGAGACAAAAGTATTGCACCTTTTAAATTTTTCGAACATTGTTTCTGTACACCCTGTATATGGGTTGCTAAAGTTACTTTTAGCTTACAACATTTTTTAAAATTAACACTAAACGTCAGGAAGTCAAAGAAATTAACCATGAGAACTAAAATACTGCCTCTTGTTGCAAATATTACTTTGTAAATGTCATTTTATTTCATTATCTTTTCCTTTTAGATCACCATGTAGTACCCATATTATTCACAATACCCATAAGATAGGTTCTAGGGTACTTTACCCTAATGTCACAATGTGAAAATGGCGCCCAGAGGATAACAAAATATTTGTGATAGATAAAATTTCTACTTAACGTTTTTTACCATAATATCCTCCATCTTTGGCAATGGAGCCTTAAATTTAGGATCAATATTAATAAAAATTGATAAGGAGACACCCAGTACACGTAGTACCTAACAGGAAATAATTATAACTTTATTGTAAAAAAAAATTATAAATGGTTAAAAAGAGAGACATAGGGAGGAAGAGAAGCAACAGTTTATTAAAACTATTATTACTTAAAACCTAGAATTGCTTAATTTGGGCTGGAATGTTTTGTGGAACTTGTTGAGGTTGCTGATTTGCAATGGGCACATGATGTTGCAGAGGAAGTCCTTGAGCATTCTGCTGTTGATTAGCTTGATGAGGAGCTTGGTGCTGTTGATTTGGAGGTACTTGGTATTGTTGATTATCCAGAGCTTGGTACTGCTGTGGAGGAAGCTGGTTTTGGGATACTTGTTGAGGAACCTGTTGACCCTGCGATGCCTGATGATGCTGTTGGGATACTTGTTGAAGAGTTTGACTTTGAGGTATCTGTTGATACTGCTGTTGAATCTGCTTTGGGGGATGATTTTGAGCCATCTGATATTGTTGGTATTGCGGGTGATTTGGCAACTGCTGTAAATTTGTGTATTGATATAAAATAGTTAGGAAATTGCTAGAAATATTTACTCCTACCTGTTGGGGCGGCATCTGCGGCATTTGGCCTGGATGGAATTGCCCTCCTTGCTGGTAAACAGGCGGCACTTGCTGATAAACACCTTGCCCAGCTTGTGAATCGAAAGCAGCAGGATGTGGAACTTGGTAACCATGTTGAGGTATTTGGTTCCTCTGGTGATGGACCCGGATATATTCATTTAATTCCTCATCAGTATATGGTCTAGTTTGTTCATCTAAAGACTACAAAAAAACATAATGCAATTTGTGAAAGCAGCAGGTAATCGACTCTACCTGCCACCCATGGTCCTGCTTGAAGTCATTACTATTGGTCTGCCTCATAAACTCGTTGAAGTCTATAAATCCATCCCGGTTAGCATCCATCTCTTGAAATACTGTCTCTCTCATTCGCTCCATCTCTTCCACTCTTTCCCTCATGTCATCTTCTGGGGCACCTTCTTGGTACATTTTGTCTAACTCCTTGATGAAAAGGGCTTTTACCTGAAAAGGTATTTATTTTAAACTAACATTTTTAGAATTTAAACCAATCCGGACTTCCTCCTGATCCCAAAGCCCATTTCCATCGACATCGTGTAGTAGAAAGAAGGTTTTTGGATTAAACTCCTGCTGCATTTGGTCCTGTTCTTGCCACACCTCTTCCAATTGTGCTTTATGGCCTGGTTCATGAAGCTTTTCATGTTTTTTGTGTTTTTCTTCCATTTCCTGTAAAGTATAATTTGTTACAAGAACTAAAATCAAAACAATCTTTTTATGCCCCAAATAGTTACAGCTTTTCTATGAACTAAATTAAACTATATATGATAAATATTGCAGTAGTTCAAATGAACAAAAATATTTAACTAAATATGTAGTGCATAACATACCCTAAATATAAGCAATAATTAAGATCTATTATTTCAAAATAGAATATAGTTATTGAAATTGAATGTATGAAAAATTTGCATGCTCTAATTGCCTTGTATTAATACAGGCAAGGTACCTTGTATTGTTTCTCAAGTTTTTCTTTCTCTTCTCCATTAGTGTGGTTTAATTTTTCAATTTTTTGATACTCTTTTTCCATTTCATACTGTTTGAAATCTTCACGGCGCTTCTTATCTGCTTCAGCCAAATCTTGGGTGGTTTTGGCAATCAATTTTTTTAAATCTTCTATTTCAAAGGTGTGTGGGTTGCTGTGGTCCAAGTGATGATGAGTTGGGTCCTCATGAATGTCGTTTGAGTCACCCTGCTCAAACTGCATTTTCTTCGCCATCAGTTCTTTCAGGCGTTGAAGTTCAACTCGTTTTATTTCGTCCAATCTATTTCTGACATGGTGCGACACAAACTGCAACTCCTCTGCTATCTTGCCTGATTTGATCTCAGTTTCGTCAGCTTTTTCTAGTTTCTTTCGGAATTCTGGATCAGATTCCAAGGCATTTACCACTTCTTTAAGGTATCGGTGGTATTCCATAATATCTTCCAGCCCACCAATGTTTGAATCGTCTTGGTGCTCGGTAGCTTCGGTGTCGTTTCCTTGTTTATCTTGAATCACGGGTGGAGCGACACATATTTGCAATGATAATAGTAAGAGAAGAACTAATACCAAGTAGCGTTCCATTCTAAAACACAAAAAACATGGGAGCAACAAAAAGTTGATAATTAAATGTAACTAACTTGTCCAACTAACTTTAAGCGAACAACTTTTGAGCCGTAGTAATCACTTCTCAAATCTAATTGTTAAAAAAAGGTCTTTTAGTACTATTTAAGATTATTTAACAAAAACATTTTGCGAAACTTTAGAACACGTCATGTTATTATTATATTAACCAATACGTTGTTCCCTCGCTTGAAACGTTAGCGATGGCCATTGAATCCAATGAACAACGAATAACCTCCACGGATTTATCCGTCTCTTTTTCTCTCTCTCAAACTTTTTTCATCACCAAGATCTATTTAAGCGTCGTCTCTACGTTGAGCAGTAATCAAAGTTCACTGTGGTAGGCCGGAATGTATTGACAATTGTCAACAATATTCACATATGAAATGATATGGAATGATCGGGATGTTTTACTGCGTTTCTTAAAATTTTTGTTAGAACTTTAAAATGAAAAAAAACACTTTCTCGTATTCTGTGCCATAATATTTAATGAATGTCAATAATGGGCGAGTTCCCTAGCGCTGTTGGCCAACGCGCGATAAGTAAAGATGTTCTGCGATTACATTTGGAAGTTGAGTTCATTAAAATAGTATGTTGTTAGTTTGGAGCATATATAACAGAAAAATGATTTAAAAAAGTTTGTTTTCACTTGGCAACATATATATCCCCTTCTGAAAGTTCAGTGAATAACAGAATGGAGGTGGATACAGGTGAGAAATATATTTTTATTATTATCATTGTTTTGAATAATTGTTTTGCAATAGGTTCGAACGTAAACAACTCCAAGTCAGTAAAATCTCCCTCTAGCAATGCGGCAACTCCAGATAGATCGCGCTCAAACACTCCGGCACAAAAAGGGGCAATGCGTTCAAGGAGTGGGTCTACTCACAGCATAGCCAGTAATAAGTCTGGGTCCCGTTCCCGCTCAGGTTCGAGGGATAGCGAAAATGGATCTTCTAGACCAAACTCTAGAAATTCAAATCACTCAGGATCACGATCTAATTCTGTCACATCAGATGTAAACAATAAAAGAAATTCAAGATCGCGATCAAAATCTGGCTCTGGATCACCAAACATTGAAGTCAAATCACCCTCCCGCTCAAAATCTATATCTCCATCCAAATCACATTCAAGGTCAAGATCAAAAAGTGCCAGTAGAAAAGATTCCCGATCCAAATTGCGTTCTCCATCAGGATTAGCACACACTGGTTCAAGAAAAAGATCCCATTCCCGATCTAAATCTGTAGAGAGTACACAATCTAGGACAAGATCAAAATCACGATCACAAAAAGGTTCTAAATCTAGATCAAGGTCGCGGTCGAGATCACTTAGACTCTCAAGATCGGGATCAGAAGGTCCAACAAATTTTGATAGGAAGATTGTCTCTCGGTCTAGATCGAGATCAGGATCGGCACGTGCTGCAGTTATGTCTGAAAAAGCCTCCAGGTCCAGATCGAGATCTGGGTCAATAAGATCAAGATCAAGGTCTGTCTCTAGGAGATCTAGATCAGTTTCTGCTGAATCAAAAAGATCAAGATCAGGATCTAGAGGAGCCGGGTCAAGGAAATCAAGGTCCAGGTCAAAATCTGAATCAAAAAGGTCAAGGACCGGTTCAAGAAGATCAAGGTCAGGTTCAAGAAACTCTAGATCAGATTCGGTAAAGTCTAGATCGAGATCAAGGTCGGCACAATCACAATCAAGGTCAAAAAAATCAAAATCCCGTTCACAATCTGCTGAAGGTATTACGATTAGATTTTAGTGTTTGTTGTAGGTATATTAGACAATATAGTGGCCCTGCTACGGTAAAAATTGATGCGCCTCAGGTGGCTATGCTATTTTAATGACATGGGAATGACCTTTCACACATATCTCTACATTTCATTCATTAGCCAACATTTCCACCATTTTGTTTCTAAACAGTGATTTCCACACTCTTAACTTTTTGTGTAAAGATTTAATGGGATCTGGACATATTTTGAGAAATTATTCTCCTAAAATGTCCCATCCTAAACTTTTTGACGATCTGTCAGCGACCATGTTGGTTGTTAAATTCCACAAGGTCATTAGTTAAAAAACGAAATGGACATTCTCAAATATTGTTCCTGTATTATCAGCGTAGGACCCCTATATCTCTGGTAAGTATGTGGTTTAACTCCGTATTTTTAATTTTAGCTGCTAAGTCTGAGTCGCGGAGATCAGCTTCGCGATCTAGATCACGATCGGGATCGAAACAATCAAGGTTGGGTTCGCGCAGATCAAGGTCGAATTCAAGGAGATCCAGATCTGGTTCAATGAGGTCCAGATCAGATTCTGGGAAATCTAGATCGAGGTCTAGATCAGGTTCAGCACGGTCCTCAAAATCACGTTCAAGGTCGAGATCGAGTGAAGGTATACATACCATTTGTATACAGTTGTTTGGATTTACATAGTTTTCATTTTTAGGTGCTAGATCTGGATCAAAGCCATCGGCATCACGGTCTAGATCAAGATCGAGGTCAAGGTCAGGTTCTAGAAGATCAAGGTCGGGCTCTAGACGGTCCAGATCGGGTTCTAGGAGATCGAGGTCCGGCTCTATACGATCCAGATCGGGTTCTAGAAGATCAGGATCGGGTTCAAGAAGATCCAGATCGGGTTCGAGAAGATCGAGATCGGGCTCAAGAAGATCAAGATCGGGTTCAGGACGGTCAAGGTCGGGTTCCAGAAGATCTAGGTCAAGGTCGGCAAAATCCAGATCTAGATCGGGTTCAGCCAGGTCAAGGTCACGGTCTAGGTCTAGGTCAGGTTCTAGGTCAAAGTCTCGTTCAAGGTCAAAGTCACCTGAAGGTTTGTTGTTAATGGTGTTCGAAGGGTTTTTGTGGATGTTTCTTTCAATTTTGTCTTTATTAGTTAGTGCTTCTAATCGTAAAAGAGTATTTGATTCGGACTCAGAAGAAGAAAACCCTTCAAAAACAAAAATCCAACGCACTTTGGATAGTGATAATGAAGAAGGAGAAGCTGGTCCATCCGAAGAACAGCCAGAGGAGCAGTTGGAGCCATCTGTTGCTCAACCAGTGGCCGATGAGGATTCTGACGATGGCGTAGATGATGGTAACACGTAAGTTTTATCTGCCGCTTGTAAATTTGAAGTATATGTAGCATGTATGTTTCATTGGGCTTATCATCACTTTAATTTTTGTAATAGTTACTTTATTCATAAAGAAGATCAAAAAGTACCTAATATTTGGAGAACAGGCTACAGTGGTGATATAATTTGGAAAATGCCTTGCGAAACGAAAAAGTGTGATTTTTGAAAAGAGTGCTTTTTATGTTTTTGAAAAAATTATTACTGGAATAATTGAAAAACCTTTAAAATAGTTTAAAAGCGTTGCTGGCAAGCATTTCATCATCATGGTTGTCAATCACCTTTTGAGTGGTCTGATTTACCTTGCGCGTTTGCCAGCCTTTCTTCTATCACTGCTTCCTCATTTAAATTAGTCGTAAAATTGTTTGAGCAAAAATTGAAATCAATTAATGTTTTCTATTACACCAATAGGAGAGGGAGTGAACTAAAAATTACTCACTTTGCACACTTTGAAAAAGGAAATAAACGTCTCTGTAAGTTCCGCGTAGTAGAAAAGAGTTTTTCTTTCAATCGGCCTAGTCAGTAATCCTTCATGGATAGAAGTATGTGTACTGGTGTTGATCCGGGTATTCATCTCTTGGTTGTTTGACCCTTGAGTAGGATCTGCTACTTGACATTTCGCCAGAATTTCATCTTGCATCTTCAGAAGCTGCGCGTCCATGTCACTTATGTGTCCTCGCTTAAACTTAAGTTTGTGAAAAAAAAAATAACATTCTTTTTTCAAAAAGTGAAAAACAAATTTTTTCAAGAATGAAAAAAATTTGATGAACGTTTCATTCAAATATCACTAAAGATTAAACCACGGGTATACTAATTCCATCCAAAATTTTCAAACTGGGGTTAGGTTATCTGCCAAACATATTTTAAGCCAATTATATTCTCTAGAGCATACCTAAACCAACCTTTTGGTTTATTCATTTGTGGGATCGCCAGATATTTATGAATTGTATTTATATTTTCCTCATGATTAAATAAATAAAGAATATATTTAAATAACGAAAATTATCTTGCAATCAACGCTCAAAAAACCAAAGTTATGTGCTTTAGTAACTCCGCTTCGGCAACCCAGCCGAAGCTCTTTTTGGGTGATTCAATGCTGGATGTGGTTAAAAGGTTTAATTACCTTGGCGTGACATTCTCTTCTTCCTCGATGTTTAGCCAAGTGGCAGACGCAACAGTGTTCAAAGCGAGTCAAGCAGCGGCGGCAGCATTTTCAATGCTAAGAAAGAGTAAGCTTTCCTCTTGGGACGCAATTAAAAAAAAGTCAAACAACTATACTAAATATTTTTCCGGATGCTTGGAGCATACATTATACCGACAGTTTACAATTTAGCACCTTCTATTCACTTGCCGTGGAGTTTTCCAATGATAATACCTTTATTACCGCTTTAAAAAATGTGGACTCACGTGGGTCAAAACATCATATCTTATAATAAATATATTAAAGATCTAAGAAATGAGTAAAAATAAAACTATAAATCAGTAAGAATATAATTTTCTTTGTATTTTCACACTGTGCGGTGAAGAATTTTTAAAAACGCGTGTTTTTAGATATCAGGGAAGCGAGGCAGTGTCAGATTTCGAGTTGATGCTTCAGAGAAAGCGCGAAGAACAATCAAAGAGACGTAAGCGCAAGGATATCGATATAATCAACGATAACGACGACATCATCGCTCAACTGTTATCGGATATGAGGCAGGCTGCAGAAGTAAAACTTGGTAGAAACACGTGGTAGAAGCAAAACGATGATTGGAATGGTTTTTAGGAAGACCGACGGCTCAACCAGGAGCACAAGCCGGCTACGAAAAAGATCGGTATGCTGGGCAAAGTCATGTCGCAATTGAAGAAACATGATCTGCAGCTGGCGTTCATCGAGCATAATGTCTTGAATGTTTTAACTGATTGGTTGGCACCCATGCCTGACCGGTCGATGCCTTCCATGCAAGTTAGAGAATCAATTTTACGACTCCTGGCAGAGGTAAGCTCTACTAATACCAACCATGCTTGGGGAATCAACAGAACAAAGGAAATAAAGCAAGCACATACATTTTTATGTATACACGGTATTCAATTGTGCTAGGACCGTAACCAACATTATTTTTTAAAATAATTTGGAGTGTATTTTCCCATTTTCTCAGTTTTTTAGAAAAATGAAGTTTTCAATTTTTTGCGAAGAAACAGGTCTTTCGAAACATGTTTTTTTTACACTTGAAAACTGAAATTGGGAGTTTTTATTATGGATCCATGGAAGTGGTTAATATTTATTGCTTTGAGTTATCGATGGCGAAAATATGTTATACAAGGTGGTCACAAATTGCCTTCAAAAAATGTTTTTTTCTAATAAAAAAAACACTTTTTTAAAGGAGCATCTTGCATTTAGCACTTTTATTGGGTTTCTGTGTGTTTTATTTTAAATTTAACTAGACCTATATAATATCCTATTTCTAACTAATTTTTTTTTAATGTCAATTGCTTAAATTCAATATAAAATCTATCATTCTAATACCTAATCAAATCAGCTTGGGGAATCTAAAATTCTGAAGGAGATAAAAATAAATTTAATAATATAGTTATTGAATTAAACATAAAGTAGTAAATTATTGATGAAATGAGATGTTACTTATCCGTTTCACAGCAACAAATTCAGAAACACTGGCCATCTTTAATAACAAACTTTGCCAACATCTAAAAAATAACTACAATTCCAATTTTAAACACCTAAAAAGCGCAACTACCCGTCCGTCTACCTAACACTTTGCAACCCATGAGAACCATCATAGGTAAATACTACGCGTATGGAATACGGTTAAGAACACTAAATTTTACAATTCATAAATGATTTAAAACTCTCCAGCATTAAGGCACAGGGCGTAGTCACTTTATTTTGCTTTGTCTGATGTCGTCAAAGAGTGTTTTTCTAGCCGGGTTTTTCCAGAACTATTACTAATTAGGGATTTTTTAAAGATCGTTTGAACCCGTGATTTAATTATTCCCACAGAATTTTCTGCTTTGCTACAAGAACTGCTTGGATGTATTCAGATTGAAGCCAACAAATTAATTTAATCAATTTCCTTGTTTTCTTTGTTGTGCCAGGGTTTACAAATTGATTCATGTGGAATTGAATCTGATTTTAATCTTCATTTTTTTTATTTCACTGTCAGCTTTCAAATTAACGAATATTTTTTATTAAAACTTAAATATTAGGCTTAATATTAAAAGCAACTATAGAGCTTTATACATTTTTGAGATGCTGAAGTCTCCAAAATATATACAGGGTGACACATTTAAAAATATAAACATTTAATTTGTTTCTTGTAAATAATTGAACTTGAAAATATCTGACTATGGGATTGAATTCTGCTTAAAAAAACTTCCACAAATCCACTTTTTACTTTTCTAATTCAAAGCTTCCAAAAATATCCCGTTTCTTGTATCTTTACTACTAAGCGAGATGCCCCACATCACAAAATTAACACATATGCAAGCACTGGTAACTTATACCAGCCTTTTAATATGTTTTGTAGTTTCCTTCGGTGGACCATCAGACTCTGAAGCAATCGGGCATAGGAAAAGCCGTCATGTATCTCTACAAACATCCAAAGGAAACGAAAGAGAATAAAGAAAGGGCCGGACGGCTTATAAGCGAGTGGGCCCGCCCCATATTTAATTTATCGACCGACTTTAAAGGTAAGGGGTTTTATTTATGCTTTGTCGAGGTACAAATTAGGAAGATACCAAATCTAAAATGTTAAAGTAACACTAAAAACTAAACAAATTTATTTATTCGTTTAATTACATAGGCCTGCAAAAATAAACTTTTTATTTTGAAAACTGATTTTATATAATTTTTTGATAGGCGCATTCTGTGCTTTTATTTGTATCACGTAAGGTTTTTTTTTGCAAATATTAAAGGAAAAAAACGATATTTTAAAAATATCTTATTTTTTTATTCAGCAAAAGAGTGGAATCCTCCTTAAAAAAAGTGAAAAAAAATTTTTTGCTCAGACTTTTTTTGCACGAAAACTGCGTTGTCCCCACATTCGGCTGTGTGTCTGTTTTAACATCCAGCAGTACTCCGCCATCATCGTTATGCTTCATCTGCCTTGCTATGGTGGTTCCACTTCCTTAATGTACTGGTGAAACCTAACTCTCTGTTCTTCGTTAACTGCTCTAAGATTTTCAGGAAAATAGTTCAAGTGTGAAAACAGGAAATGCAGTTTCAAACTCTTATTACAACCTAGATGATGAAAGTCTTCTTCTTCTCTTTTTTCTTCTACTATCGGTCGCCTCTCAATCTGGATTGAGATCGTCGTTCCATCTTTTTCTTGGTTGTCTTCCGTCTGGTGATTTGTCTCAAACGATTTGTGGTCATTCCACTGTCTTTTTCTTTGGAGCACCCAGTCGTTCACGTTGTCCACTCCGCACGATTGCCTGATGTTTTCGTTTCTTCCTCTGTCTAGCAGTGTTTTTCCTGAGATGCGGCGGAAAATCTTGTTTCTGTATCTGATCCTGTTTCTGCCGTGTGATCGGTCTGATCGTTGTTTTGTAGACTCATACTTTTGTATGTTTTTTCAGATGTTTGTTTCGCCAAATTACATCGTTTAAGCAGCCCGCCACTTTATTGGCTTTTGCTACCTGTTGCCTCACTTCGTCCTCCACAGTTCCATAACTGGTAATGTCAATACCCAGATATTTAAACTCCATTTCTTGTTGAATTATTTGCCCGTCCACTTCCAGTTTACATCTGAGCGGCTCTTTTGATGTGGTCATACATTTCGTTTTTTGGATTGAGATAGTCATGTTAAATTGCTTGCCTGTGCGGTTGAAGATGTTTAAAAGTCTCTGCAGATCGTCTTCGTTCTCTGCGCATATCATTGCATCGTCTGCATAGCAGATAATTGTCACTTCATCATTACCCATTCTGTACCCTTTACCCAAACGAACTTTTTTTATCACTTCATCCATAATTATATGGATGTCTGTCTGATACCGTTGTTGGCCTGGATAGGTTTAGTTAACTTGTTATTAATACGGGCTTGGATGTTATTGTTCCAAGTATATATGTTCTATCGTCTGTATTACATCTTCAAGTTGAACACGATCAAATACCTTTGTGAGATCAATGAAGCATAGGTAGGCTGGTTTATTATATTCTATGGATTCCTCTGTTATCTTTCTTAAGACAAAAACTGCATCCACACACAAGCGTCCTCTTCTAAACCCTTGTAGCGACGTAAGACCATTGATTTTGTTGGTAATAACTTTTTTGGTGAGTTTGAGTGTTGTATCTAGTAGGTTTATGCCCCTTTAATTACTCAACTCCTGCTTATCTCCTTTCTTGAACATAAGTATCATTGTGCTAGTTCTCCATGGGTCTGGTATTCTGCAAGTGTTTAAGATATTTTTGATGAGCTTTGTTAGTTCTTCTGTTAGGCGTTGACCACCATACTTTAACAGTTCATTGTATAGTCCGTTCTGCCCAGGAGACTTTATGGCTTCAGCTCTCTCATCGATGTTTACTTCCACGTCATGCTGGATATGTGATGATGAAGGTGTTGCAACATATTTTGAACAATACTTTCGTAGTTTTCGCCCTTACAGTTCCCGAGAAACTTATTTCTTTAAATGAAACGCAGTGATTTTTCTCGACATTGGTCATTGTGTTTTGAAAAACCTTGTCTTTGCATAATGTTCTTATCTGCGGCCCAACAAAAATAGCTGCTTTTATCTTGGCATCAGATATGGCTGGAAATTCCTCGCACAAATATTTGAAACACTGTCTATTTTTGTCTAGAGCGTTAACACACTACAAGCCAAGTTTGATATGAAGAGGAGGCAATAAACCTCTTTTAACTTTCAACAAGTTATTAAAAAAATGCATAAATAATATTTTTGTCAACTATTTTATGAAGGAAAAATACACTAATTTCATTTTTAAAGCTTATGAGCAAATAAAACCAAAGGTAATGGTAATATTGTTATACATCTATAATAATGGGCGTTTTAGTAAACTTCTTACCTGCACACAGGTAGATATAGTTTATAGTTGCATGTCCATTTTTTTCAATTTCTTTACCAACAGGTTTCAAGTTAAGTCATTTTCATTATACTATATATTATCGGATTTTGAACTTGCTATATATTGAACAGAGAAATATCGTTTATTATCGTTTCTTGTCGGTAAGCCTCTATTATAGTTCAAGCACAAAGCCCAGGCTTAAAAAGAACACATAACAGATAATGTGACAAAAGTATATTTTACGAAATTCGAAATTACGCAGTTAGTGTTCGAATAACATCCAGTAGGATTATCTGGTTACCTATTTTGGTTGGTATGTGAATTTTATGGCAAAGTTTAATATTTGGTGACATTTAATTTGAACTACTCCTATACCAATAAATCGTAAAGTAATAGCGCTTAATATAACATTTTAGCTTTGAGCCGAGAGGAACGTCTTCAGCGAGATATTGAACAGATGGGTCCAAAACGGCGGAAAAGCGAAGCCGAAGCGGAAAAAGAAAAAAAAGAATTGGGAAAAGCTTTTAATTCTGAGGGGAAGTAAGTGAGAGGTTACGCGATTAATAAAAAAAAATCAACAAAAACCATTTAAATAACGACCAACTATTCGATGACGGGAGGAGTGAACTTTGAAATCTTAAATGGAAATCTATAATACAGATTAAAACGTCAGGTTTATTCCTAAGTTTTCTTGTGAATTCGCGGTAGATGGCGCTGAAATCACAAACAAAAACAATATCTTATTTGTCAAGAAATACACGAGTTAATTTTATGAATCCTGCTTTAGTGTTATACTTTCGTTTTTAACATATTTTTTCTACTTCCTACTCTAAAATGCTCAACTATGCACATGCGCAAAGTGTTAGTTTAAAACATCATTTTCATTAGGCACTGTTGCGAGTCAATTCGAGTGTTCTCCACTACGTTAGTCGCAGCCTCGGAACGATCAAATGCTTTGCTCATTTATAGATGATATAGTGTATAATTGAGTATTTATCAGTGGGGACTATAAAGTATAACGAAGGTGTTATAACACTAACGTCAGATTCATGACATTTTCTATTGTTTTTCTTGACAAATATGATCCAAAGAAAAAACTTTAGACAAAACCTGTCAATTTTTTGGGCATAGAAACCGAATTTGTAATGAAAAGTTTCTCTATCTAAGATTTTAAAATTGACTCCTCCCCACGACAAGTGGGTTCCGGTGGGGATGATGTTTGATATTATTATACAGACCTCTTCGACCTGGCGAGAAGGGGTGGGTGGCCCGAGCCAGGGTGCCGATACCATCCAACAAAGATTATCTGGTCCGGCCCAAGTGGCAGTCAGAAGTGGATATTAGTAGGGTGAGTTGGCAATGTTACTGGGGTGTTTGAATGATCCACCTGGTTTTAGTCTACCAAGAAGGGCATGAATCGGTTCGAGAAACATTACAAGGCGTTTTTGGATGGGAAGCGACTGAAACAGACCCGACGTGCCGTCGAGATTTCCATCGAGGGCAGGAATATGGCCTTGTAAATTATCCGTTTTTCGTTTTTGTAATTAGAAAGAGAGTTATGTTTTTAATAAAGTATACCGTGCAATTTTGTGGCTTTTTCTCAAAAATGAACATTTGTGCCTATTCATCTTTTATAAAACACGACAGCAGTTTGCTTAATTATGAAGAGATTCATGAAGAATATAATCCCCAATGTCTATTGTTGTAGATAACCTGTCACACTCTATAAAAGTAAGAGTTGATTAATTTAATAGGCTTGAGCTGAAAATACTGGGCCCAGTTCTCATGCTGTAAGTAATGAGAGAACTTAGTGGTGTAAGTGAAAAATCGTTTTTTATGTAGTGCACCTTATTGTGATAGTGTAAACATAGCAAAATTAATAGAAGCTTTAAACAAGGGAGGCAAATATAAATAAAAAGTGGGATCAACAGACAAGGCACATTGTTCCATAAAAGCCACCAATGCATAGTATAGTGCGGACTAACAAGATATGTGAATTTGGAGGGGTAAATGACTAATATGTATTTGGGAGTACTAATAATCAACAAATGTGAAGACGACAAGGAAGTGGATCTATGAATAGCAAAATGTAACAATTGTCTGTGGGAGCTTCATAAAATTGTAAGGTCAAAGAAAGTCTTGAGCGCAACAAAAATTAGACTCTACAACACAGTGGAACGACCAACTTTAACTTACTGTTGAGCCCTCAATAAAAAAAAACAACAGACACTAAGTATACAGGAAAGTATTAAGATGAATCTTTGGCAGAAAGAATACAGAGCATGATTGGGAGAGAAAAATGAATAGTGAACTCTACGAACTATTTGGAGATACACCAATCGAAAAATTTATTCAAGCAAGGAGACTACAATAATAGAGAAGTAGAGGAAGTGGTATGAAAAAGACCAGTGGGGAGGAAGCGTGGTAGACCAAGCAGAAGATGCAGAGAAGCCTTGGGGGAAGATTTATGAAAGAAAAGGATTACTAATTGGAGAAACATGGTGATCTGAAGAATTTGTGATATAAATTTAACATTGCGATTCATTTTTATTGAGATGACCATAGAGCGTACAATTACGGATGTAGTCATTTACTTAGTCTTGTTATCGATGAAATTGACTTGCGTGAGACTTGAACTGAGGTGAATTTTACTTGATGAAAATCCATTTAACAAAAGAAATTAGAACTAAAAGTTCGGATTTTCACGAAATTAAATATATTCACATGACAATTGTTTCAACAACACCGGGCCTTTATCAAATGCCATTTGATAATATAATTTGAATATATATAATTTCCTGAAAGTCTGAACTTTTAGTTCTTATTTATTTTGTTTCGTGTTTCGCTACTCACTAAACTCAAGATTTCGATAACGGTTGGTCGTTCGGGCTCGCTGTCAGTACAGATCGATTCAGCGTCGAAAAAAAAAGTTTCATTTTTGCTGTTATATATTCTTCATTTTGGACCTTTGCCAGGTTTTTGAAGCCGGAAAACATTTGAACGGTTGACAATACGGGCTTTACAATTTCCTCTAACACTAGGCGATACGCAGCGGCCTACGATGTTATTGAGCCGATCCGACATCGGCGGCCATTTTGTCGGCCATTATTGATTTTTGTTAGGAAAATCGCTATGAAACAAGGTAATTAATTGCTTTTTATGAAAGTTCTGGATTCCTACTGCGTCGGTCTTTGCTTAGTCGAAATTGCTGACGTTTCGCCAATCATCCTGTTGGCTTCTTCAGAGCTTGACTGTCTTGACTGACTTGACAGTTTCAGTCAAGCTCTGAAGAAGCCAACAGGATAATTGGATAAACGTCAGCAATTTCGACTAAGGAAAAACCAACGCAGGAGAAATCCAGAAGTTTTGTAAAAAGCATTACGGTAGCCTGTGCAAGTTCCTTTGAAAAATTAAGGTAATTAATTGTCCCATATTTCCAGCCATCGAGTAGAAGTTCTGTAGGAATTTAAAGTTCCGTCGTCAGATGGAACCTGATGGAAATCAGAGATCAGAAGTTCTGAAGTATTTCAAAAACGTTTCTGACAATTTTTGTTCGAGGCCCGGAAAAAACTCAATTTACTCAACAATTGTCTGTCCTATCCAAAAAATTCTTAAACCAGAATATGCGCACGATTCGAATCAATAACCCAAAAATATAGTTTAGTCAAAAATTTACAGGATGTCCAATTTATGAGCAAAGACTAAAAGTTCCAATTTTTTTGAGTAAATTATTGGACGTAAGTGACAAACCGTGGCAAACTGTGTAAATTTAAGCTGCGTCGAAAGCTAAAATTTTTGCATTTACCGTTTTTATCTATCATACGGGGTGCGCGATATACGACCTAGAAAGCGATCGGTTGGAATTAAATAGTAGCTCGTAATTCAATTATCGTAACGTATGGGCCAATTTGGAATTAAAGGTTGCCTAGACGATAATCAGGGTCACCAATTTTTGTATTTGCCGTTTTCGCATGTTGTAAAAAGTGCGCGATTCATTAGACCAAAACCCTCAAGTCCGTCGTTAAAATGATAATTCCGAGAATAGATAAACCCCCATTGCGAGTCGATTTTTCTTTCCTTAAATAAAACAAACACATAGTTTTCCACAACTGAAGCGGAGTTAGTAGCTTTGTGTTCTGCAGTTTGTTAGGGTCTTTGGCTAAAGAAATTACCATTAGACATTGAATTAGGTTTTAAATATAGAACTTTCTTCAAAGATAATCCAGGTTGTTTGTCAATCTTTAAAAATCCCGCAAGTAATCGTAGAGTTAAACACATAGATCTTAAATTTCATTTGTCTGTGAACATATTAGTAATGGAGACAGACTTCATTTATAGATATTCATCTGCGGAAAAACAAGCTGATTTACTAACACAGCTATTGACGTCTGTACCTTTCATGAGGTTAAGACATTATTAATTATTATTATTTAGGTCTCAGGGAATTTTAGTGATACAGTGTTAAAGGAAATGCTAAAATCGGAAAACGGAATTTATGTAATCTGTGTTAAGTATTGTTATAAACTATGGGTGGACAAGACCAATGACTGATGTTATGAGTAAGTAGAGATGCGCGTAATGAAAAAAAAGTTTTTTTTTTGTAAGTGTAATAAGTTTTACATATCAATAAAGAGATGTAGTTAATAAGTAAGTAGTGCTGGTTATTTCCAGGACTTAATATAAAAAGAAATATTAATTTCTATTAGCAAGGATAACTGGTGACAGATATTGAGTGTTGAATTTTGAAGAACCAACTAACAGAACTTTGAAACTTGGTTTACGGTCGTAAGAGGTTATAATTTATATTTTAGATATATATTATAGCAATTTTTTTTATTTCAAACTTTTGTTAATATTTGTACTACAATATCTACTATTTCTTGCAGTTTTCAATTCGATTATTTACGTATAGACCAAGCGAAACAATCTTGTTTTGGTTTATACCATACATGTAAAAGATTGGCATGCTATGATGGCGATATATTATCCAGAGAATGTGCATTATTATCAACATATTTTATGGGATATCAGGAAATCAGGATATATGGAAAATATGATTTCGAAATTGAAATTTAATGAAATTAACGGAGAATTATCGTTTTTATGCGTTGCGTTGCGGGTGCTCACATAAAATTGATTCGTTTGTGATAGTGCGGCAGAATGGTTCAATAGCACAGGGTGAATTAAAAATCCTTCCACGGATTTCGTGAAAGTGCCATTATGCTTTTCTGGAGTGTAGCAGAAAAATAAGACAATTATTAAAAAACAACAACAAATAGGGCAATGCGATTTGAAGAACTATAAGGTAGGTAGACAATTGAACCGGGAAAACGACCCTCTAGGCTAGGCAGTCCACAGCTTCGTGAAATCATATTGTTATTAATTAATATAATGTATACCGGCTTGGTAAAAATAAAAGCATTGCTATTATTATTTCTCATTTTTGTACCTTATAATTATTTGACAATTTTAATTAATTGTACCACCCCTACATTTTAAAACCACATGCTTTTTATTAAAATTAAAAATTAAACTTTGATGGTTGAATCCGCACTATAGGGTGCTGGACGTAACAACAAAATGTAACCACAAAAATATGCTTGATTTACTATTTAAAAATCTGATGGAATGCTCCTGTGTTAGTTATTGATGAAGCGACTGACTTCTTGAGAGCTTAACTGGAACTGGTTTGTATTCTACTCAATAGCTGTTTCTATACTGTTTGAGGGAGGTAGAGCCAAACAAGGGACATTTACATTGTCTCGAATGACTGAAGATGATGATTATTTCCTTGGTGAAATATCTTTAAATGTTTAAATGTTTTGAATGTGAGGAAAGATCACTGTTGCAAGTGTTGGGCTGCTTTCAGATTCGTTTTCTTTGGAATGTTACGTCTAATATCTCTAATGTGGAAATTATCTAAAAGAGCAGATGTTTGGTGTTTTAACTCTGGAGAATCCTAATTCCTGATATTTATTCATAGATCAGAGAAGCATTTTTTCAATTAAGTTGAGAAAATTTGATTTCAGATTCTTGGATTTTAATATATCTGATATTGTGTTGAGAGGAACTTTATTAAAGAATGGGCTACATCGAAACTAATCAGATTATTGTTTAGATCGAATGTAATGGAAATTATCAGCTAGAACCAGCCAACTGGGTAATTGGCGAAACATCAGCAGCTTCGAGTCATCAACAACCGACTCAGGAGGAATCCAGACGATTTGTAAATAGTATTACAGTAGCCTGTGGATATTTTTTTGAAAATTTCTTAACTTACTTGGGTGATTCTATTTCTAGCTTTGGGATATAAAGAAATGTGTGCAATTTTAATGCCCTCGATATCAGCATGCTTCGCTCCTGCTGGACCCATTTTGGACACTTTATTAGCTGCAACTGTGTATTTAGGCGGCAAAATTAGTCCATCGAATTTGGGCACTTTGGCAACTTGCAATTTTTTCTTGCTTTCCTCGCGCTGCCCTTTACGCTTGTAATACAAAACTTCTCCTGCCAACGTTATCATGGCCAGCGCCAATCCGAAAAGGGTCGCGATGAAAACTCCACCTTGAATAACACAGTCTACCGCAACACTCGTTAAGAATTGATCAATTATACCTAAACTCTCTAAAGTTATTCCTTCGTTGTCGTCAGTACTCGGGCAGTTGCCTTTCGACGAGTGGTTCCAGTACTTGGACTGCAAGTTCTCGAAAAACCTATCCTTTTGCAAATCCAGTATGCTACAACAGAACGTCAATCAACTAGCCGCTTTAATTTTGAAGTCTCCGTAACCGTACACTTTGCTAAGATCGTCTTGTAAATGGCTGCCCTGTTGGATAGCCACGGCGTATGGCTTCTCGGCAAAAACTTCTCCCACCTCGGTGAAGTTACAGTTTCGACTTATCTCATATTTGATCTCACTGGAGTCGTGTATGAAAGCGAAATCTGCATCCAGATGCTCGTCTACGAGTCGGAACCCTTCCGATGCTACGGGAACCGGATTTGAATCGTTAATCGCCAATAGAATATGGCCGTATTGTTCCCTGATTGGGTAATCCCACACCCTGTACCTCGTATCGTCAGTGGAGGCGTTCAACGTCAGTTCTTTCCACATTCTGAAACTCTCGCCTATTTCTTCGACCGCAAAAACAATTCACACTCGGGTACCTGTAAAGGGTGTCCTCCGCGTACTTCATATTTATGAAGTACTTGTGCGTTTCTGAATTCTTGACGACAGTGTAATTAATCCTAGATTGTCTAGCCAGTTGTTCCAGAGATTGCACTGGCGCCTGCATTCTTTCCACGGTCAGAAATGCGGCCAGATTGGCGGTGAATGTAGCCAGCATTAAAACCACGAACAGCCAATATGCGGCCACCAATGTTCTCCCGGATAAGGCTTTGGGCGCTTCGCCGCCTCCCTGTGGCGTGAAGGAGGTCAACGCGAACCAAAAACTTTCTTTGAGGGTGAATTCCCTGCGGTCGACGTGTTTACGTTCGGTTAGTGCTTGGCGATTATGGTCTGTCTCAAAGTACATCGTATTGGCTTTTATCGAAATTATCTTCCGAAGGTACTAAAACACGCGACGGCACCAAATGCAGGGCATGCAAAAAATAGAAAGAGATATTTTAGAGGGGATTCCTTCAAATCAAATGGAATCATTATAAAGCATAACAGCCATTTACAAAGGTATTTTGTCAAAAGTGCTATACAAAAAATATTACAGAATACAGAAGAGTGTTTAGATCTTTATTAATGTTTCATAAGAAATAATAAGAGTATTTTGAAGAAAACAACGAAAATTCGCAAAGAGATGCGTCCCGAGATCTACGGGTACTAGTAAGACTAATGTTTAAAGAAAATTAAAATTTAATAAGTACGTAAGTTCTATTTACTTGAGTTACTTGTTGATTTTATAATGAATTTAAGTAATTAATGTTCAATAGAAAACTTAGCAATAGATTTGAAGGTAGGAATTACTTTTTGAGTGCTGGTCCGTCAAAAGCCAAGACGATATAGTTTGAGATACAATATACCTGCATGGATACGGGTAAGCTTTCTTGTTGTTTCTTGCGCTGTACGGGGAGTATTTGTCCAAGAACCAAATCATAAAGCCGGTGACAATCAGGGCGGCCACGATACTCAGCCAGACTTCTAGTTTCAGTACCGTCATAAATTTGAATAGTGAAGTTTTCCTAACGGGCTTTCTCATAACTGCAAATAATACAAGTGCCTTCCGAAATTAATGAAGAGTTCGAAAAGTAAAGAGCTCTTAAGATGTTTTGAGAATAGCTAACTTAATGTTTTATGTGCATTTTTCTATTTTTAATAATGCAATAGTATAACAGTGTAACAGTAAATTATATGTACTAGTCCACTGCTAAGTAAATCACTACAGTTCAACTTCTCTAATCAGAACAGACGCTAATAGCGATGTCCTAATCGGAAAGATTTATTGCCATTCGTCTCTTAAGCAGGTACGCAAATATTTTTTAAATGGGTTCCGGCAAACATCAGTTTCCTGAATTAGAATTTTCATTATAAAACCAAAAATAATGTCGAAAGGAAACATGTGACTTTGGAACTAAGCAAGAAAGGGCGACGATCGTAAGTACCATTCATAAGAATCGAGAAAAAATTGCATTAATTATTATTAGTAAATTTATGTACATGGTTATGTGCATTGTACAGTCACCAAAATATACAATGGCCATTTAAACAAAAATTAGTTGGTTATAAAATAAAAACTACTCATTAAGTGTAATATACTCTTACTCATTTGAAGCTTTAAAAATAGACATTTTATGTTTTGGTTTTGGTTATGTTTGGTTAGTTAAAACTTGACCTTAAATCTCATCTTCAAGGTCAATTTTAATTTTTTAAGGAAACCCCATATTTTAGATGTCACAATCTGACAGCCCTTTCTAATTTTGGTAGCAAAAAAATGTATAAGTTACTTTTATTTAAAACAGTTATACTTTTTTTTAATAAATGCTACAAGATTTCTAATTTTTCGTCGCTCGGCGCGCTATTTAAGTGTTTTTCGTAATTTTTTTAATATAAATCTATTTTGTCAATCAATATACATACATACATATTATATATTAAATAGATTGTTACAACCAGCTGTTTCGATTAAAGAAGTTGCAGTGTATTCTATTCTGCTGTTCTATTAATACTAGTTTGTAATAATGTGTTTTCTTTAATTTTTTAATAAGTAACCTCAAGGCATGATGTTATGTAATTGTTTTTATATTAAACAGTGAACTGGAGTCTTTAGTTCAATATTAAATTAGGTACCTATCGTTATTCCAGTTTGTTCAAAATAGGGCGCGACGAAGTCGATCACTTCCTCCCTGTCAGCCGTCATTATAATGGCCGTAATGGCGATATCAGTGTCCTACAAAGGGCACGGTAGTTAACGAGCAGTTGATAATAATCTAACTTACGCCTCTAGCAAGATCGCCTACAACGCCGTCCCAGGAACCGTTAACTTTTTCTCCGAATGTTCCAGATTTGGGTTCCACGAATTCGAAATCGAAACCCATCACTTCCGATAGTTTGTTAGCGAAATCCACACAGTAACCCGTCCAATAACTTTCCCCGGTTTGAGGGTCTTGTTCTTTATATGACCACGGCAAAGCCTATATATTTACAAATATACACTTATATAGTTACAGCAAAGCAGTTTTTGAAGCCAACTCTTGCAGGCGATAAGAACCATTTTTTATGATGAAAAGTTTATTTCGGTCTTTATTGATAAAACATGACTACCAAAAATATTTAACGAAAAAAACAACTCTTCATGGAAAAGTTTCTTCGTTTAGAGGCAATAAATTGTAAGCTTAAATAACACAGTAGGAAAGGCATCTCTGAAATAGAGCGGGTTTATGTTTAGCCATGTGAATTGACTGTTGTCACAGACGAGTATTCCTAGATTGGATATTAGAAATCCTAGTTAGTGTGTTTAATGAATATGTAAGTAGGTACAGGGTGGTCAGTTTAAGAGGGGCCCTATACCTTATCTCGAAACCTACTGGGGTTGCAAAAAAAAGTAGATACAAAAGTTGTTTCTATTAAAATGACCTTTATTTTTTTATTTTCCTAATCGTTACTTTTTTATATACACAGTGGTATAACAAAGTTACATTTTTATGAATAGAACACCCTACATTTTATTGCATTTTTGTAGTCCTTTCAAAGACAAATTCAACGATATAGATGAGTATGGATCTGTGATGCACCGTTTCGAACTTATTAGCGATCATCTTCAGGATTCGGGTTATGTTTAAACCATCATTGTTGGGTTGGTTATTAACTTTTTAAACTTTTTTCCATCTATTACTTTTACGAAAATAATGGTTTTCAGATCAGTCATTTATAGCGAGATATTTGCCTAATGCATAAATAAATCGATAACATGCATTTTGTACCCTTCAGATGGGTGTTTTTACTAGAACATTTAAAAAGCTTTAAAAGTTTGTTTGCATTAAGGTGTCACATACCATTTTTTAAATACTTTTAATCAGAAAGCGTCGGCAGCTTCGATAGGTAAAAGTTCTGCATAATGAGCTGTTGATAGAAATAGCCCAAAGTGCACTTACAATTTTTTAACGAGTCTGTTAGTTTAATGTCATATTATTAATTCTTTTATCAAAGTTATTTTTTTATCATATTCTGTTTTGTGAATAGGGAGCACTTTTATGGATTGAGTCGCAAATTATGAAGAAGTGAAATGATTTTAATCCTTTCGAGGTCATAATTTGGCTGTTTTAGTGCAAATATTTGTTGAAACATTTTTAAGTGATTAAAGTTATGATAACAAAAGGCATATCTCAGAACTTATATATAATTTATATAGACTTTTCTTCGTAAAAAATGTTGTTCTATCAACTGTTAAAGTTTGTTATCCAAAACTTGGTCTATATGAAACCTCCATTTTTACTCTAACACCTGTAATAATTCTGTTAATTGGGTAAGTAATTCCCTTAGTACCTTCACTAATGACTATACCACCCTAACTAATCATAACAATACCAGTACTATGCTCTGTTTCTTAATGCGAGACAGTTATAATTTTTAATTTTGCAATAACTGGGATTAGTAAACAGGGTAGACAACTTAAAGGTTGCATCGTAAAGAGATGATACATAATTGATATTATAAATATTATAATTATTTAGAAGTAAGAATATTATGAAAATAGTGAAATGAAATTTCAAAAATCTACTATTTACCATACAACTCCGCTTGTAAATTGTAGTCACCATTTTCCGAGTGGCCAGATGATATTCGTTGGAGTCCTGACAAAAAGTAAGTCGCAAGGGATAAGACGAGTATAATATTCTTCTGATGCCAGTTTTCCCATTCTCATGTCTTACAGTTTCTTTTCTTCCTGTACTGCTCATTGGTGAACTAATGGGGTACGTTTTTTCTCTTACACAAGTCGGTATATTGTTTACTGTTCAACTGCAGTCATATTCGAACACATTTCAACTATGTTCGCAACTCACAAGTTGATTTTGATTGGCAAACAGATTTGAACACATTGAGAATACAAATTTTCGTATTTCCGTTTCTGAGCAACAAATTCAGAAACACTAGCAAATTTTAAACACGGACTCTGTCAACAACTGCCGAAAAGAAACTAGAATTCGTTAAAACACTGCCACCTGCCACTCTCGGAACCCTTGACATAGGTACAATATTACACCTATGTAAAAAGGCTAACACTACTAGGTTTTACAGTAACAATAATTATGTATAACTTTCTCGCACTAGCAAACAGATCATAATATACATATTCGATGGAATAATAAATTCTGCTGATTCCCTTAATTGCTTACCAATGCTAACTCTAATTTCTACGGTATGGAGTAAGATTCCAATAGAACGATGAGTTTTTCAAGTACTCACATGTGTAATTCCAATTCTGTAAAACGCCTTAATGGGGTTGAGCGCCCCACCCTTAACAGTGTTAAATTCTCCATTTCGATAAGTGGCCAACATTTCGAGAGTACCGTTAACATTCTTTTCAAAAATCCCTTTAACATTCATCGTCAAACTGTTGCCCTTCCTCTTGATAACGGTACTACTTTCGTTAATGAGATTTTCCACAATTTCGTCGAACCGCTGCTTCGTCTGTTCCGGAAACCTCGAACTGTTGCACTTTAGCACTTTGGGAAACTGCAAATTGTCGTCTAGCATGGTCTTTACGACTCTGGATACGAGTTCCGACAGCCAGTAAATAAACTGGGACTGCATGTTAAAGTCCGACGGACATTGGCATTCGTCTCTGAGCAGCATGTCGCAGCAAAAGTCTTCGTCCGGAGTGACGACGGTGATCGGCAGATCGCCGATAACGTCGCGATCGAAATTTTTGTATCTAAAATCGGTAAATACCAGATTCCATCGCTCCGGGAGCTTTAAAAGGTCCTGCTTCAACGCCTGGTTAAAAATGCTGCTAACATTCGACGTAGCGGCGATTATAGCAAAGCTGTTGGGCGTGGGGCGGATCTTGTTGATCCTCTGTATAGCCTTCTTGTCTAAGTTTGATATGATCATTCTCAGCCGGGTGGAGTCCAGCCAGTAATACAAAGCTTGATCTATATCTAGAAACACATTCAGCAGTGTATTAATATCTTTTTTCAGAAGCTATTATATAAAAATAAAAAAAAACTCATGATTATGCTGGGTGTATCCTAGTTTTCTATATCGCGTGTTACCATTGCAATTGAAAAACACTCCATGTTAATAAAAAACCAAATTAAAACAAATGGACACAAAAAAACATAAATGTTAAACTGACAACAAAATATTAATCTCATCGAATTCTGTTGTAAGGTGTACTTTTCAGTTTTTGAGGAATAAATAAGATGGGCATGTATACAGTATACTTTTGAAATCCATTTTTCTCGAAAACGGCCCATTCGAGCAATTTTAATCAAGTGAACCTTTTTCAGTTGCAAAACACAACTTGTCCGATTTTATAAAAATAAGTCTAAATGTCAACCCAAGTATTTATTTATTTATTGTTCGGCTTTAAACATATATTAAAACAAAACTTATAAGAGAAATTTAAGCACCAAATCAAGAATCTTGATGAGGTAGTTTAGAGCAGGTTCCTATTTCCATACCATTTCTACACTTCTACCAAGGCCAGGACGTATTCTGTTGGGAGTTTTCCAAGGTAAGTCAAAATCAGCAGAGACTCCGGGCTAGTTGAACTGACATTGTGTTCCTAATATCTTCATAAATTGCTATTTCCTTTTATGGCTTCTTTTAGGGGGCATTTCTCGACATCTGTTGCCGTTCTATATATGCTTATCCCGGGTGATGCCGAAGGGAACATTTTCTTGCATAATACCATTAAATAATTAATTAATTAATTTTCTTTAAAAACGCCTTTAATAACGTGTTGTCATTGTCAAAATTATTTTACTGGCGTTTGATTTATTACCTAAACTATATTTTTCTTTAAATTTTGCAATCATATTTATTTCAAAAACTGAAGATTGGCTTATTATAATTTATTCAAACTCGTGCGGCACATGAGGGAATCATACCGGCCCCTTTTGTATTAGAACTTTGGGATAAAATGTACTTGGGAGTCCATATTTGGGTACCTAAATATTTCCATGGGATTTCCTATGTTCCGGTCGGCAATGCATCACCAAGTATAAGTATATATAGAATGCAGGAATACATGGAGAAATGCCTCCTAAAGGAGTCACAGGCCCTAATGACTGAAAATGAAAACGGCATTCTATTAATATTGCCAAAACTGATTCCGAAAATGCTTTGAAATTTTAGTGCTTTAGTAATTTTGGGTTTCTGAATTTGAAATGCGTCTTGGTGAATATGCTGGATGAATACCAACCATGCCCACAAACTTGGTACTCAACTGAAACACACTATGCGCAGCATTACTGGCTTCCGATAATTAGACATATGGCATCATCCATCTCAAAAGACAAGAGCCCTAGTCCATCAATATAAAACAAAAACGCAGATCAACAACTATCAATTGATGAAGACGTTAGGATCTCAGTGTCAGTTCAACTCAAGTCTCGAAGACCACCAGTCAGGAGTGCAAAAGAGCTCTGCGAGAACCATTTTGATGTCAAACAAAAACGAAGGATATATGAGAGCTGTCTGTACCACCGGATGTGCTATCGCAGCCCGGAGTGTCTCTGCTGATTTTGACTTACCTTAGAAAACTGCCAAGAGAATACGTACTGGCCCTGGTAGAAGTTCAGAAATGGCATGGAAATTATCTCAAATTATCTCATCAGGATTTTGGATTTGTTGCTTTAATTTCTGTTATTAGGATTTGTTACTACAAATGGAAAGTAAAACGATAAATAAATAATTATCTGGGTTGACATTTATACTTTTTTTTATAAAATCGGACAAGCTGTGTTCCGCTACTGAAAACGGTTTACTTGATTAAAATTGCTTGGACTTCAAAAATACACTGTATGTATGCTCATCTTATTTATTTCTCAAAAATTGAAAAGTAGGCCTTCAAACAGAATCGATGAGATTGATATTTTCTTGTCAGTATTTTGAGAGTATTTTCATACATTCATGTATTCATACATTTTCAAACATACATTAAAATATAAGAGAACGTGGACCGTTGAGTCGATCTCAGGGAGAAGGAAGGCTCAAATTCTAAAACTTTCTCTAAATCTGCTCCGGAAATATTAATAATTTTCTTTTAATCCATTACTTTTAGATCATGTGAGCATGAAAACTAGGACTGATTTGTATTTCCCTCGAATTTGGGTTTCTATTGGTTTGTAAATGATTTTTGAAGAACATGATCCAGATTTACACACATTAACATTTTTAGTTAGTTTAGTCCATAAAAATTGGATTTTTTTATTATTTGCTTAAAACAGAGTTTGTTGTAGATTTTTGTATGATTGTACAAGGGAATTATGAATGCTTGTCTAAAATTTCAGTATTTCTCCAAAACTTGAAAAAAACTGGCTAAAAATTATAAAGCCTACTTAACTTGTTAGAATATTTAATTAATTGAAAGATCACACAAAGTTGACACAAAGAATCCAGTAATTGCGGAAAAATTTGGATTTTCAAAGAGAAAATCGACAAAACTGTAATTTGTGCCATCGAACTCTGCACTGTAATAGTTGATTTGGAAAAAGCTTAAAGTAGAATTTGGCCAAAAGGATTAATGTATAATTTCTACGACATCAACGCACCTTCATTTTTATTAAAACTGATTGAAAATTACCTAAAAGAACATTAGCGTGTAATAACAAAGGGTAAACTTCTTTCCCAACTACTATAAGTTAATTGTGAAGAGGAAGTGCTTTAACTAGAAGAAACTTTGGAAAGCAACAGCTTCAAAAACATATACAAATCGTCGGAATTTTAAATAAAAAGAATCAATCAAATATACGGGGAAAACACTGTTAGACCTTTCGAACATAGACTGACAGCATATGCCCTACATTTCTTGTTTCTTGTTCAAGCAATGTCGGGCATATTAACAGACGTAACGGCATCTTTCGGCCTGTATACAACCTGATAACAGACATTGACGGACTAGACTAGGTTAAGTTAGTATCTAATAAATTTGATTAGCATTCAATATTACAATAAAAATAATAAAATATATTTTCAAACAACAGAAATTGTGGGATAATTTAAAAATAATAATTAAACTAAAAACAATACTAATGAAAACATAAACATAAATAATAAATACAAATTCTTGCCTTTCCTATACTATCTCTTTCCCTTTTACCAGCTTTCTAAATAAAAACACAACACACAACACAACTAGTATAAAATTTCATAACATTTAGCAGATTAAATAAACAATAAAGATATATTAGTTAGGCTAAGAATAAGGAAGGATAAAAATCAAAATGTGACACACCTAAAGAAAAAATTTAAAATAAAAAGTAATGGAGTCTGCGGGGCTGAAACTTCTAAAAAATAACTAAGCTCCTGAATTGATAAAACAAAATCACAGAAACCCTAAACGATGATAATTATCTAGGATAAAAGCATAAGGTGCATGAATTTTACATCTATCATGGTCGAATATGACTAGAACGTCGGTTGCTTTTCTAGCATCCAAATACGCATCTAGAAGCTCTAGAAACGGTCCGATGGAGACATCGGATTGGATGTAGGGTATACTCATGTTGTTGGAGAGGTGGAACGCCGGGTCGTTGCCCGTCCAAGTCAGGTCCAGGATGAGAGCCACGCCCCCAGAAATGCTCTGGCAAACTGTAAGTACCCATCTGATAGTTATTGGTGTAAGTATTGGTTTAAGATTACTTTTTACCGGTTTGATAGTCTTCGTCGTTACCCTCCATGGCTGCATGGCTTACGGTCACCCTCAAGTCGTTGAGCGTGTAGTTTAAGGTTTCTTCCAATACTTTAACTACATCTTCCTGGCCGTGTTGTTTTAGAACGACTGCAAGTGAAGAATTTATCTTTCAAGATCATGTGAATAAAAACTTAATATAGATGTAAGAATAATATGAAAATAGATAAATTGTACTAGATATGCTTATTAAAGAAAATAGTATTTACAATACTACTTCATTTGTAAATTGTAGTTATCATATCCAAGAGTATTCAGATACATCATGTCGGTGGAGTTCAGAGGAATAATCAGAGGCTCTGCAGTGTTTTCTAGCATATTATCAGCTTCCTAAATTCTTTCATTCTATTTCAATCACATGTTCATAATTCCTTTTTGCGAAAGGGTTTCATCTTATTTAAAAAGTGATGTCTATATTCTTTCTCTATTAAAAGTGATTTCCTTCAAAGTTTTGCACAATTTATTCATATCCATGGGTAGAACCAAAACATTCTTTTTCATTGCATTATCCAAAGGTTCTATTTTTTAAAAGTAAAATGGATGTATTAATGTTCTCATGGTTTTTTCTTCCTGTAGCTCTTCTTTAAGGACCTGATGCGACCGTGTTTATTCTTGTGCACAAGTTGGTATAATTCTAGTCATATTCGAGCACATTTCAAATATTTTTGCAATTTTCAAGAACTTGGCCAACAACTGCCTGAAAGTAACTATAATTCTAATTTGAAATACTAAGGTAAATTACCGCCCATCTGTCTACCTGTCACTTTTGGGACACTTAACATTCATCATAGGTATAACACTACTTCTGTGGAATATGAGTAAGACGACATTCCCATTAAGAAAGACAACATAATCTTGTACGATACTAAATTGTCATTATAACGGAACGCTAACTAAAAACGTCGGTTTAATTCTTCCCTGAAATTAGTGATGTTTAAGTAGCCAATTAACCAAATCAACTGGAGTTTGCAAATAATTCGAGCGTTTCCGAGAATTTGGAAACTTGATAATAAAAGTAACCGATATTTTTTGTAACGAGGAACTCAGTACTATAGTTTTAACCATCAGACCAGAGCTGCGAATCCGGAGTCACTTGATTTCTCGTGCTACAACACTATAACTGTGAATAGGTTCAACTTTGAGTGTAAGCATAAATTTCGGGGTATTAAAACTTAACTTAATAATTTTGATAATTACGCGGCCAACTTGGATACAACTTGGCTATGTATGTGGGTGCAGTGCGTTCCAAATTTGTTGTATCTTGAGAACTATTATTAGGATACGCATTTACAATAGTGAACTTGAACGAAATTTTAATTTGAAGAATATTGCTTACAAAAGTAAGTTTATACTATTAAAAGCACCACAGTTCACAAAAAAAATCGTAGTTCTATGTTGAAACGCGCTGTCATTAGCTGTGACCGGTTGTGACGTCAGACGACTTTTTAAAAGGCCAATCTGAAAATTGACCTTTGGCGGGAATGTTTATGGTGATATCTGAAACACAAAATACTGAAAGTATTTCTTTTGCTCAGGCTCACGATGTTAAAGGTAAAAGGAAAATTTAGCTACTAGTTTTAAACCAATATATTATAGTAATCAGCTTCAAGTTTTCTAGTTTTCAAAATTCAACTCAAATCAATAAAATCAAATAAAATTTAAATTATTCAACAAAAAAAAAAACAAAAAGGATTTTTTTAAACTAGAAATAGCCGGGTGTCACAACTTGAATTATTTATTCTAACTTAAATATTGTGTTTTTAGGTAGGATACTAGGTATGCGTTATCTCTGTACATAAACAAATGCATTAAAGAAATAAAAGAAATGTTCAAGTTGCCTATTATGATATTATTCGATTAGTTTTGTATAACAGGAAATATATGGGTAACTGGACTTCACTAGAATTTAATGAAATTTTAGCATGTTATAGTACTAGTTTCTAGTACTAGTACTCGGTTTCTAGGTCTAGTTTCTATTGGCACTCAAAGTTAAAAATAGCGTTTTATGGTTAGATGCACAAGAACAAAAAAGCTACCAATTAAGTAAAATGATACAAAGTACAGATGATCGAATCGAAAAAGTATAATTTTTCCGAATTCGTTGGTCTCTACTAGAGCGTTGAACAAAAAAAAACCATATAAAAAAATATTAATTTTCATGCATTCTATGTAAGAAGAAATTAATGTGTTCGATTTGCGTTTCTACTTTTTAAGGCACCAATTATTAATTTTAGAACCATATATAGTTATTAATTTCTTTTGTGTTTCATACGAACGAAAAAGACCTAATAATTGTCTGTTTTAAAAAATCGTACTGTTACGCATTAAAGTTAAAAATTGTTGCCAGATAATTATATTTTAACCACAGTTGGATTCCAATAAAATATTTATAAGTGAAATAAACATTCTTTTCTGTCTGAAAAATGTTTGCCAAAATAAACTACTAGTTTTAGGCTACCAGACAGAGATTTGAAGACAAAGAGTAAACACAGCATAATTGAAGTGATGTAAGGTTACTTCTCCGCAACTTTATAGTTTTTATATCAATATTATCTGGCACTGAGGCCTTATTCGGATCCATATCTTGAATCAGTTTAGATATATTGTAGGAGTCCAAAAATTTTTGTCTATTTTAATTTATGTATCTGGAATAGAATACGCAAGTGTCTGTTCAACACCAACAAAGAACTTGTTGAAACTCTTGGACTGAAAATATTATTGTTAGAATGCTTCTGATCAGGTCTAGAAGTCGTTAGAAATTTCTTAATAACAGTCCACTGTTTTCTCGGGCCCTTCTTCACTTTCTTGCATTCATTTTCATGGTATTTTTGTTTTGATGTCCTTGGCAAATTTGTCAATCTTTTTTCTGACTTGTGCATATAATTATTAATATTGTTTAAATATAATTTAAAGTAGAGATATGAAAATTATTAAAACTTGCATAAATCATAGATTCATTTAGGAGAAGTGTAATGAAAATTTACTTACATATTTGTTTTTTTAGAATTTTAAAGAAAAAACAAAATATCTGTTTTAAATATCTTTTTTTTCTGACTTGTGCATATAATTATTAATATTGTTTAAATATAATTTAAAGTACAGATATGAAAATTATTAAAACTTGCATAAATAATGGATATACATTTAGGAGAAGTCTAATAAAAATGTACTTACATATTTGTTTTTTAGAAATATAAAGAAAAAACAAAATATTTGTTTTAAATATCTTGTTTTTTTAATGCAGCTGGTAGGAAGAATAAAATTATTGGGTATTCCTACGGTTGTTTGGTACATCTTGCATATAAATAAGTACAGAATATAAAACGTACATTATATTAAACCCTAAATCTCTTGTATTAAACTTTTTTTTCTAATATGTAAAATAAACACCTTTTTCCAAACTTTGACTGCCACTATTTTAGAAACTAACATAAAAACCTAATATTAATATAAATCGGATTATAAAAAAATAACTAGCATTATAGCATACTAAAATTAAATTAAATTGATCAATTTTCAAATGTATTTTGTTTGGATATTTGGATAGTTTTACAACTTTGAAGAGAAATTTCAGACAATTTTCAGGTTTCTAAAGATTTAACTAACGTAGCCGAAACATACAGAAAATAAAAAAAAATATTTTTCAAAAAAGATCAGAAAGTGGCAGCGGAAAGAAAAATATAACAATATACAGGTTGACCAATTAAAAAATCAAAGTTGCAGATACTTTTCGATCTAGGCGTTAATACTGAGTTACTGAAAATATTTTAGATCGACGAAGGGTAGTCAGAAACCTAAGTCACTAAATTTTCTGCAAATTGCTACGACCCGTTCGAATGTTCCCTCAAACCTGACACTTCATGTAACTTATTTGCTGAGTAACAAAATGGCCGTTTATTAGATTATTTGATAATTACGTGGTAAAACATTCTTGTTAAAAATTTGGCATTAATATATGCTTTTAGATGATATGGCTGTCAAATTGATAAAGTACCTTAGTTAAGTACCTGTCAGTGTGTTATGAGGTGAACAACTTAATCAACTGGAGCCCCGACTGGATAAGGATATAAAAACATTTTCTAATTAGTTTGAATATTGTAATTGAATGGCAAGCGCTCCCTTTGAAGAGGCCATTAAGGACTGTTACCGCCCTGCCTAGTTATCCTAATAATTTTTTCAATACAGAATATCCCTTGAGTGTGATACATGTACAATGGAGATATATAATTAAGAAATGTAGGGAAATAGTTTGCAATCGGTGTTTTACTACTGATTATGGTTTTGGTCCATTTTTGGCAGTCAGTCTTATGATTAAAGCACTAAGTTTTACGTCTACTTTAAGGCGTTCCCATAAATAGAAACCACGTCAGAGGAGCGAGGTGGTCTACCTTTTTCAATCCAATGTTATTCAAATGAGTTTTGATAGGTGTATTAAAATGAGGAGGAGCTTCATCGTACATCACAGGTATTAAGTTACGTATATTTGGAGGAATTTCTTCTAGCAGTTCGCGAAATTATTGTTGAATAAACTCTAAGTAAGATTCGCTCTTGGAAAAAGAAAGAATCAATTAAATTTTCGCCAGCAATATCCATCCACATTATTCCTGATGGAGACATTGAACTTAAGATTTTGCGTCACTCCATACACGATTATTATTGTAATTTACAATACCATCCATGATTCATCCATAAAAAATATAGTTTTATTAAAATTCCTATTCTTTTAAACTTTTTGATCAAATATCATTGGCGAAACTTTAAAGGAATTTTTTGATAGAAGTGCTTGCACACATTCGACATGATTGGAATAAAACAGTTGCTCTGAGGAAACCAGCCACACAGTACGATTACCTCCTAATCTAGTATCCGTGGTCCTTGTGCTCATGCCATGAGCTTTGTTTCACCACACGTAAAACATGTAATCTATGGTCTTATAACAAAGTGTAATATGACCGGATTAATATGTGATTGCAAAAACAACAAAAAAATGCAAACGAAAACAACTAAACTTTTTGGTTAGCACTCAACTAGAACGTATATATTTTTGCTGCTCGTCATTTCATTCAAAGAACTTAAAATCATACGTTTGTAATTAAACTGTAAAACTAACCAAAAGTATATGTCCTGATTTCATTCCATTGAAAATGGCAGCAGTCAAAGGAAAAATGAAGAACTCGTTTCGTAAATTGGGAAGAAGTATTTTGCCGATTATTAACTGTAACACATAATAATTAGAGTTACGTAATACACTAGCGGGCAATTGCTCCATGCGTCGGAGGAGAAGAAAGTTAGGAATTTCCGTACGTACGTATAGGTGAAACAAAGATTTCTAATTAATCAATAAAATTTAATCCGAATTCCGTTGTCTTTGTTTGGTGTATTATTGAAACTAAGATTCAAAACGAGAGGTAAGCAGCAATAAATTACACCAATTATAAAAAATCGCTATACATTGCTATAAACTTTAATGCATTAAGTTACATTGCATTGTAATACAAACCCTTGCAATGCATTTCACAAAATTACACACTTAGCGAAATATTGTAATTCTTTGCCCCCTTTATTAAAAAAACTTAGAAAATTTGTTTCTAAAAAAATTATATGGGGTTATCAAAAAAAAAAAGGATTCTCAACTTCTGAGCAGTAAGCTTGCCAGATATGTACAGAAAGTTGAAACGAAGAGAAAATTGTCAAAATATGACATAACTTGCAAACCGTAAAATAATCGGGTCAAACTAGACAAAAAATAGTAAGCCACAGGTTGCAATTAGAGCTAATTCTATTCTATCTAATTCTAAAATAGGAACAAAAAATGAAATATAGATATTTTCGATTCTTGATCTAATCTAATGGGTTATTTTGTCAGAGAACCGCTCCATGGGGTTTTACAAAATATTGACATAAACAATCTCGAGATTTCGTTGCTGTCCTTGAAGTTGATTTGGAAAATCAGGTCTAGAATAGAGTACACAGATATTGGTAAAAGTCACAGAGGTACAGGCACCGCAATGTAGTTAAAAGCTAAAATATGGGCCATCACATATCTGGTTGCAAAAAGTATAAAAAACCGTTTTAATTGCATTATATAATTTTGATGTTTAAAATATGGTACAAATATGTAGAGTAGGTAAAAATGGTCTGAAAATTCGAACTTTTAATATCAAAATTATTTTATTAGTAAATTAAATTTTAAGAAGCATTTTTATCGAACTTCTCTTAAATTAATTAGTTCAACTAGTTTAATTTCCTTAAGTTGAACAATTAAGTTCAACTGATTTTGTTGTATTAGCATAGTTGGCAGATTAAGAAACAATATTGGCTGGCTACTGATGTTGATTCTTCTAGCATCATTAATTATTATTTCATGATTAATTTTTCTAAGGAATTCATTTGGAAGTTTAAGTTGGTACGTATGGAGATCTTAATATTAACATAAATAAATTAACGTTTTGTTCTGGAATTACTAAAATCCATTGATCTTAATTTTCCAATTAATTATTATTAATTGACAATTAGCTGGATGATTTCAAGTTGTGTCTTCGGGCAGTTTTTTTGTGGATTTGTGTTCAACAAGGCGATCTCTCATGTACTTTTTATTATTCCGAATTTTTTTGTGGGTGTAGATGAATAAGCACGTAGTGCCCTCCTTGCAAAACTCATTATAGTATGCATATTGCAATTCAAATTTTGTTAAATACTTTGCAAGCGCTAAGACAATCCTAGACCAACTCTCATGTCTTATGGGGATTAAATAGAGATGTAAATATCCAAGAATTGTTGGATAACTTATTGATATTCTAATTTTCCAAAAATGAAAGTATCTTCTAAAGTTGCAGCTAGAATCAGTTGGTCTCTTCCTGTTTTAGTCTTTAATTTTAATTGAACTTTGATGGATAATTTTTAATTTTGAAAAATTTATAGGATTTCCTAAATCTTGTAAAATGAAAAGAATACCTTCATAGGTGTTAATTATTTGTGTCAATAGATCTTTTTGATTTTTGCATGAAAAAGTTTTGAAAATTATGCATATTACTTTCTTGTATTACAAATGTTAATGCTTTTGACAAGATACCAGGTTTGATACATCTGATAGTTATACCAATAGCTTCTGAAACCTAATAAAGAAAGTTTTTAGAATAAGGGCGTAATGTATATTTGTCATTACTCGTTTCGTGTGCACCAATAAACCAACAAATCAAATTCAGGATATGCAAAACTCATCACAAAATCCAGATTATTAACTATGACTTTTATATTTCCCTTTAGTTTACTAATTAGGAAATTCATTAGATAGTTTTTTTGGGAAGCAATTAGGTTCTCTAATATAAAATTTATCAATAAAAGTTTGACGAATAGTTAGATAAATCGTTTGTGGGATACAGTTTTAGGGGCTTCACTAATATTTTCGCTAGGTATTTTTTCTGAACTGAGCTGGTTGAAGGTGTAATGTTTAAATATTATCATTTAATTCGTCAACTTCTTATAAACTCAAGACATCGAATCGGCGATATTGTTGCTAATCAAGATTTTTGTCCTTACGAAATCCACAACACTAATCGCCAATAGATATAACGCCTGATCTAAATTAGGTGTTCATTATTGGTAAGTTATTTATGAGTGGAGATACAAAGTCGGTTAAATTAGGAACCTAGTATTATTTTTTCCACTGATTGCGATGGCAAAAACAGAAAAACAATTGTATTTAGGGTGTATTAAAAATGACGAAAATCTCCTCTTTTTAAATAGAAAATCCTGTATATTAATGTTACGTTATTGAATCACCAACGAAACAGAAAATGCCATATGCAATATTAGCCTAAAATTGAGAATAACCGAATTATCAGCACATTTCTCTTGATTTATTATAAAATTTGTATTACAAGTGAAGATCCGTGTTCCTGGATATTTTGGAGCATATCGTGATAATTCTATTCAAGCTACAGTCAAAGACTCGAACCTATCTTTTAATACTGTCCAAAGCATTAAAAAAAAGCCCTTTTTTGTCATTGGCATGTTAACTTTTGCCGCCAAAACTAAATAATTTTCGGTATATTTTGTGAACTAACGAATCAAATTTTTCAAATTCTTTTATAGTCCAAAAAATTATCATTTTTGCCACTGAGAAAATTTATTACTAGTACATCCCCGAGGTGGGCAAGTTCGTTTCAGATTTAACGTTTTAGTGCGGTACAATTGGTTCTGGCATTGTTGGTCCATATTTTTACGATAGCACGCTTACCAGTACATCGCAATTATTACTGAAATTCTGGAAGGTTTTCTAGATGAACTTGACCTCATAAGTAGGCAGAATCTCCATTTCCAACAAGATGGCGCACCAGCTCATAACTTCCGAAACGTATACAAGTTTTGACAACCACTTTCAACACTAAATGGAATGCTAGAAATGAACCTATTCCTTGACATCCTAGGTCACCGGATATATTCCCACTTGATTTCCACTTGTGGGGTTATTTACAGGCTGAAATTTATAAGGAAAGATGCCAACTCGTTGACGTTTGAAAAGTTGCAATAAGAGAAAAAATAAACCAAATGGATAGTAGAATAATACTAAACGAAATTGGCTCAATGGAAAAAGGTGCTAAAAAATGTATTGAACACGACGTGCTGTTTTTGAACACCTCTTAAAATAAAATTAATAGTTAATCATAAACGAATTAGGTTTTTAGTTTGTTTATTCCATTATCTTATTTCCATGTTTCTTAAGCTCAAATAAAACAATAAAAGGAAAATGGAGTTTTATTTCGCAACCACTCATAGCCATCAGGTCTAAAAGAGAAATATGCTGTTAATTCGGTTATTTTCCATTTTGTGCTAATATTGCAATGACATTTTCTGTTCCATTGGTGATTTACTTACGTTATAGTAAAAAATATACAGGGTTTTTATTCTATTTGTTATTTACGATAGTTAGAGTGGGGTCTTCCATTTAACAATAGTACAAAATGCTAGTAGATTGCTAATTTAACCAACTTTTTATCTCTACTCATAACAAAGTTACCAATGACTAACACTTAATTTAGATCAGTGTGTATATTAATTGGGTTCTGCGAGAAGGAAAATTGAAGAAATAGGACTCTGCTGGGTCAGTTTTCCAGGATCTTCTCTGGTGACATAACTTACATATAAACGGTTATTTTAATCTCATACTATAACAAAAACAAACAACACAAATAGTTTAATCTCACACACTAATTCACATGTTTTCACGAATACTGTTTGTTTTAAGTTGTCGCTTTTTCAGTATTCAGAACATGTAATCCTATAGCGATTGGCATCGGTATATTATTTCTGCTGATGAATAGTCTCCACCAAAATCCAGCTCCGTCGGAATTTCTGTTATCTGAAGTGTCTAAAATGCGCGATTTATTATACTACGAGTAAGGTCACTGAAACAGCGAAATACGCATAAACCGTGCGATTCGTTCTGACCTTTCGATTGCGCTACAATTACCATGAGCAATGTTAAGGACGCGAGAAAATAAACAAAATATATATAATATATAAGATGAAAGAATTTCACGCAGAAAACGGGGTATATACTAAAGTATACCAAGTATTTAGTTAAGGGGTAAATTGTTAATGTTTAAAAAAAAGATTGTGACCAGTTCGCAGTTCTTTCACTCTAGGGAAGGGCCAAAAAGCAGGAAGAATCATACAGTGAAAAATCCATCTTGCCCAACTTGCCATGAGCAGTCAGGTGATCATAGTAATTTCCAGTTTATCAATTTTTATTTTATTTATTAATGTTTTTCCTTTTCCCGAAGGTACTTTCAGATATCAGATATTCCTGTTTTCCCATCGAAACTGTCTGACTGCTCTCTATTTTGGTCGTCCCAAGCAAATAATTTCGTTTTTCTCTGTTCAAAGTAATCTTTTGTATTGAGATTTTTAGTAACTAAAATTCATTTCCTTCACAGTTTTCGACAATTTTTTATTGACTATGGGCGGAATTAAGGTATTTCTTTTTTTACGGATAACGATTATATTATAGTAAGCAGTTTATCGATCCTTATTTATTACAGTTTCTTTTCTAAAGGTCCTAAGGAACAATACATCAGCTCAAAAATGACAACAAAGCCTATTTATTGGTATCGGATTTACCCAGGGAGTAAGTAAGTTATTGCAGAATCTGAATTCCCCCGTATACACAAAAAAAGTTGCAAAAAGTGCAACGTGCGACTTATGCATTTACTTATTTAGCTACGTGGGCATATTTCACGTAGTTTTGGTCTCTCTAATACCTTCTCTGACATACATGCATTAAGCTATCAACTTTCCGCTTAAGCTGGCTGACTCTGCGATATTACTTTTTTTTTCTCGAACCGCAATCCGCAACGAAAATGACAATCATTCGATCAAACAAAGGAAAAAATTACAATATCGCCGAAGAGCAATAAAAATAAACAAATTTCACGCGCACTAATCAGTTCATTTTTGCACGCATTTCTCTTTTATTTCCCGCCGCTTAAGTGATTTTACTAATATTTAATAGCCGCACAAAGTGTTATCGGTCCATGATGAAAGTAACAGGAACTCCTTAGTCCGAAGGCGAATGTTCCGACAACCATCGAATGCAAAGTTCGATATGTTGAATGGAACATATTTGTGTCAGAACCGAGATATTTCGGAGCGTGTCGATTTTGCAAATTCAGATACGTAGAGTAAAGGCTTGCATTGTAGCAAGAGAAATTGCTTGAAATCAGCTCTTAAGTTCTCTCTCTCTCTCTCTCTCTCTCTCTCTCTCTCTCTCTCTCTCTCTCTCTCTCTCTCTCTCTCTCTCTCTCTCTCTCTCTCTCTCTCTCTCTCTCTCTCTCTCTCTCTCATTTGTAATCTTATATTACAAACGGACACTTCTGTAAAAGTAAATGCTCTTTTTAGGCTATCAAGGATGCCAGCGTATATTGAGCTGCGATAGAGAGCATTTTGCCCAATTATTGCAAATAAAATTTATTTTCTCAAAAAATTAAATTCGACAATATCATTTTTATTGCAATAAAAGCGTGACACTAAAACCGCATATCGATATTTTTGTCCCGACTCAATAAAAAAATAAAAACAGAATATCATCTTTGGTAATATTTTCAGAATAATTAAATACTCATTTTCGTTCTTCTTTTTCAAGTGCCGTACCCTCCCAGAATATTGGCGATCTTCACCTTGCCCGCAGCAGATTTAAACAATGTGGTGGTGCTTACTCCATACCACGGCGACCAGGACCCTCTATTTTTCCTTGCATGATTATATGGAGCAATTCATATTTTTTATTTCTCATTCCGTGGTCAAAATACTCCAACTTTCTTCTTTTAATGGTATTAAATTCCTCTCTTTCTTTATTCATATGTTGCAGAACCGCTGGATTCGTCACTTTGTCCATCCATGATATTTTCAACATTCTGCGTTAAGCACACATTTCGAAAGCTTCAATCCTCTTACATATTGTTTCAGTCCATGCTTCCATACCGTAGTATAATGTGCTAAAGACATAGCAACGTAATAAGGGTGACCTTGTCCTTTTGCATGTTTTTAAAAGATGTTCTTGTTTGCTCCATTGTGTTTTTGATTTCTTGAGTTGAGTCCCAGTTTTCATTCACCCAGCACCCCAAATACTTGTATGTACTCTCTCCACTATTTCTCCATGTACGTTGATATCTGTTAAGTTATTAGTTATGTTTTTGTTTTTGTTGATGCCAATCCAATTATATTTATACCTAGACCCATTTGTTGCCTTTGGTCTTTTACCGCTGATAAAAGTAGCTGTAAGTCATCCTTATCTGTTGCTAGTAAGACCGTGTCGTCAGCTTATCTTAAATTGTTGATGACGAATCCATTAGCAATTACGCCCTCTGTTCTTTCTTCGACGGGTTCCCTGAAGATTTTTTCTGCATATAAATTAAACAAAAGGAGGGAGAGCACACATCTTTGTCGAACTCCTTTCATAATAGGCACTTTTTCAGATATGGTTAACTCTTATTGGCTATTATTCGAATGTCCCAACAGTCCCGGCATATCTGCCGCAATGCCGTTTCGTAATCAGGCGTATACATCAACTTTCACATCTAAACAGCGCCTCTGTTGTGCCGAAACCACTTTTGAAACCAAATTGAGACATACCAAGGATTTCTTCACATTTTATATATACTCTGGAGTGAATGACTTTCCAGAACAACTGCAATACATGTCTCATTAAAATTATGGTTCTATAATCTTTGCAATGCTTGCTATTAGCTTTCTATGGCAGAGCAAGGAAAGTTCACCTGAGCCAATCTTTAGGAATTATTCCCGTTTTGTATATGCAGCTTAGCGAACCTACCAGAAGTTTTTGACACTTCTATCAGTATTTCATCTAGTCCTAGTGACTTTACATTTTTACATTTGATATAGCGTGTATAAATTCTGCCTTGGAGATATCCATCCCGTCTTCTTGAGCAATGTGATGTGAAGTACTCCCATTATCTCCAAAGAGATTTTCAATATATATTTTTTCCATTCCTGTAATTTTTCTTCTGTCGTACTTAGAATTTACTGTTGATCATTCATGAGACTGTTGTTGTTTCTCTCTTCATGTTGACCAGTTGTCGGTTTGATTTTCTTGTACAGTTTTCTTTCGCTTGTCTAATCTTAGCCCTAATTTCTTTGTGGATCGCTTTGTATCTAGTAGGGTCTTTATTTTTATTTGATCTACGGCAGTAAATTAATTTCAAAGTGTCATCGGTTTCGTTCCTTTTGCAAAATACATATAAATTTGCTGTTTCCATGTGAATCAGCTATGGGGGGAAGTCAGACGGGAAATATGTTCTTTTTAAGTGTAAATATACAGTCCATTAGATGGCATATTTCGACAGAAAAGCAAGTAAACCAAAATACCAAAACCTTATTGAGAAAAATAAATAAAAATAATTTTGTTAGTAATTCAACCGAAACTGCATAGAAATATGTTGAATTATATGGTTTGTTTTTTATATCTGCCACATTCCACAGAACCACCTTAACTTATGGTGCATACATTATTGACAATACTTTGGGACCTAAAGGGCCACCAATTGAAGTGGCTCAGGAAGCTAATCACATATTCTTAAAATCCTACAGGTTAAACCATTCCAGGTCTACAATATCTTCAAAAAGTGGTATTGCTGAACTCTTTTTAGGAGTTTTTGATTTGTTAGACTTTTCTGATGACGCCAGCTCATAGTTATTACATTACATTATAGAAATAAGGAAAAGATCTGCCTACTCACGATGTGTCCGAAAAATCTCATTATGCTTGGAAGGCAGGTGGAAGCGTCTGTTGCTGATATGCAGTCCTCTAAGGATTGCCTCGTTTGACCTGTGAGCCGTCTATGGAATTCGAAGCATGCGCCTCTAGCAGCTGTCGAAGGCATCTATCCTTTTTCTACCTGCTGTTTCAATCGTCCACGTTTCAGCACCATTAAAGATTGAATTAGTTTCATTTTAGTGTTTTTCGTAATAGATCTGTTTTTCCAGACCTTAGGTAGTCGACTTATTGCACTGTGAGAAGTTACTACTCTTCTTCTGATGTCACCTTCACTGCAGAATATTGAAGTGACAGACTGTCATAATTTTGGTTTTATCCCCATTTATCGTAAGACCACATTTATTGCTCCCTGTCTCGACTCGATTTAGAAGATCTAACGTTTCGCCTGAATAGCTCAGATTTGTAATCTTTTTGCCTACAATTGAGATTTCTTCATTTCATTCGCCTAGTGTCTTTCTGATTAAATCGTCCACTTCTCAGCCCCATCACAGATTGAACTAGTTTCATTTGAGTGTTTTTCGTAATAGATCTATTTTTCCAGATTCTGGGTTGTCGACTTATTGCACTTTTAGCAGTTACTGCTCTTCTTCTGATGTCACCGTCGCTTGTACCCGTTTTCAATGGTCAACGAGTAGAAATCTTAATTGTAGAGTGTTGAAGTGACCGACTGTCATAATGTCGCCTAATGCCTTTCTCATTATGTTTGCCTCGTAGATGTGGAAGAGCCTCTCTCCAGATGCATCCCTGGCGAACGCCCTTGCCGGATTTGAATGATAACGAATGCTGGTTTTCTTTTCTGACCTTGACATTACAAGAAGCACGAAGCAAGCAAGCAGGTGACCATTGTAATATTAAATTATCTGCATTTCAATGTTCTGTTCTATGGCGCCTTTGCTTTTCACGAAACCTGCCTGTTTTTGGGGGATCTGTCAATCTAGATGAATAATGTGAAGTAGAAGCTTACTCGGCTGCGGTATTAACGAAATGGTGTAAAACAAGAAGTCGACCAGCCTTTGGGCTACTGACATGCTACTTCACAATAAATAGCTTTTTAATATTTGGGATGAGTTTCTAGACAGCTGCTAATTGTCAGTATTTCGGTTTTGTATGCTTTTTATTAGTTTATAAGACATAATAATAAAATAAATACATTAAGACGTATCTCAACAAAAGTTACATTAAAATTTGTAGGTACAACCTTAAAAATATAGAAAGAAAGATATTATGTAGATAGAAAGTGGAAACACTAAAATCAAACAGAACATAGAGAAAAGAGAAAAAGAAATAACTCATAACTCAGACCTTATATGCTTAATTAGTTTTTTTAACTAAAAATATTGTTTAATCTTCTTTAATACTACTAGGGATTTTGTTAAATACTTTAGTGGCCACGTTGCTTAGGGAGATCAATAAGCCGAATAGAGCACCCATGGTGGAGCCAGAGTTAATAAGTAGCAACAGACTTATAAGCAGCCAATCTGAACTTGAAATTTTGAATGAAGGTTCAACCAGGTTGGCCGCTGTAGCAATCGAAAATATGGTCGTATTTGCAGTAGATATGAGTTCTGAACCTTTTGCAAGCTACTTCAGCCAATCTGATGCAGGACCGGAAACAAAATTACATTCAATATGCAAGCTGTAATAGAACCAAACTATTACACAGCCTAAGTTTAAACTTCTCTGCTCAGAGCCTTTTTATGATCTATAGAATTTATATATAGGCCCAGATTTCTAACGGACCCAGATTATTTTAAGCGAAAATTGTCAATCCAAAAATTAAATTATTTAATATTCATTAACTAAGATGTATGGGTACCAAGACCAAGAATTCTTTCTTGCTACTATTTAGTTTCAAGCAGTGGGATTTCGCTAGTTCATTATTCGATTGAAGATCACTATTAATAGTATCGATAGCGAGATCAACGTGAACCAAGGGAAAAGAATAATATAATTGTTGGTCATGAGAAAAACGAAATTGCAAAATCGGGTGTATAAATACAAATAAAAAAAAACAGTACCTATAATAATCATCTGTCTTTTAATGCCAAGATAAACTGGGCCGGTGTTAGATCATTGACATTTATTTCGTTACAAATATTATTAAAAATTCCATTGCTTTAAAGAGTGGAATGGCGAATTGAAATGTCAACTTTCCTGAATGAAAATGCCGAATTACTGCTATTTATTCAGTAAGATGGGATCAATGGGAGATTCAGTTATTTAGTTGGTTTTCTTTTCTCGATATTTTTGAAGGAAGTCATAACATTGCTAAAACTTTCTATATTTGGTGAGCACCTTATTCATGACTTGCATTTTTTACTATACCAAGTGCAAAGATTCGGCACAGAAAACATGTACGTCGACGCTTGTGCTTCGGTGGCGGTACATTAGGCCGCAGACTACTTCTAATTTATTAACGCATATCTGTACCGAGGCAGCTACCAGCAAAGTGTGCTAACAGTCTTTATGCACTCGCGAAACAAAAGTGACCCCCAGGAACGCCAGATTTCGTCTCGATAGTGTTGAACTTGTCCCGCGCAGATAAATGGTGTTTGTTGACAAACGATGGGTTGCCACTATGCGTGTTCGGAGATAAAATAATTTACGCGGCAACGCAGAGCGATATTAATTTGCATGTGTGCGTTCTGATTTTAAAGGTTCTGTTTCGATTCGTCATTTATAGTTGTAATTGTTTTGGATTTTTTTTTTGCGTCCGAGGGTAAGTAATGTTTTAATTGAATTTTCTCAAATTTGGGTTTGAAGCCCTCTGCGGGCAGCAACAAATTATCGGCAATTACGTAGTAATTTAAGTAACTATGCAGGTGTCTTCATACTTTTCCATCATTTCCATATATCATTCTTATCTTTGACACCTAGGAAATTTACCATTAGGACAGTATGTTTTTATTTTTTATTTTTTTTTGCTAAACGTTGTTGACGTTAAGGCTGAATACTTGCTTAAGAATGTTCGACGCAAAGTACAGTCTCAAATTTTCAGGGTTGAAACGGATCTATGGATATTCACCAGGCACCCAACATTTCGGGATACATTCGATGAGAACGACTACGGATATGCCATTATGAGCATTTTTGGTAAGCATTGTATGAGTAATTATTTATTTATAAATTTGCAAAAAAAGCACAAACTTGCTCCCAAAAGTTTCAATTCAGATCGGCAAAATTTAAATGCTCTCCTTTCGGCCAAAATATGCACGTATCACTTTCTATTTGATATAACTCGTAATATCTAAGCGATACTTTTACTCGACCAGCCTTGGGGCGTTTTAAAAAAATCGCAATTATAAGTAAAATATGAATAACGCAGCTGCCGGTACATTGTTAATTTAAACAAGTACAGTATTTGCAAATCACCGGTTCGTTTAAAATTGATTTTCGATTGCGGAACCGAATATTTCAAAATAAAATCTTCGAGTGGTCGAAATTTCTGCCGCAACGGGCACAGAGAAATTTGTTTTGCGCAAAACGCGCAACCATCGAAAATCGCGTGATTAAAAATTGCGATTTTTTTTTATGCCCGATGAACGCTTTCGGCGGCTGACGAAACGTTCGCTACAAAAGTTGCATTTTCATTACAAAACCATGTTGCTCTACGTTGTTTGTCTGTTCTAATAGGTTGTAAACTTTATTGCTGAAAACTCTCGCCACGTCATTCTTTACATTTGAGTTTTAACTACATCAATTTACATTTTTTCTAAAAAAAAAACGTAAAGTCTAGTTATTCTGTAAAGCAGTGGAAATTCTTAACTAACAAAAACTTAGATTGAAAAGTGCGAGTCATTTTTTTTGTGTAAAAATGTGAATTCGCAAATCATCGCACTTTTTGGAGAACTAATCAAACCTTTACCCGATTTTCACGAAATTTCGTTAAGGAATTTGCAATTTCACACTTTCTTTTAGGAAATTTTATAAAAAAAGTAAAAATTCATACATACAAAATTTCGTCAGAAACTAAGAAATTGCATTCCTTTGTATGAAATTCAAATAAAAATTCTTAAAAAAGGGTAAGTTTTGTATAAAAGTATGAGTTACAAAACATGCTGACGTTTCGCCAATCATCCCGTTGGCTTCTTCAGAACTTGACTGAAACTGAAAAAGCCAACAGGATGATTGGCGAAACGTCTGCAAGTACGACTCAGCAAAAACCGACGCAGGAGGAATCCAGAAGTTTTGTAAAAAGCATTACAGTAGCCTGTGGAAGTTTCTTTGAAAAATTATACAAAACATTTTTACGAAACTCGTACTTTTTTTTAGAAAACCAACGAAATTTACAATTTTTACACATAATATCCCAAGAACTTTGTGAATTTGTGCTTTTTTTGGAAATTTCGTAAAAAAGTAGGAATATTCACTTTTTTTTTACGAAATGATTAAAGAAGTGTCCATTCACAAACTTTTTGCGAAAGTGAAACTGCAAGTGTGATTTAGCAAACTTTTTCCAAATTTTCTCAGATTAAAACTAAACCCTAGCTCTAGCATTTTAAAGGCATATATTACATATTCAACTATAAAAGTGGAATCAAGTTTAAGTTCCCCGTTTTTTGTTGAGGTGAAGGACAGTGTATTGTAATGCAAATATCTTCTGATATTTTACAAAAAAGAAAACAATTTTATTTTTTTGGGTGCTAATTTGACAGATTTGCCCATAATGCAGCATTTTTGGCTTTCACAAAATATGAAGTTTAAAAAGTTTTAAACATAAGGAATTTTTAAATTTTTCTAAATTTTAAAATTACTAAATAATTAAAATCTAAAACAGCGGATTTAAGTTTTTGCGTTATATATCTGCGAGTCAAAGACAACCCCAATTTTCCAAATTTCAGTGCTCTCTTACATAGCAAAAGTCGATTTTGAAATAGGTATAGGTATGTAATAGATAGTGCTTTTATATGTGTTTGCCAATCATCAAACCAAAATATGGTCAGAAATTTGTATTCTTTATTTCATGTTAAAGACAAAGCAGTAATCAGATTCTAGTAATAGAATGTGTTTCGAAATTTGAAAACCTAACTATAACAGTATATTCTACGTAAAAAAGACTTTCAGACAAATCAACATCATAGATGTCAAATTAACAGCAAAATAACAATCTAACAAATAAGATGAGTATGATAAGGAGTGTATTTTCGAAATCCAATTTTCTCCAAAATTTCGTTCTGGCGATATCAAGCAAGTCTACTTTTATCTCGTGACAAAGCACAACTTTTCCCATTCAAAAAGTACAAAAGTCAGCTCGCGAAAAAGTTATTGCAGTTTTTGTTACCTGTATCCAAATGATAAACGCTAATATTTCAAAACTTTCTTTCAATGTTTCGGAAATATTAATAAAAAAAAAACTTTTCTTTTGGGGTCCGTGGCCGTGGTAAGGGCGTTTCTCGACATATGTTCATAAAGAAAACTAGGGTTTATTTTAGACATAGAATATTCTGTTATATAGTTTCGCCAACTAATTTCGGGACAGAGCATACAGAGTCAGCATTATATGCGAACATTTTGCAAATTTTGAACCTGGTGATCGTTTCTGCAAAATAATAAATAAATCAATTTACGAAAGTTTTTTCATATATTTTTTTCACTTTTCTACAAATATTTATGTCGATTTAAAAAAAAATAAATCCCCACAAAATTCATTTTTTTCGTCTTCCGTAAATTGATTTATGTATCATTTTTGAAGCACGCGCTATTCCCAAGTTCAAAATTTCTGAACTTTTATTACATTAATAAATATTTTATTACCGAAAATGAACAAAAAATAAACAAATATACTGATGAAGTTAATATTCAAAAGATAAAAATTTGTTGATCCCGTAAAATAGGTAATAGAGCCTAGGATCCAATAACATGTTCAAATTGAAAGTCATCTTCTTCAATGCATTTAGCGATAAGCATGCCCAATTTTAGTTACGTTAAGCTAATATTAAGTTGATGATGGGCATAAAAAATCGAAACATCATACTTAAAACTTAATAATGCCAACTTCTAGGGGAGAAAAAGTTGCAATGTGAAAAGAACAACTTCAAAAGACATGATTTCCGAAACTTCGTTCTCATATCGTCCAATAGTCACGATATGGGTTTATTAAAAAACAGTTGTTTGCATGACCACAGCGCGATCAATAAATCGGATGTTAAAGTGACACTGAAATGACTGGACTAAATTGTGAATATTTTAAAAGTATTTTTGTATTTCAAGTTAAGATGACATCAAAATAGAAAATAATAAAAGTTGTTAATATTCTTAGGACGCATAATTTTAAACATTTTGAAGCATACAGGTTGGCTCAAAAAAGCGTGACGAATAAAACATATATATTTTTTAAGAGGTATATCCCATTTCTAAATTTCGTTTTGAAATCCTTTTAAAATTGTTCAAGTTTTTTATTATTAATAATAATACATACCTAAACACTGGAAAAATAAATTTGGATAGCGCTATTTCTGGTATTAGCATTATTGACAGATGACGTAAAAGACATTTGAGTTAGATGCTATGGGTGTTTAAAATAACCGAATATATTTGGATCATTTTAAATTGAAAAATCTCGATTTTATTAAATTTCACACCATATATTTAATTTTTATTATGTCATATATCTATTTCTAATACTTTTCGATTTATTTCAACTTTTCCAATATTTACCCTTTTTTCTGTCTAAGACTATTGCTGCAATATTAGTTGGCCGTGACAAAACTATTAGGCTCGGTTAAAATTAAAAAATGAATAGGAGAAAGAATTTTATTGCAGCCGTAGGTAAAGCAACAGACAGTCATATTTTGGTGACAATAATGACGAAATTTTCAATTTACATAAAAGGTAAATAATATAAAATGTTCAGAAATATGCTCTTTTCTTGGAGGTTCCTTAGCATGAATGGTGTTATTCTCCCGAATCCTATTTTCCATATCTTCACAAAAATAAATCTAGTGGTGTGAAAAAAATCTTTTGCAGCAGATTTTAAGCGATCAAATCTTGTAAAACCTATTTTTGTAACGATAAAAAAGATTCCCTTATAACTTATTCTAAGCAAAATGGTTAGGTAAGTTGTTTTCTTTCACTTAACTTATGCTTATATCCGGATTAAAATTTTTGTCGACCAAACGATTTGCTTCAGTCAATTTAAAAATAGGGCAAATCTGGAAAAAACGTGTGGTAGTATCATAAGGTGACACCGGCAACCACTTTTAAAAGAAAAAAGAACTGTTACGTTGTTCTTTGCGCGAACTTTCCAATACTTATTATTGCAGATCGATACTCATATTGACTTATTTATGAATTTTTTCCTGACCAGTTTTGCAGGCATTTGAACGTGCTCGACGGCACTTTGATCGGCTGTCAGATGAGAATTCTTTCTACTACGCCTATTGATTTATGATTTATTAATGACTCTTAGGTGTGTCTTTAAAGTTATTTGGTTAAAAACGCGGGATCTCTGCCAACTCTCTTTAAAATTAACCACATGTGTCTAAAACATTTTTTAACATTTCAGGATACTCGACTTCATGGCTGATCATCGCCATCTTGCTAGCTTGTAATCCCACCACATCTCTAAACTGTGATAAAGAGTTCACCTACTTCGAAACATACGGCCAAAATGGTTTCAACGTCACCTGCAACGGCATCACCAAAGGTTACGAACATATCCTCGAAAACATCACCATCTACAACGAAATCTCGCTCACCATCACCAATTCAACTCTGGAAAACATAACACCCAATATCTTCAGACGCGTAGACAACATTAAGAGCCTCGCCATAGTGAATTCAGAACTCAAATTTGATCCGAAACACGAAATATTCAGCTACTTAAGAAAAATCGAATCGTTGCAAATTAAAAATACAAAACTTTCAATCACCAATGCGACTATGAGGAAGCTGGTGACGCTGAAGTACTTGGTGTTGCGAAACAACAATCTTGAGTCTGTGGACGAAGGCGGACTTCAGGACCTGGAAGCTCTAGAGAAGATGGAGCTAACTGAAAACAACGTTGCTAATGTTGATGACTTACACTTGTGCGATTTGAAAAGCTTAAAAACGCTCAACCTTCGTGGCAACGTAATCAGCACCCTGAAGTTGTTCTATTTTATGTGCCGAAAGACCGGAAACGCTCTAGACTTTACCATTAATGACAATAACTTTGTACCTTTCGTCAACAAGGGGTCATATTTCAACATCACAGATAGCAATTTCGATTTGGTCGATATAGATTTAAGTTTCAACCAGATACTAGACATCGGGCATGCGTTGGAAGGTTTAATCAAGTTGAAATACTTAAATTTGGCGAACAATCAGCTAAGTCGCATCAAATTCGTCTCTTTTAAAACAGCAGACAAGCTTGAAAGGTTGAACCTCAAAAATAACCAAATTACCGCGATAGAGCCGCAGGTATTCTTGAATAAAACTTATTTGAAAGTCTTAGACATATCGCATAACAGGCTGACTAGCTATGTCGTTTCCAACATGCCCAAGCTGGAGATTTTAAACTTGGAGTATAACTCTTTAATCAACGTTAGCCTACAGAACATGGGAAAGTTGAAGACTCTGAATTTGGCCTACAACGCACTGAGGAATATAACCTTGATGTTTCGCAAGGTTCCGAATTTAACCAGTATCAATTTGTGCGGGAACCAAGTGCACTTGAGGAAAAACTATTTCAAGGAAGTCCCGAATCTGGAAGAGTTGAGCTTAAATAACAACTCGCTGAGGGAATTGCAGTCCGAGTTATTTTCGGGGCTGAAGAAGCTGAGGATTTTAGATCTGAGCCGGAACAACTTGGTGTGGATAGGAAACAACGTTTTTAACGACCTCGAAAACTTGGAATCGTTGAATATTTCTTACAACGATATAGAAAACTTGCCGTACAGCGTGGTGGAGCCGTTGAAAACTTTGGAAGTACTTGATATATCGAGCAACAAGATCAAGTTTATAGAGTACGATCTTATAATCTCTAAAATTCCGACATTGTCGATCGTATACATAAAAGAAAATCCGCTGACCTGCGACGTTTTGGCAAAGATTATAGCTTTTTTGAAGAAACGTCGTATTTCCTTCACCGTGACTGAGGCTCTGGAGTTCGAAGCTGAGAACATTGCTGGTATTCCGTGCACGGATTCGGTGGACAGTGGCGCGGTAGTGACAGTGCACACTAAAAGTTCACCGAGTGGATTGTTTAATTTCGGGGTCAGCTTGTTGACGATTTTCGTGGCCTTGCTTTCCGCTATAGTGACGTACAGGGCGTACATTTATTTGAAGCGCAGACAGTACAGGGCGGATGAGTTTGAATTAGTGGATGAGTAGCAGAGCTTGTTGATTGTTAACAAATAAAATCGTTTTCAGTAGTGGACTGTGTTCTGTTAGTAAAGGCAATTGAAATATTTCCAGTGACGATTATTGCATTATACGAAGGGTAAATTACTATGGTATTTTGGTTTGTTTGGTTTTGAAGGAAACGGAATTTCATTTAAAGATAACAGCGAAGCGACGCGGAAAAAGAAAGATATGACCACTGATATTTACTGTCGTTAGACAATTTTTTATAAATCATGGCTGGGAATTAAGTTACTAAGACAAAAGTTAAGTTTGTTAAATTTTTTGAAAAGTACCCATATGGACAAAAACCTTCAAGAAACACTGTTTTAAAGGAATAATAGACATAATATAATATAAATTTTAAAACATTTTTTTAATTTATTATAACAATATCTAATTTTATAAAAAATCTAATTTCTATATATTTTTTTCTGGACATTGCAAATAAAAGCTATCTCTTTAATTAGTGTTAGAAAAACATTTTATAGATTTGAAATCATTTGTAATAAAATAACCATTGCAATAAAAAATTACTAATTAGGTGGCTCAAAAATATCCATTCCACAGAAAACCAAAATAGTGACGTTTCTGTAGTTCTCAATTGTTTTTTTGCCATGTTTCGACGTCACAGCATTTTTACAATAAAAAAAATTTATAGCTAAATTTTCGAAATCTACGTTTTTTAAAAAACAGGCAACATTGACATTTTTTAAATAGCTAATTTGACAAAATTATTAAAAAAATATATTAACGATTTTTTTATTTTAATTGTTAATATTAATTTGTGATCACGCTGTATGCATTTATTGTTTAAACATTAACACTAAATATATAGAAAAAAGCTTTCAGACTGAGAAAGCTATAATTATACTGGGTGTAACATTCCCATCTTGTTCATGAAAAATTTAAACCATTAATGATCACTCTACGGGAAACTTTGTTATATGTGATTTAACTGAGATAAAACCAATGAGTTACAGAGAAATTTTGTTTAATTTTTCATTATAAAAAATGTTATCTGTGGAGGTTTATTACTTTTAATGCATCATAGGCTCTCTAAAAGTTATAAGTAACATGCTCTCCAATTCGAAGTTTACAGTCTAGATACAGACCCAGAGTTTTATGCAAATTCGAAAATTGCAATGCGAAGTCATCAACTTTTATTAAAAGTTATATCTTTACCTTTTGAACCTGATTATCATTTTCAAAAACTACAACGGACGACTTTGCGTTATTAATTTTAAGTAAGTGATCATGTGCACACATATAAAAGTTAGTTATACGGGATTAATACTTTAATTAAATCGCGGCACTCACCTGAATAAACCTTAAGACAGAAACTGAAAGGTCATGGTTGAGCTTATCAAACAACCTAGTAAAGTCAAAACTATGGAAGTTTTACTACTGTTAGCTGCTATGAATTAGTCAGACTGTATAGGGTTATACAGGGTGTTTCAAAATAAACGTAAAAAGTTAACGGGCCGATTCTTTGTTTAAAATTAATGGAAGTTAGTTATATAAACGTTGAGTCCATTCGGGAGATCTCACGCTACAAATATTTAAAATTTTTATCTTAAAAACGAAAACAGGTAAAACAATAAAATAGTACGGTAGTTTTACTATCGTAAAAACACATTTTCTGTATATTTAAAATGAGTGGAAGAGATTGAATTAGGCAAACCCTTTCATTTCGATTAACTAAATTTAAAGAAAAACTTACGCAGTGATATAATTTTTTGTTATTTTATATTTTATTTACAATTTTTTTTTCCTGCAATTTTTTCATAATTCTTACCGTCTCCAAATAAAAATCTAAACCAACGAATCACTTCTTAAGCCGGTCCTTACAATTTTTTATTTTTCTTTAAATTTGGTTTAGAAGAATTATGGTGGTAGTTTAATTCAATCCCCTCCACTCAGTTAAAAAAAAATATGCAGAAATTGTGTTTTTATAATAATACTTCCATAATATTTTATTGTTCTATTTTAGCTCCCTAATTGACTTGGCGCAACTTTTTCATATTAAACTACCATTTATTTTAAACAACGCATCACTGAAGTTTTTCGAATCTGCTTTAAAACACCTTGTGCATGGTGATATAGCTTCAAAATAATCCCACCTATTTATCATCCACTTAAAACTTTCTATTATCGTATCAATCATCCTAGGTATTACGTCTAGGTTATCTTTAGAAATGTCGGACATACTTATTTGCTTTTAAATTTACGTACACCTTATTAAAATAAGGTTGTAAATATGCAGGTTATAATGAACAACAAAATATAAAAAGAACTTATCGCTAATACGAAAATATATCAATGTCACTTTCTGCTAGTAGTTTTAATTGCGAAATTATTAGTTATTGTTTCTAGTTGATTAAATAACTAATACAATATATTTTTTTTATTGAAATTTTGTATTTCCAAGTTATTATCTAATTGTTGAGTGTATATATATATATATATATATATATATATATATATATATATATATATATATATATATATATATATATATATATATATATACGTGAAAAAAAAAAGACTCTAGTCCAGCAGATCGAAATCAAACAAAACAATCAATAGCACGTCCACACAATTCGTCCCCTAAAAAGGAACTGGCCACTCCGCGCTCCTTCGCCGACTTCGTCTCCGACAATTGGCAATAGAGGGCACTCCGCACATCACCACCACACAGCATACTCCTACCAATTTTTCACAAAAAATTAAACTTTCCATTTTTGCTCTACCCAATGCCGATTACTATATTAAGATAGCTTCGCCAGGTAATCGACTTTCATATTTTTGCAAAGTTTTTTTTCGGCAACGGTTTGTGGTTTTAGTTTTAGTATCTGCTTACTTGTGATGTACATAAGTTTGTGTAGTTACGCTCCCCAGATACAATGCTACACCTATCTAATATACATTTTTTGTACACGTAAATAGAATTAGCTTATTGCCAAACAAGGGACCAAGTTTACTGTTTTCGCTTTGACCGAAATATTACTTGAAAAATATGCTGCTTGCAATATAATGGAATTTAGAAATTATACTATGTTTCTTAATGCGACGGAGGAATAACATGTAAATTAGCAATGACGGGGGTTATTAATCAAGGGGGACAACGTATTGTAATTGATCTTATAGTACAGTAGAAAAATAAATATAATAAAAAGTTATATAGAAGTAAAAATAATACGAATATTGAGTTTGAAAATGTTGAGTTTTGGTGGCGAAGAGCTTTGAACACATCGAGAACAACAATTTTCTCATTTTTGGAAAACGTAGTTTTACTATTTCTCAGCAACAAAATCAGAACCACTGGACATTTTCTAGAAAGAACTTTGTCAGCAACCTGCGAGAAGTATCAGTCTATTTTTAAGCACTATGACACAGTTAAGCGAACTACTTGTCTCTCTCGACACCCTTCACAATTATAGGCACAATACTATGACTATGGAATAAAACGAAGACCACTAGGTTTTACAGTTCATTTTTGATTTACAACACTCTCGAATTAAGAAGCAGAGCATGGGGCAAAAAGATTATACTGGGTAAGAAGAATTACTCAAATATTTAAAATACGAAGTCTCATAAAATTTTTGTATACGAACGCTTTTTATTTAGTGAAACGTGTTTTGGAAGTCGTATTTGTTAGTAATGAATACTTTGCCTCTATTCATTTTCATCAAATTGGGCATATATTGGGCAAACAAAGTACGTTAAAGTGAAATCTAACCCCAATATATTTGGTCTAAGTTGATATTTATTTTCGGGAGAGAAAGATATATACATTACTCTCAGTTTGGGCCAGCAAGGTCGGGCAGAAGGGGTCGTTCGTTTTTTCTATTTTTTAGATGGTTTACAGATACAAAAGAAAATCAGATAGAGTAACTAGTTGAAGCGAAGGAGATATGGTAAGGGGCTATTAAGACAGTAACAGCCGGAATATCAGTGAGGCGGGCAAATTAAAATTTTCAACACTACAGAGTAATAAAAGTGACTTTCGGGGATACAAACCGTTTTTCCTTTACATGAAGAAACTGAATTTGTTGAATACATAAGACTTGGATAACCGTTTTTACGGATTAAACAGAATTACATATCAGCGTGCAAAAAAAACCTCACCCATTTCGAAATTATACCGCAGGAAAGCAATAGTATCAACACTTTATGCGCTGGCATTCGGAGTCTCCGACAGTCTGAATCTACGAACCAAGGGCTCATGGGTTCAATAGAATTCAGTTGAGATATTTTTTCAAAATTTTAAAGCTATCATGGACAGACATAGAAACATTTTGGATAACGTGTACAATGCTGACGAAACAGATATTTAAACCTCTTCATAAAAGCCGCCAGAGGCGATTTCATGGGTTGGAAAAAAAACAAATTAGAAGCGTTTCATCGTCCGAACGTGTCATACTGATTACTTCCCTGTTTGTTACCCTGCAATTGACGAATTCATCCCGTCAGCCTTGTATTCCCAAAGAGGAAAAGAAGCACTGACAACTATATAATATTAATAACTGTGTCACCAGAAACCACACATAAATTACAACCCCTCGATGTTTTGGTTTATGGTTCAAAACTTAAAACACTTATCCTTTTCAATATATAACTTTTTTGACAATGGTGAAATATTTTCAGAGGTATATCTAAAAGCTGCCAATGCAATTGGTGAGTTTCGAAAAACTGGCATAACCGACTGTGACATAAATGTGTTCACAGATTTAGATCTCTTGCCCTCTCAAGCCACAGAAATCGAAGATCAAAAAACCTAGATTCAGAGAACGAAGAAAGAAAGAAGAAAGTTTTTCAAGATGACTCTAACATTCATAATATGGAAGAACTTGACCTCCAACCCAAACGACGGCAACGAGGCTCCAACCCGAACTCAAACCTACTAACAATAATAATGATTCAACTGTTTCTTTCGAAGATAACAACATACCACCAACCTCACATGATGCCGTCGAAGTTGATAATGACCATGAGAATTAAAATTTTCGAGTCAGTTTCAAAATGCCACAATAGAAAGAAGGTTATGAAAAGAAAAACTGAAAAGTCGGAGGTATATACATCAACCCCTGTGAAGTCTATCATAAAATAGAAAAAAATTGCAGTCAAACGTCAAACTACTGACTCCCTCTGTAAACTTTCCACTTTAACTACATTTTTTTAGAGAGTATCCCGCAGGTCAAAAAAACAAACATGCTGTTTAAAAGACAATTCTTTAATATGGGCTTAAATTTATCAAGAGTGCTGATCTTTTATATGGGTAGCAACAGGTAAACAAATGAAATGTGCCTGTGTGGTAGTTGTTACGAGACCAATAAACTTGTCAAAGACTGAAATTAATTGCCTTTGCAACCGAAAGGTTTACACTATTGGTTTCTAATAATTTGGTTGGTGTTTAAGTGTATTAGCTTGATGCATACTATACTCCAAAAAGCTGCTTAAATGATTGCTTCAATCGAAAATAGACTTGGCCAGTGAGCTGTTGCTCGACAATTGGATATGACACACAACAGTTCGAAGAGTGTGTCAACGTTATGAGGAGATCCTTTGATAGGCGACTCGTAACATGCAGAAGACGATTTACAACGGCTCGTGATGACCGTTTTATTGAGTCCACGATAATAAGAAATCGTCACTTTAATGCCCTTCGAGTGCAGCTGTTGCTCCGTGAAGTACGAAGAGTGGCTATTAGTGCGTGGGCAATAAGAAGAAGACTGCATGAAAATAACTTGAGCACAAAAACACCTTCAAATGGTCCAAAATTTACACCAGCCCATCGACAAGGTCGCCTACGCTTTGCACGAGATTAACTGAATTGGACATTGGAACAATGGGGGTCTCTTCTATTTTCATATCAGAGCACAATACGCCTCTGTGGTAGCCATCGACAAAGAAAAGTATACCGAAGACCAGGAGAGAAATTTGCAAAGGGTGCATTCTTCGAGTTATGGAGTGGCCAACATGTGGTTCTCACCTCAATCCGATCTCACATTTATGGGATGTGATAAAACAAAGAATTGTTACCTAAACCTCGGTCCAGAGCTTATTGTTGCAGTAGAGAAAGAGTGGTTTAACATTCTACAAGAAACAATAGCGAACTTGAACTAATATCTGATTAGTAGTTTCTGAAAGAAATGTCATTTAAGTCAAAAGGTTACGACGGATCTAGCAAGTGTAATAATAAAAAGTTAATTTCCATATTTTTTCTTATTTCTTTGCTTCTAAACTTGACTTCTTTTACCCGTTTGCTATATACTTTTTTCCCGGTAGGGTGGGGCAAGAAGCATAAAAATGCTTTTGTGGATTTCCTATTAGTAAAATTCCTAACAAGCGCTTGTTTATAAGAATTAATAGAACAGTGTACAAAAAGAGATCCTACTTTTCATGAGTCGGTCTAAAAACTATAGTTAACTGTTATATCTTGTCAAATACAGGTATTTTATTTAAAACGACTCTTGCTGTCATAGGAATATTTCGTCTAATTTCGAAGATATTTTGGGAATTTTGGAGAATTTTAGAGCACGCATCTTTTTAGAGATTTCCCCATCGACATTATCAGACGCTTTTACGCTAGGTTTCGAAATATTATAGGTAATACACAACACACAGTTTAATATATATTCGTGCGTCAGTAAATTAAAGCTTTAATTGGCCATTGTTTTTATTTATCATTCGAGAACCCAACAAAATATAATTGCACCTTTTGCTGCTACTGTGGTGCGACGCTAGTAACCCCGAGAGCAATGAAAACATGCGTTGTTTTTAGTATTTAGATGGTAATGCTTCCGATATATTGGAGATAATGACTCCAGGTAAGTGATAACGATTAGAATTATCCACTGTAGTTGGTAAACACTTTATTTTGACGCAGGTACTATAATTGTATGTTGGACTATCGCAGTCATTTCGAGTTTTAACCCAATCCAAACATTAAGCTGCAACAAGGAGTACACCTATTTCGAAAACTATAGCCAAAATGGCTTCAACGTCACCTGCAACGGTATCACCGCAGGCTACGAACATGTTCTCGACACCATCACCGTCTACGGTGAAATTTCCTTAACTATAGTAGATTCTTTCCTGGAAAATATCACCCCAAGCAGCTTCAAGAGGATGAAAAACATCAAGACATTGTCCATAGTAAACTCTCGCCTCCCGTTTGATCGCGAACTGGAGCTTTTCAGTTGCCTAACACGACTAGAAACCTTGCAGATCAGAAACACCGAATTTTATATCACCAATTCTACCTTGAGGCAGCTGAAAACGTTGAAGAATTTGGAATTTTCCAACAACAGCATGGAAACTGTCGAGAGGTCTAGTTTCCGCGAACTTTCCGCTCTTGAGAAGCTATTCATAACTGATAACCGAGTTAGTGACCTCCAAGCGTTAGACTTGTGTCGGTTGAAGGCGTTAAAGGTTTTGAATGTTCATGGGAACAAGTTACAAACTGTAGAGGGGCTTGATTGTATCCGGGACTCGCTAGCTGTATTAGATCTAAGCTCTAATCTGATTGCTGGTGTGGACGGCGCGATCCAAAACCTAACTGCAGTTAAATACATCAATTTGGGAGATAACAACTTGAGCGACATAGAATACATTTCGTCTCAAACGCTGAGCGAATTGGAAAGCCTCATTTTGAAGAACAATTTCATCAGTCAGGTTAACGATCGAGCGACGAGTAACTGGCAATCGCTGTTAGTGCTAGATTTGTCGTTCAACGATCTGAATCATTTCGTGGCGATGAACAATTCCAACTTGGAAATTTTAAACTTAGAGCATAATGATTTGCGAAGTTTTCGCTTTGAATTTTTACCTAGAATGAAAACTTTAAATTTGGGGTCAAACAAATTATCTACCCTAACCGTAAGTCTGTTAAATGGAGTGCCAAACTTGGAAGAACTGATTCTGAAGGACAACTCGGTAAGTCGATTATCCGACGAAATGTTTTTTGGCCTGACCAAATTGCGATGGTTGGATTTAAGCTTAAATAACCTGACTTCCATTTCGGACAACTCTTTTCGCGGTTTGGCGAGTTTGGAAGTGCTGAATATGTCGTCGAACGCTTTGCTTAGTTTATCTTATATCGTATTAGAGCCGCTCCGTAATCTAGACATTTTGGATGTTTCTAATAACAAAATCACCCACTTTCAGTACGAGGAAATAATTATAAGCAGTCTATCAGCTTTGTACATCAAAAATAACCCGCTGACTTGCGACGTTGTGTCCGAAATCGTAAAGTATTTGAAAACGGAAAATGTTTCCTTCACCGTAAATGCGAATCCTGATTACGGGCGTGAAAATATAGAAGGTATCCCTTGCAGCGGGGCTCAGATTCCGGATCAAGCCAGGTTATCGAATGTCGGTATCGGTGTGTTGATAACTGTTGTTATTTTTATTGTGAGCGTATGTGTCTGTAGGTCCTACGTGCGTATGAAAAGAAAAAGGTGCAGATTGGAGGAGATTGAACTGATCAACTAGAGTTTTACATAGCACATAGCGAACAATGACATTTAAACGTGTGATACACTATGATTTACTAAAGTAAAGTAAACAATTATTTTCAAAAAATTATAAAATATGAGGGAGCCATGTTTGTCGGACATTCTAAAAAGTTTTTGAAAGAAACTTCTGCATGCTGTAGGTGCACATTTTCTGACTTCGTCAGAGCGTTGCCTGAAAATTTTCAGTTTCTGAAATGTCAGCGAGAGAGAGTCAACACCGTTCCTTTATGAAATACAATCTTCCCACGTCAATAAATATAAAAAGTTGGCAATAAATTTTAATTACCGTTATTGTAATGTTTTAAAATTTAAATTTAGGTTTAACAACGGCGATCCAGTCAAATCCAATTAGTTATTAAGTAACAAATTCGAATATCTTATTTTCTTATCCTTCATAGCTTCCAATAAGTTTAGTTTGTGTTTGTGAATATTAAAAACTCTGAAATATTTGTTAATGCGATTCTTGGATGTTCTACATGTTTGTCCGTAATAAATTTTGGTACGTAAGCCACATTTTAACCTGTAGATTCTTGATATTTTTGTGATTTTTGTTTTTTAGGTATTTAAATATTTTTCAGTTTAAAAAGTAATCTTAATTCAACATTTAGAGAGATGATTTGAAACTTTCTTTATATGTTCTTTTATGCATCTTATTTTAATTATGAATTAACATTAATTATAACCTTATCTATCTTAGCGACCTGTTTTCTGCAGAATATCGTATATCAAGCAATCTGTGGATAAAAGAATGAAAGGCAGCGATTTTGTATGTGTCACCCTGAATTATTATGTATTACTGTGTCCATATGCGAGAGCTTATGATAAATGAAAATATCTAATTTCTTTTGTTAAGTTGAAAATTTTTTAAGTAGTGGACTAAGCGGGTTTGTCATAAATAATCCTTCTTTAGTAATGTATAATCTCATTCTGCTCAAAATAATTTTAGTCTAAACAAACTAATAAACTATCTATAAAATATGTTTTTGATATTTATTGCTAGTTGTGACTTTTTATTAAGTTACCTAAAATGTATTTGTTTAAGTTCAACTGAAACAGCTGTCATACACCAATACATAATTTGTGAGAATCTGAACATCGTTGGTTCTAATTTAAGTTGTAAAGTGTTGTTTTTTTTAATAGGTATGTACTAACAACATACATAAATAAATTTAAAAAAACGTTCGGGAGGAAAAATGAAAACGATTGTTAACAAAAATAATGAAATATATAGAGGGTGCCCCAACGATAGAGTTAAAAAAATCGATATCATCCCACGATATTTCGATTTTAGACTTTTTCTGCGGGGAGCTCTAAAAAACAAGGTTTACAGAGCGACCTATGCTACAAGAAATGAACATCAGGCTACCGTAAATGAGCCTTTTAATAATATTGCTTGGTAAAAAGGGCTCACCTAATAACGTCCGATTAAAAAAAAATTGTTAAAACTTAATTACTTCGGTAACCATACTAGCAATGTTTTATTATGTAATTATCTATTTTCCATAGATAACTAGATGAACAATGTCTATAACAATAATAAAATCATGTGCTATATCGCTACAATCGCAATAAAATTCTATTTAAAAACACCCAAGTTTCATACGTTAAAAATGTGTGGGAATTTTTTTTAACTTTTGTATTCGTCACGGTTCTGCGACAATTAATATTTACGTAGTTAAAAAATCGCAGAAAAGCAGTTTTTTGAAATATCTATTGACAAGTGGCAAATATTGAAAAACTAAAAATATTTATGAGTACAAAACTGCAATTGTTTGCCCATTTCCGTGTCTGCTGCAGTTTCCGGGATTCCTATATCAAACATTCACATTCACCCTATATATTACATTTTTTGATAACAGTATTTATGGATTTATGCAATGTTATAAAATTCTAGAGGTGCATGAAACCTTCCGAGTTCCATACATTTGAATATTTTACTGGCAATTTTTATTATGAATTATATATTGAAATGTTATTATCACAATAATAATTGAAAATTTCCAGATTTTTACCTTATAACAACATTCAAAATAAAATTCTGATCTTACCTATTTTAATCTCCTGACACGCGACAAACGTCAACAGAGAAATTGCCAACAGCAGCGGCTTATTTCGTACCGAGAACATGACGTCAAACGTTCGCAACCGTCATATTAAGTTCTTGAAATGTTCCACCAGGACCTGGCGCATATGAAAATTCATAAATCGTCTCTGATTACCGATAAAAAAATTAAAATCCTTGTGACCGCGCTACCGACATACAGTTATCACGACAGCGTTAATATTTTAGCAGGGGCGCATGCACAGAGGCGGCGCACAACATTTGCTCAATGCAGCGAAAAACAAAAATTAGGAAAAATAAATTGTGATTGTTTTTATTCGCAAAAGGACAAGCGCTATTTATTTTGTTTTATAAACAAATAATATCACATGGACTGTTTTTTTTTCATCTGCCATAAGCCATACTGGTTGATTAACTACTCCAAAAACTATCTGCAGGGGGCGTCAACAAAAAAATTTGCTAGTACTCTGTAAGAGTCATATATAGAAAAAGCCAATATTTTTTTTTATAAAGCAAACTAATTAGGAGTCACAAATAATGTGTGGAAATAACTGGGGCTAAAACCCAACATTTTGGCAGTACTTAACAGTAGTAAGACCATAGAAAGGCCAATGGAGGGGTTATCTGGTAGACAGGAGGAAGTGGAGGCAGCTGAGTAATATGAAATGCTATCAAGTCTGTGCGTTACTGCAGCTTTGGAGGTCCTACTGAATATTCCGTCAATACAAATCTATTTACTAGGTGGAGCAGGATTCGTCGCATATAGATTACTGCAAGCCCTATAATTTATGGACATAGGCACAGATGCAGCAAATGAATTCTTAGAGCTGTCTGCTGTATATCACTACACCCAAGTATTGATTTGTCAAATATGACAGGACTCAAATCCCCAACAAGACTGGAAAGACTCAAGAAGGATTGGGATGATGAAAGTAACGATTTCTATTTCAATGGGCAAGCTAGTAATAATGTTCATTGTATTGCTACATAGTAAAAAAAATTGGGACCAATGCATGTAATCATTTGATATCTTAATATTTACAAAAACGTCCAACATACTAAATAAAATTTCATAGATGGCTTGAGCACTTTTAAACAAAGTATTGATATTTCAAAGTGTTGCCGTTTAATTTGGTGTTGTGCATTTTATAAATGTTAGCAAATGATAGTAAGCTAAGCTGCTAAATAAATTTTTCAATTTGTTTAGAAGAAACTTGTTGCGACTTTTTGAGATAAAGGGTGTTTTGCTTTGTACATTATCAATTAACCATGAAATCACGGCAAGTAAAAGAAAAAACTTTAAAGAATGAAGTAAAATAAAATAGAAAATCAAAATAGAAATGAACGCAGAATTGGGTGTAATTGTAGATATGCCAAAATTAGGTATTGGAAGCACCAATTAAGATTTAATTTAATTTAATGACCAGATGGGTGTTTCTTTAGGTAATGGCATCTGCATATCAAATAAAATACATTTTTTTTTGGCAATATTCAACAAGCTACTCCAAAACGTTTTCCTGATGTTTTGCAATTAATAATGTGTTTATTCAAAATTCCATCCTAAGTTGCGGGCAGAACTTTCAGTTATTTTTATAATGATAGGTCCGTTTTGTGGGAGATAATTTAATTAAGATCCATTTTTTAAAAGTTTATTTATTATTTTATTATCAGGAAATATTTGTTGTTCTATTAGCTACTATTTTAGAAAAATTCTTTTTTCAGTTTGATTTCAATTAACTTATAATTTATATTTGGTAGTTTTATTTGTTGCTTTTCTTTTTTTTTTCTTTCACCCTGTATATGTTCTCATGTAAGCTTACATAATAATAAATTAGATTTCAATAAATTATTTAGAAATCACCTAAGTATTTTACTTTCTGTGTAGAAACATAATATCGTATATAATATTATGTCTACCAGTTTGCCGTATCACCCTGTATATTAATATTCGTTTTTTCTGAATATTAGTTTCATAAAAAAATATTTAGTTATAATCAAAAAAGCAAAATAAACCTTTTAAATAAAAATATGTTTCCTCACTTTTGTATCATGCAGTTGCCTTTCCAGATAAACTATCACTATCAAAAACATCACCCAAAAAATAAATTCCTTTTTAAATTAAATGGTTTCCTGTTTCAACCCTGTTTTGTACGAGCCGTCCATGTGCAGTAACGAGGGGTTGTTAAAGTTGATTTGTTCATTAATTTTGTACACGTATTTACCAAGCATTGCTTCGAATGGGTTCGGATTTTCTTGATTTATGATGCCGCAGGTATTATTAATACGTTCGACCCGCCTTCCGACAACTCCTAATGGAGACTGGAAGGTTAGAAAATGAAAAAAAAAAGAGAAAATAAGTTGAAATCGTTTTAATTTTACCAAGGGATTCCAAAATTAATTTTCGTAAAAAGTTATGCGTTATAACTTTATAAACTACGTAAAAAATAAATATAAATAATTATCTTTAAACAATGAGTGCGAGCATCAAGAAAAAAACCTGTACATTGCACGCGACGTACAATCTCAATGTTTGTATTTATATTGTTTGCCGCCTTTTTTGCCTCCTTTCTTCGCGTACTTTTCGTGGTGCTCGTGTTTCGATTTTCCTCCCTTTGAACCTTTGTAGCCCTTTTTGCTCGATTTGTTGTGACCGCCCACCTTCTTCGATTTCTTGCCATGAGTTCCTTCGGATTTGAGGTTCTGGAATAAAACCTTGCTAAACCATATGCACTTTTTGTCGGATTTATAGGCGTAGGTGAACTTTGTGAAATTGGATTGCTTGATCCGAATTGTAAATTCGATACTAATAAATGGGGAAGAAACTACAAAGACAAAAATTTTGACTTAATAATGGCAGGTATACTGAAAATATTCCCAAAGATGCAACATTATTTAGAGATTTTATTTCATTTACAGTTACTGATATACCACACATAGAAATAGTGCCAGTTTAGATTTTCAATAAAAGTTTGATTTGTTGCATTTCTAGATTTATTATACCAATTTTTAGTAAAAATAAACGAAGATGAACACAAAAACAGAAATTTTAAATAAATGTGGAAAAAGATTCAGAATCAGCAGAAATAAAGTGATATTTGTTTAGGTATATGTCAACAAAATTCAATAATTTTCACTTGAATTTTTTTGTCAATTTAATAAGATTATTTCTTTTTTAAAACGAGCCGTGGTATCCACTCTAAACTGCTGGGACTACAACAGTTTTATAATTTGTCGTTCTAATAGGTGGATACGTAGAAACCGTGGAGCAAGAAAGATAGATCGTGCGGACTTATGAAAATGATTCATTTAAGTGACGTACCGCCCTTAAAACTGAACCGGCGTTAGAAATAAGTCCAAGAACTATTCGGAAATTATTTCAGTAAAGAAGCGTGCACGTTAGAGAAGCAAGAAAAGTCCATCTATTATCTTCAAAGAACATTAAACATCGTTTCAATTTTGCTTAAGATCATTTAAATTGGAATGGCGAAACGGAAGTTAAAAAATGTCATAATATACTATGGGTCAATGAAACAGAAATGAATTGAACTCGTTCTTATGCCAAAATACACCTCCAAAATTGTTAAACATGGAGAGGGTAATATGAAGTTGTGGGGTGCTTTTTCTTGATATGGTGTAGATCCGATTTACTGGATAAACGAGGTTATGGATCAAAATGTGTATGTTCATATTTTTCAGGACATCATGTTGACCATTGAGGATCACATGTCTTTAATATGGAAGTATCAACAGGTGGTTTTACTTTCGTGACCCTCCCAATCCCAGATCCCAATCCGATTGATTACCTGTGGACATGACTTAAAAATGTAGTTGGCAAGCATAAAAAAAAAATAAGCAAGACGTTTGGAAAATAATTAAAGCAATACCAGTAGAATTTTGTCAAAGATCCAGGTTATAAAACTATATATTAGGTATTTAAATATGTGTGTGTAATTTAATCAGTTTCAAGGCTCTATTTTTGATATCTTTTATATTTCCCAACTATACATTTGTTAAATATAATATAATTTAATTAAATAGTTAAATAGAATATGATAGAAATTTTAGGTTGTTAACTACTATTTGTTATTTATTATTTATTCTTATTAATAATTATTAACAATAATTCTTTTCTTGTATTCTTAATGATTTTCAGAAAAATGTTTCACACCTTTTGATTATTATTATTATCTATGTATTTTTTTTATCTAAGTAAGCATTAACTTTTAGAGATCCTTTTCATAGGAATACTTATAAACAATAAATTTGATTTTACTTACCTGCAATATAGGATTATTTCTCAGAAAATGAGATTTAAAATGAGGTTTTATTACAATACATCTTTTAATCATTTGTGGGTGTGTACTTCAGGATCATTAATTTTAAACGGCCTTACAGTTGGAATCAATGTGTTTGCATAACTCTAAGAAAAAATAATCGTAAGAAAGCAGTGAATCGAAAAGTCTCATTAAATATCGCATATGGCATTTAACGTTGGATGGTCCAAAATTATTTAGTTCGGTAGAGCTGTCTCGAACATCGGAGTAACCAATTTTCCAAAAAAAAAATCTATTTTTGGTTCTCCGTAAAAGTCTAGCAAACCCCTATGTCACAAAACTGGAAAATAGCGGAGAAACTTTTTCTTCTCATAGTAATTTATACAAAAATGACAATGCGAAGAAATTAAAACGTCTTATCAGTTGACTTACAATTGTTTTAAGAATATTGGTGGCATTTGCCACGGTTCTTAATGCTATTTGAGGATTTTCCTCAATTCCAATACTCAATTCCCAATTTCCTGAGATCGACTAAATTACTCAAAGCTAGCTTTTTATGTGTTAAAAAATACTCTCCAAGGGGGTTGTTGTCTTTGTGGAAATTGTCTTTCATCTTCTAGTACACCACAAATGTCAAACTGACAACAAAATAACAATCATATCGATGGGCTTTTTCGCACCATCGTTTTTGTAGTCTTTTTTCATTTAATTCGATACCATTTTATCATTAAAACATTCTATGAAAATTTCAGGCTTTTCGTTGTTTCCATTTTAAACTTAGTTAAGTTGAAAGTCGACGTTATTCTCTGCATTTTGGCACTTGAAACAGGATTTATAAAAGCAGGATCCTCAAATTTATCAGAAGTTAAAGTTTGTATGGTAATGGATTAGTTTAATAAAAATAAACGCTTCACAGTTCTATGAGTATGGTTAACAGAAGCTAAATAAATGAAGGTAATATATAACAAATTCAAGGTCACGCTGTGGGAAGATGGTTTCACATGATTTTTATTAAACTAATTTTAATAATAATCGTGTGAAACTATCTTCCCAAGGTAGAGAAAAAGCAACCGTAAAGCGGAAGGTTTATTTTTATTCGCCGTAATAAGATTGGCATGCCATACAGTACATTTTTGAAAATCATATTCCTCGTAAATGGCCCTTCATAGTGATTTCCATCAAGCTTTTCCGATTTTATAAGAAAAAAGTTAAAAAGAAAGAAAGTTGTTGCAGTTTTTGTTAGCTGTACAGCATGCCAAAAAATTATTAATGCACTAAAGTTTCAAGACTTTCCCTAAACTTGCATTTAGGGCGTGTGTATCCGTTACGAGCTGTTTCTTGCGACATGGTACTTTGCTAACACTAAAAAACATAAAACAAATGTGGTTTCTCTCCGTCACTATACCTTATACGATCCTCCGGAAACCTTGGCAGCCAGTTGAGATCCATGTTTGGCCCCTTTCTGGCCATAGACGTTGTAAGCCCCGCTTTTCTCCCCCTGACTGAAGAAACTGTCGTGCTTCATCAGTTCGTCTTTATGGTACTTCTCCCAGAATCCCTAAAATCGTCCCTCCCGTAAAACCCACTCCAAATTTACCTAACCTTACCTTGTTGACATTTCCCTTTTTCCTATGGGCGCCCTCTTCGTACTTGGCACCGTGTTTAGACCCACCCTTCCCCGAATGGGACGACTTATGTTTGCCCGACGAATGATACTTGTGTTTCTTTCCCCCGACCTCCTTATCCTGGCTTTTATGCAGCTCTTTGAGCTTCTCGCCCGACTTGCCCCGTTCGCTGTCGTGTTTGGATTTCTTCCCGGACTTTTTCACGCCTCCGGACTCCGAGTAGGTACCTCCTGGAAACGATAACTTTAGAGTCGATGCGATAGTGGAAGACGATATACGATACCTTTGACGTGTTTGACCGCGGCCGCTTCTTGAGAATGTCCGCCATCGTCTTTAGAAACGACGACCGTTCCTGTCGCGGCCGCAGTTGTGATCGCGATAACTACAAAATATATCGCGGAAATCTGGAAGAAAACACATGTGGCATTGATCCCAGGCTATCCTTATTCGTAATTTTTTTGGAATAGAAATTTTATGGGCAAATAGAAAAACGTAGTCTATTTTAAAAAATACCAGAAATACATCAATTCTATTCTATCTATTCTATTTATCACCGACAAATAATAAAAATAAATGCAATCAAGAATAAACTAAAATTATTTCTTTCTTGCCATACAACTTGAAAGGATTATAAAATGTACAAATTCCGGACTTCAAGATATGATAAAAAGCATATCTTAAAACACATAATCTAAAAAAACAAATAAAATCAAGCAATCATTAAAATATTTACTCGAATTAAAGGTAAATACCAATACTCATCCTAAAATGTAATATTTAAAACCCATATTTAATAGTAATAATAGTAATAATAAAATATACATACAAAATATGGTAATGGAAGTAAAATGGCAGCCATATTCGTAAAATAGGCAAGAAAGAGCATATTCACTTCAAATTTGATAAAGACACGGTTTTGTCGAAACAATTGTCATGTCAAAATATATAATTTCGTGAAAATCTGAACTTTTAGTTCATATTTATTTTGAAAGATAATATTATTATATAGACACAATGTGAGAAACTAGAATCAAACAGAATATACAACAGAGAAAAATAAATATCGCGGTTACACTGTAGAAATATTCAACTTACTCAGATATGCTTACGAAGTTTTTTCTTAACTAAAAATTTTGTTTAATCTTCTTTAATACCACTATTTACTAGGTTCATAAGCTAAGCGCTCAATCTGAACTTAAAATCTTTCACCCAGGTTGACGCGTTGAAGCAAGTTGAAGCAGTATGAGTTCTCAACCTTTCATTAACTACTTCAAGTGCTTCAAAGTCAAGCTAGGTGCCATTACAGTAAATGCTATGGGTTCTGGACCGAAGGTAAGATTTAAAAAAAAATTAATGCTCTTCTCACTATAGTAACAAATGCTCTGCTGTAGTCGATCAGTATAAGCACCGTTTCCCGTCATAAGGTGAGATAATATGATCTGCTGGTTTGAATAGGGTTGTGGTGCTATTTGACGAAACATCGTATTTTAATGTCACTTTTTGGTTTTAATGATATATTTAAAAAAATAAACAAATCGGATAGCTATTCAGAGAGTCGTTATTATTATAAATGAATGAATCTCATGGGCTAGGGAGAAAATCTCATGCCACTGGATTTTTCGAAGGCAAGAAATAATGACGCCGGTAAGTCAGTCGATAATTTTTCATTAATACCGTTAAGATTTTGGCGCCATGGGTTGAACATAACGAAATTTGAAAAAAAAAGATTAAACTATTTCATTTTTTTGTCTACTAACACCACAAAAGAACCTCAAAATATATTTCGATTTTATTATTATGTTAACAAAATTTGGCCACCATTTACGTCCAAATATGATTAAGCGGCCTTACTAGTTTGTCTATTAACATGACTAACGATGCCCAATTCATTGTTGGCAAGAAACGAGGTACATATATTGATAATGTGATAAATTCAAACCGCGAAAACTACAATTATCCGCTACTAGTTTGTTAATAGTTAAATCAATATAAATTACAAAAGAAAGTGACTCACTAATGTAACTGCTTTATCTTGCAGTACCACAAGAGTTTCTTACCTCGCTTCTTGCTTTTAACCAAATCACTAACCCGCTCGAGAATTCAGTATTTAAAAAGAAGATATATGAAAAGGTCTTACACTCAGTATTCAATAGGTCACAAGTTTCATGACTAAGTTATTCCGCATTTGTAGGGAATAATATCTCCATTTTAACGTATGGTCGTGATTTTCTCTACGCCAGCTACGAAAACTTCCAGTTCATTCTAGGATTTTGCAATACTGAATTATTTCACAGTCACCATGATTGTCAGTATTCAGTAATTAAGATGTCAGTAAGATACACTGCGTAAATAGGATCGAGAGTAAGACAAAATCTCTGTCAAAATTTAACTAAATTGTTTAAAGAATAAGTGTATTTATTTCTGCTCACTCACAATACAAGTAATAGCCTGTTATAAAGAAATGTATAGTTTTTGTTTATATGGTAAAATTTTACAATTTCAACACCCTGGTACTACAATAATGTACTGGAAAAAAATATGAATAACAAAATTTTATTTTGATTTGAAAAATCATTTGCCATTGTAAATAATAAATTCACCTTTTATTTAGTAAATTGGGGATTATTGAACATTAATAACACAAAGAAATATATAGTTTTTGTTTATATGGTAATATTTTACAATTACAACACCCTACTACTATAATAATGTACTGGAAAAAAAGATTAATAAGAACATTTTATTTTGATTTTAAGAATCATTTGGCATGCTAAATAACAAATTAATCTTTTATTTAGAAAATTGGGGATTATTGGATATTAATAACATTGATAGTTTGAAGTTCATTTATTCATACGTTGAAATGAAAAATACATAATGGTAATGTCGCAATAGGGTCAAAAAAATCAGCATTTCCTTTTGACACTGGAACACCCTGTACAAATAGATTACTCACTTAAATTAAAGTATTTATCTTGAATTAAAATTTAACTTAAAGTATTTACCTTAAATTCAAGTAAATTGTTTTTTCCGTGTAACATACACATTTCTAGGGAAGGAACCCTATGAAGTGAAAGGTTTAATTTTGAAAATAAATTGCATGTTATGTACGTGATTTCGTTTTCCCCAGTTTTCATTACCTGAATAGAGATCAAAATATCTAGAAAAAGACGATCGACTTGTCAGTCTCCACCTGTACACGAAGTTGCAGCTTTTCAATAATCTGCAATTCCACAGTTTGTTTTCAATTTTGTTACGCAAAGGGGCTTATCATTCCACCAAAGGCGGTCGCTACAGTTAATCGGATTGGCAAAATTGCTGAAAACCGAGCTTACGCAATATTTCGGGAAACGAAATTGAATCTTTCTTAATTGCCTGGTTGACCAATTGGTTAAACAATTATCGATGCTTTAAAAAAAAAGTGATGAAAATTCCTTGAATGATTTCTAAAGAGTGTAACTTTACAGAGTGTTCTTGCATCAAAAACGTAGCTATTAACATTAGACTAGATTTAACGAGGAAATCAGACAGCAGATCCATTCACATATTCATGGTGAAATACGATCAGATTTTGTGAAACGTCTGCGAGTTTTTATAGAAGAAAACAATTTACACTTTGTCAACCCATTTCACGGAACTGACCTGCATTAATTTTACTTTTTGTTAATAAAAACTTCACAAAAATTATTTGAAACTTTGTTGCTTTGATGTTTAACATTTTTGACTTAATTTTGGCGATTTTGTCATGCTTTAAAATGGTTTTGGAGATCAAATTTGTTCCAAATTGAATGGTGATTTGAAAAGCAACCTGAGATGAACTCCAAACACTATGTCGTTTTAATTGTATAATGTCAGCAACCCGATTTTCTTTTAATGTAATGAGACGTTGATGAGAAACGTTGACTGGGCATAAACTCATATAGTTTCTATATAAATTTAGTCATTTTTCTCCATTAATTGTGAATTACCTTGGTTTATTTGTTTTGGTGTTTGGAGTGTCAACCAAAAGCATAGTTTTTTTGTATGTTATGTGATCAATTAATATATTAGTAGTTTCTTCTAGTCGATATGCTCCATAATCAACAAAACGTGCTCATATGCTCATAAGAAAGTATTCAGCTTGTGCTTCTACTAAGAATTTCTTGATATTCATTTTATCCAATACCCATCTATAACGTGCGGATTATTTTCTTCACCAACGTTGTTAATTTAAAATATTTGCTTATGTGGATATGTTCAACATATTAGCGTTCCTGATTTTTCTGATAAATATGCCAAAATGTTGATTACTTGTTTCTTTAAGCACTATTTTTCAAAAAATTTGGTTTATTTATTCGTATCGTGCCTGGTAGGAAACTAGTGCTTATTTTCGAAATAGATGCCATTAATTTCGAAGCACCCTGTACTTTTTGGAGCAAATGCGGAACGACTACCGATTCTGTGTAAATAGCGATTGAAAGATACGCATGAGTAGTACACCATTAGGTACAATTATTATGCGTGACGTATAAAATAAATGTTTCGATCTAACTTTTATACCGTCCTTGACTCAAACGTTTTGCAATGTACGATATCGGTAAACGTAGAGTGTCGAAGTAAGTTTCGCAGGCCACAAAAAAATTGACAATGTCATTCGTCGAAAAATCGACAAAAAATGACCGACGAAAACGATCTTTAAATATTTTTATTTCGACACGCTACGAAGGTTCGTGTTCTTAGGAGGAAGTCTCGTCGCATCCGAAACCTGTTTGGACTACACCGCTGCTTTATTTTTGACCCTTCCGTGTGCGCGCATACGATGGGCTCGAATAAAAATCAAAATACGAAGTTTCCGTCGATAATTGAATTCGTCTGTCGATGTTATTAGTTGCAACTTTATCTACTTTCCGGATGATCCAAAATTCGATAATTAACTAAACGTCGTATTTTGGGAAGTCGTCCCAAACATTATCATAACAATATTTATATTCAACGGAGGTACACCTCTTCTTCTCTCAAAACCGTAATTTATGTGCGCGTATCGGACAAAAACTTACCAGGAGCAGCAGTACTTTCATCTCGTACGATTTCGCGGTTAACACGTAGTACCGGACACTGAATGGTTTTCTATTCTTTCGGACGTAAACATTCGACCGACAAAGACGGGCGAGTAACAGGTAGAAGATAGAACTAGTCCTTTTCGGGATTTTTCAAGAGGTTAACGCACACAGAAACGCGAGACAGCTGGAAGGGAGCCAGCCTCACCGAACCGTACCAGAAAAAATCATAACAGACGGCCGTCAGTGTCAAACGTCAGTAGTAGTAGAGTAGGCAGGTACCGCCTCTTGCTTATATTGATGCGACGCTCTCGCGAGTTGTCCTGAAAAATACTCAAAGTTGATGCGTAGTAAATGTGGTTTAGCATTTTAAACGAAAATAAAGTTTACTTCATTTACTTAGTAAAAAGTACAAAAAAAATATCTAATAACTCTCGGAATGGGCCAAATCAAACCAAAATATCAATTTGTTTCTCTACCTACGCTTCAACCTTTTTTTTACGTCATTCTTCACTATGATGGATATATATAGGAATCATTATACTTCTAAAATTTAAAACATAAAAAAAATGGCATTAAAAAAAAGAATAAGACCTAGCCGCCTTCAACAACCAATATGGCCGATGGCAATTCGACAAGTGTCATTTTAGATTTGTGACGCATTATTTTCTCAAAATATGGCCAAATCTTCAATCAATTTTTACAAACAATAAAACAGTATGTTCTGCCTGTTCAGCCCAACTATCAGAGATTTATTGTTTTATAATTACATATTCGGCGCATAGTAAAAAGTTTTCCAGCACTACCTATATATTAATAGACTATAATAGTTAAAAGTTGATTCTCGTAGGATCCTTGAAAAGGTTACACGATATACTATGAGATACAGTATAAGTATTGTCGCCTCAGAGCGAAGAAAATCAAGTTTAGCAGCCAACTTAGTCACAAGTTCCATATGGCCAGAGCGGAGCAAATGCTTAATAAATGAGAGACTAACCTAAAAGTATATCAGTTCAAAAATAATTTACAAACTTTTCTCTTGGCAGCTTTAGTTATAGGTTTTTTTTCACCCTAGTGGGTACTTTGAATGTTTAATAGTTTTACCTGAAAATTTACGCCTCTTTACCACTGAAAAAATGGTAATAGAGTAACTAGAACTGGACAGTTTTAGCTGATAGATCTCCGACAAAACTCAGAAACAGGACTAGAATATATGTGTGTACAATTAGTACCATCTTAAACAGTTATTAATTGAGTTAGAACCGTATTGTCTTAATGACAAGTTCAATATGTAATTTCACTTTGCTAAATTTTAAATTAATGTTATTATTATAAATCTATTTTGTTTTCTATCGTTTGTTTTGGGAATATTTTAGGTATCGTATCTTGATGTCTGCCAATTCTGACAGACACGTGACACATCAATCAGTGAACGTATTCGTGCTGTTTATCAAAAATATATGTAACACGTCGATAAGCGTTTATCAAACTTATTGCAGAATACGTTTGATGTAACACTTAAAGTAGTATTGTTTTACACAGAAATTAATAGTAGTTTTCTGCGATGAAATAGCATCACCAAAAGTACTAACAACCAAATAATAGAATATTATTCAGTTTCAATTGGGATACTTTCGAATTTGCTGTTGTCGTCTTTTTTATTTTTTGGCGATGGTTTATTGTATGTTGCAACAAGAAATTTGTTGAAATATGTGGTTTGGCCCCGTGTCGCATCAAATATTCCTAGTGCTACAGTGAGATATGATTTCTGTCCAGGAGTTCCATTAATTACTTTTGTATTTTCGACTTCGCAACACATGCAATAAACATGCGCTAACGTGTAACTGGAGATTTATCATAAAATCATAGGAAATGCTCAGTTTTCAAGGTTTGTGCATTAAATATTGAAAAAAATGGCATGATGCTAATTTTCTAGAACTAAGTTTATTGTGTATCAAATGAAAACAACACAAGCGCACCAAAGCTATTTAAAATTTTAAACAAATTCATTAAATAATAATAATCATGGCGATCACTAAGAGGTACACGTTGACTTTTTCCAGAGGCTATTAACGTGACAATTGTACCCAGGAGACCAAACTGCTGATGCATGCTCTAACTTTGACCTGACGGATGAGTTATATAATATTTTTATTACTTCTCTATTGTTAAAGTGTAACATCCGTAACATCCGATAACTTCATAGCTTTTTGAAGCATCTGCCGATACCATATTAACATGACGATCAAAGGATAATTTCTAGTGGAATATTACTCCCAAGTCACGAAATGTTAGAACGGGAAAGAGTTATAAAAAAAATGATAGTCTTATTTAGAAGTTACACCGGTGGTAAAAGATACTGTATTACGCTTGGCTGTGTTAAGCTGCAAGTTATTATTTAGAAACCATTTGTTAACTATATATAATTATTTTCTTTTTTTTATTAAATTACGATGAAAACTCTCAACAAAATAACTCAAAAAATATTCAACATAGTGTAAAAAAGCCTTTTTTTTTTAAATTATCATTATGTTACCTTGGAAATTAAGAAATTCCGGAACTACGCTCTGTGTACAATTGCTAACATTTTGGTCTTTAAAATAGATTGTTTCAATAGTTTATTTTCATAATTTGGAATTCAAAAATCACAGATCCATTAATTATTTAATTTATATAATTAGGATAGTCAGTGTTATTGAAGCAAAATCTTTCAATTTCATAAACTTACTTCTTCAGATTCAAAGCTGAAACACGATATAAATGGTTGACAAAAAAACGATACTGAACCAATTAAGTTCGGCTCGAATTGGCCGTTACAGATTTCCCATAGACACTTTCACCGTAAATGTACCGGCGATTTTCATAGATGCACAAAAAAGTGTTTAATCAACATTTCTGATAGGTGCAATTACGCTGGATTTGTGTTTTGTTGAAATTCTTTAACAACAAAAAGTCTAGATTGAGATACGATTATAATTAGGTGATAGTTTAATCGGTAATGATAGATAATAATTTTAATTTACACGCTGCTATTGAAAATTTGAATGGGTAATAGGGTTGACAGATTTTAAAATTTGATAAGCGGGAGCTGAGGTTAATGTTGCTTAGGCGAAATTAAATAGCGGCGCAGACAATTTTTGTTGGTGTGCCACGCACTAATTATTCCACGTTTGGCATAAAAAGCATAAAAATTTCATAATCATATAGCAACATAACTTTTAATAAACCAAAAACGAAAGAAATGTTATTTTAAAAAAGTCAGAAGAAGATAGAAAAGTCAGAAAAAAGTCAGAAGAACAAAGAAAATAAATTACTTACCACACTAATTTAAGGAAACACCCGCTTCTATAAATACGTCAGAACATGTTTCGGTTACTCAAGTGTTAATCTTCAGCTAATGCCTAAAATGTGGGGAACTAGACAATGGACAATAGATTCTCTAAAGCATGTAAAGTACTACATTTAGTACCCTCATAGCAACAATTTTTGATGTTAAAATACTTAAATAATATAAAAAAAAGAAATATTTGTGAAGCACTTACACCCAGAGAAAGAGCAAATTGCAGACAAGTATATTTATAATAAGTAAGAGTAATAGATTATACTCCATATACTTAGTATTACAGCAAAGTTACCAACAACAGGCAATTAATATTCATTCTAAAAAATCCCATACGAAAAGCAAGGAAAGAAAAAAAAACAGAAGCAAGGCAAGAAGTGCAATGAAATGATTATTTTTTTCGAAGTGGGGCACATTTAAGGAAAATATGATGAACCGATTGTTTTTGGTATTCTGGTTACATACGCTACAAATTTCATTGAGACTCACAAAGTTCGATACTCCATCAAAAATTGGTTTAAGGTGCTTGGCATTAACAGTACGTAGCTGACAAATACCCTTAATGTACTACTCAACGCACTACTTTTGTTTCTTGTTTGATAATCACTTGTAAGCGTTGTTAATTGTGCGTTGAACTCTGCCTTACGGAATAGAACTTCTGTCTGTTTTACCCAATTTGTGGAAATTTGTGAACAACTGTGTTTGGAGTGTTGATGGCTAGCAAAAAAAGTTTTTTAAAAATGTTCGCTTGAACGCGTTTGTCTAAATAACTGATTCTCCAAACAGGAGAGTTGTAGAGTAGAACGTCTTTTATTGTATTGTATTTTATCTTCAGCCATATCATTGAAAAAATTCGAGCAGCTAAATGAAATAGCCAAGTAAATACATTTTTTCTGATTTCGATTTCTTCGTTGTTGAACGGAAAGTAATTTTTTTGTTTGACTTCGGCATTTTTCCCAGGTCTGAAAATTATTATTTTCTCTTTCAAATTTACAGATAGAAGAACTCAAAGTGTGACAAAAATACAGAAAATAAAAATGGAGAAATCACGTTTTACCCTGAAGAAGTCCCCGCGATAAAGGAAAGTCCTTTACCTTAAACAAAAAACATATCTATACAAAACCACTATACAAAAAGTTTAGATATTTGGTATTACCATATGTTCAAAATTTTAAAAGTAGGTTTAAATTAACGTATTTGTTATTTGTAGAAACGTTTAGTAAAAAAGATAGAGCCTCCCGCATAAATCAGAACCGTTGACAACACTTATTGGAAAACGTCGAAATTTCATTTTTCCTGCGCATCCACCGTAAAATAGATTATCACATTTTCTATTTAGTTAATGATTAATGACAATTTTTGGTTGGTAGGTTGGTTAAACCCATATAGACTCTACCTATGTTGGTAATATAGGACCTTACGAAGCAAATATAAAAAAAAGAGAACGTCCATTCAACATGCGCACACGCGTGATTTAAAACCCGTTTTTAAGCAATGAACATGCAACATTCAACAATCAACATGGCCGCTGACACATCGCCAATAAGTTTGGATGCGCCATTGTTATAGGAGTATTTTCTCAAAATAGTTAGTGAGTGAAATATGTCTCTACTAAAATATCATAGCCACTTGAGGCGCACCAATTTACCTATATTATCTAAAAGCTATACGGTTAAACAATATGTCCACCAAATAACATGCTCTACTATGGTAAAAATTGATGCGCCGTGGGTGGCACGCAATGATTTTCCGCTCACCTACCAACCCGCACTTTGAACGGTTTTCGTTTTAAACACACTATTTCCACACACTCAACTCGTTTTTCCCAGAATCTTTAACGAGATGTAATCATATTTTGAGAAAATATAGCCTTAGAAAAAAACTCATAGACGTTCTGTCAGCGGCCATGTTGGTCGGTTGTTTTATTCATAGGTGCTTCGTAAGTTTCTGTATTATCGCCTGTATAATCAGGCCCTCCATATCTCTGGTAGCTGGATGGGATAAACCTATTGGTTTATACATTATTCACTTGCTTTGGAGGTAAACGGTCAATTGTCAATTGAATCAAAAATCGAAGCATCTGAGAAAAGTGTATTACGCGGTTCTTTCAAAATAGAATCCAAGACAGTTAAAGCGTTAAAATTCCACTTGATTCTGTTTTGGGTTGTTTGTCGCGTTGCTTGAGGGGATGTGTAAGCAATTTATTTCCCCCCGGAATAGACAAACCTTCGTCGTAAGGTTATCGAACCCGTAGTTACATCAAAACAGACGAGGTTTGGACACAAACCGACAAAAACGGCGGGTGCAATGCAACAGATCCGTTATCTAACGATTATGGATGCTTTCGACAGCTCCTTCAGCGCCTTTTCACGGTTGGATTCTTTATTCAAACCGACTTTTCGCATGATTGGAGCGGCGGGTTTAAGAAATAAGCCGTTTTAATGCGGATTTAAGCGGTACGCTTTCGCGTTATGTGGTTTGACTCGGGAGTTAGTAACCGTCCCGGTGGCGGGAAAGCTATATATTGCAGCCGGATGCTCGCTCGTTGCAATTTTTCTGCGTTTACTAGTGAACAGCAAGATGCTTCCGCCCAGAGGGAGCATAATTTTGGAGGTTAGTGATCCGTTAACGAGCGGTTAAATCACAAGTCACGTTCCATGATTTGATTGGTCGCGTATTATTGATGTTGTCCTTCGCCCGACCGTGAATGAGGTTATGTTTCATTTCTGAAAGCATTTTATAAAGTTTTTAATTCGCAATTTTGTGTTATGTGTCTGGTTTGTGATAATTGGTATTCTATTCAGTCTAATTTAAAGAAAAATACAAAAAAGTGCATAATCTGAAGCTCAAGATTGTTTGTTAAAGGTAAGCACACTACCCACACTAAAAATATTTTACTAAAACATCGGGCTGCTCAATCCAATAATTTCGTTATCGCTTTTGATGAAGATAATAAAAACAGATTATTAGTCAGTACTCTAACTCTTCAAAAAGGAAACCGGAGAAATGTATTGTGTAGATCATGTAGCTATTAGATAATATCATAGCAGGGCCACGCTATGATATTTTAGTAGAGATTGGAATTATCTTCCACGCATGCATCTACATCTCACCAACTAACCTGCACTTTGAGCCATTTTTTTTATAAGCAGCGTTTTTCGCAATCACCTAACTTTTTTTTGCCTAATTTAATGGAATCTGGAAATATTTTGGAAAATACTATCTTAAACATGACGCACATACCGCGCAGCCGCATGTCGAATGCACCTGCTCAAATTTTTTTTCATAATTACTATGTGGTGTAGATCGACTTCTAAATCAAAGCTGTTGTTTTTAATGTGTTTTAATAATTTTCGGTTAGAAACTTCATGTTGTGGTTATGTTTTGCTCCAAAGAATATTAAATTGCCATCTTCGATGAAATAGGAATCAATGAGAAAAATTGAAAATTATTAGAGAAGAATAGCGTTGGTAAATTTAAGCCTTGAAAAGTCAGTTTTTCTACTCAAATATTTCGCACAATAAACAAGTTAGCAATTACATCATATTGAAGTAATTTTAAAAATTCAAAGTCATTATAATATAATTGAGTAAGCAGTCCAACTTATTCTTTTCTTCCAATACAACTTAATAAACCGGCACATAAAAAAAAAACAGAAAAAACCCCGATTTCTTTCCATCCAACCGCTATTGAAGTTGTAGAAATAAAGTTTTTAAAAATAATTTTAAGCAAATATATGTTTTCTCTAATTCTTCGTTAAATATAGTTACTTACAGTAAGTTTTTTTACAAGATTTTTATTATGAAATAAATAGTGTTAATAGTCCAGTATTGTCTTGGTATCAGTATTTATAGTAACAAAGAATAATAAAAAAAAAAGATATTTGTAAATACAAAAAAAAATTCTTTCAGTTAATAGAAACATCCAGGTATCCACCAGTCTCCACTCTACGACCAATTAAATCATGGAATTCACTTTTCTGTTGCTGACGATTGGTATCGCGAGTTCTTGCGATTATGGGCCGTTGAATACGATACACGTGAAAATCAGTATCCATTTGCATTTGAAAGGAACGTATTTTACGTAGGGATGTTGAAGTATAAGGCCGGTCATCATCTGGATGCAAAACATGTCCAGTAGAAGATACATTATTTGTGTATTAAGGACAAAAAATCATTCAAAAGGTGACTGGTCTAAGCTTACCAGTCGGTAAAAGTTGTCAATGATAATTGCACAAGTAGACCACCCACCAGACCAGCCATTTTAAGTGTGGTCATCAAATCCAGCTGCATAGTGTTGCCAAATTACTATATTTATTCGATATAACCAGGAGATTATACAAAAAGCAAACATGTGGTTATACAAAACTGCCATTTCCATGTTTCGTAACATACTCCAAATCATCTCAATTGTTGGCGCTTTAAAATTATCATGAATATGAAACAACACTTATGACAGTGTATAAAAAGTATAGGAGAATGTCAGAAGGAGTTCTACGGTGAGAGATAAACCAAAATGAAAGTCTTATAGTTAATACAACAAATAAATTTAAAAAAAATCCGTGAATTCTCAACACAAAAAACAAAAAATAAACTTAACTGAAGGACTACAAAAAGTCATACCATATCGTTGAGCAACACCGCAACGAAATTATGTTGACAGATTTATGTCTAGTTCCTCACACAAATTCGTAAAGACACGTGACAAAAAGCATCCCAGGGGTACCAAATTGAAGCTGAAGCTTCATTTTGACCCTCATCCACATATTTTCGATATTCCGCATGTGTATTGATCTATCTTCTGGATCAACAAAAGTATATTATTAAAAAAAAGGATTAAAGGATTAAAAATAATGACATATAGGTAAGCAAGCTAAAATTCATATATATAAATGTAACTAAAAAGCCAATCTCCTTATTTCGGCTGATAATGTCTACTCGGTCTGGTTTCGTGTCTTCACTAGAAAACATCTCCCAGATCCTCCTTCAGTACCTCCAGAAACCCCAATGGCCTGGCATCTACGGGCCTCGACGATAATTATGACAGAAAAATTTGAATTCAACTATTTCAACTTTTGATGTACCATCATTATTGAGATCTTCAAATAACAAATAAGTTTTGTTCAATATTCCTGCATGCTGTACGCTTCCGACGAAAACAGAATCCTTGCTGATGCTCTGTTCCCTCATTCATAGCATTTCCAGGTTCACTTGTCCTTTTCATCGGACCTCTTTATTAAAGATATCATTGCTGTAGGCACACTGTCTTAAGCAGACACTTACTCGCCGGCAATTAAATTGTTAGAAGGGGCTTCATCACCAAAACTAATCAAATGACTGACCAAAAATATGCACAAGTTGCTATTTACAATTTTAGTTAAAAAAAATCCCAGAATCCATAGAAATCTCTAAACAACCAAACCATCTTAACGGCGACCTTTCACCATCATGGGAATCAGTCATTCGTAAATAGCATTACAGTACACTGTGGAAGTTCCTTTGAAAAATAAGTTGGGAACAGAATGAATGGAAGGAAGGAACCCGATCTAAGAAATAATACTTGAATATTTGGCAACAAGGGACGAAAAATGTCATAAAAGTGTCATAAAGCAGGTTTTGCCAATTAACAATTTTGGCATCTATGATCCCATGTCCCAAATACGTAAACTGTACTACTCTTCAGCCCTTTTTCATTGGGAGAGTTTGTTTTCTTATCTGCCTTGTTCGAAACCCGCGGCGTATCATCGCGAGTACAATTCCAGGTGATATGTTTAATATTATGCGCCGGTCAAACGCGCTCCCAGAGTTACGATTACTCAGCCGAAGACGGTGAGGGCGAATATTACTCGGAACATTCGGACGATGGTCACGAACACCCGGACTACTCGAAATACTTCGCTGAAGGCGCCGCCTCCTCGCCGGTGGCCGCCAAGGGCGCGAACGCCGACTACAACGCGGGATTCGTTAACCCCGCAGAGTTCGAGTCGTTCTTCTCTTCACCGATAGGTTCGCACCACCTCCGATCTCGCCCCGTCTCTATTTATTTTCCTTGGTCGTTTCAGCTTTCGGGGAATCGGAGAGAAAGGAAGTCCAAGCTCCCCAGATCACGTTGGAATTGCTCAAACCTCAGGCGCAGAAAGCCGACCCGTTCGAAGCTCTGAGGCAGAGCTTCTCGCCGCACCAAGAGGCCACCAATCAGAACTCGTTGAAAACGGACTACTTCGAGGCGGCTCAAAAGAAGCAACAGCTGAAGGCCGACGATGATGAAATACAGCCGGGGCCGCATTACGTGTCTCATCAGCTGCCGGTACCCGCGTTGTTCAACGACGGGCAAAGGGCGTCCAGTAAGGACGACGTGGAGACCATTCGGCCTCCGGTCAAGAAACCCAAAGTTAAGGTGGACAAAGCGAAACCGGGATTCGACGGTTTCAAGGACGCGTACGACGCGTTCGACGTGCTGCGCAAAACCGAAGACCAGATCGACCAGACCAAACCGCAGACCTTCTACAACAGCAAAAACGTAGACTACAATACCGGCAAATCGAGTTCGAGCGTGTCGCAGTATCCGGCTGCATCGGGCATTTCGGCCAATCTGCAGGGTGTACCGACCACAACCCTCAGGCCGTACGACAAGTACAGTTTCCAGCCGGGTTCCGCTGATTTTAAAGCTCTTCAGAGCAAATATTTGGAAGCGTTGGCCAGTCCATCTACCCCGATAAAGCCGATATTCGAAAAAAAGGAAAACGCCAACGATGATGAGCTGGTGTTACCGTCGGAGAGTATCGCGGAGAGTCTGAAAGACAAGAACTGCCGGAAGATCTCGGGTCCCGACTCTGCCAGCGGCATGAACTGTTTCGTTTGCGAGGACGCCAGCAACAACGCCAAGTATACTCAGTGCAGCTATAGTAGCGACGAGGAGCCTGTCAATGAGTATTCCGGATCCAGTCACAGGTATTCCGCGCCTGCTGTACCGACAGAATCCTCGTACAGGTACAAAAGGAGCCCCAGGAGGTACGTACAGGGTTTACGATAGGGTGTTATTGAAATGTCGTCATATAATTTAATGCATGATCTATCTGTTCTATTACTAAGCAACAAGTTTAAATACTATTAGCTTAACCGATCCAAATTACAAGAAAAAGTGAGTCACTAGCGCTACTCCCTTTCGTTTCAGCACTGCAAAAATACCATCTCGCTGAAACAGAATTTATTTTCGAGAAAGGATATGTTAATAAGTACTACACAATATTCAACCAGGCAGAGTTTCCTTACTTAAAGTATATTTCGGAAAAGTGTCTAATTAAGTATGCAAAGGGACTACAGACTGACTAATCAAATACTTAAGTCACTTTCATTTATTGGCGTTGATTTCATTGCAGAATACTTCTTTTTACCGATACAATCAATCAATGTACGGGTAGCATACTCATAAGAAGGAAAGAATTTTATTTTAGCGTATAATGTACATTGTATTAGTTACCGTTATTTTATCTTGTCCTTCTTCAAAAACAGAAATTAAATTAAAAAAATTATAATACTCCTCAAATGGATCAAACAGTAGCTAATAATGTGATGTAGTGCCTTGCTCCAAATAGTTTAAATTCCTCTCAGTTAGAGTATGTTTTCCTACTATATCTTTCATAATTTTATTGAGCAAAGCTTAACTACGCCTAAGAAATTCATAACATCGAATCACATTCTCAGTTTAACGTTTCGTCGTGATTTTATTTACACCAGTCCATTCTAGGTCGGACTGCGTTACTTACATTATACTGTACGAAATGTCGATTAGAATAGTCGATAATCCCAAATAAATTCTGGTTAATTCAAAAACACTTTTCTTGTGTCTCTACTGACAAATTCTTTCAGAATTTATACCTTGTTGTCAGGAGTGATTTAACAAGCGGGCAACTAAAAGGTTATATCATAAAGCTCATATAAATTGCAACGATAAAACAATAGAAAGACGAGTGTGGCGAATGAAAGTAATGTAATAGCAGCGTTCCTACAGGCAGTTTATTAGAATAATAAATATAATAGTTATAAATGATTATAATTATTGAGATAAGCAGATAATAGAGATATTAATTATACTAAGATCAAGTGAATAAACACTTAATATAGAGAATATGAAAATAAATAAATTGAAATAAATTCTATTTTAGTCAGATAAACTATAGTCGTTCGAGTCCAAGGAGCTTTACAGTATTTTCTAGTATATTATCATCATATGTTCGACTCATTTACTCCATTCTTCACAATCCCCTTGTCAGTATTCTCTCTTGCATGAATGTTTCGACTTCCGTCATTTTAAAAGTCGTGTTGTGCTTTACAATAAACTTACAACCTCCAGTAGCTCCTTTTTCCGCATATCTTTCTGAAAATGCTTCTAATTCTAAGTAACGATCGCATTTTTTCTAAGAAAACTGGGCTGAAGGGGAATCAGCATTGGTGTCAAAATAGCCTCCAGTCTATTTTCATTGCCACCACCGACAAATTAATTTTTTCCTATCAATGTAATTAATTTCTTTCTTTTTCCCGAGGTTGCTTCTATTCTATTATTGCAGGAAAGCTTACCTCGCGCTTTGTACATTTTGATCCCGCAAGGTTTTACCTACGGTATATCTTTAATTTACCCAAGTTTTGTCCAGAGAATAGATATTCTAGATCTGTCCGTCGAAACTATCTAACTGCTCTCAAATATCGTCGTGGCCACTTAGTCCTTTTTCTGATTTTCTACGTTTATTCATTCCTTCAAAGTTTTTCACCATTTTTTTCATCAATATAATCATCCGTTTTCATTTTAGATATCATTTTGTCATTTTTTTAAGTATGTGCTTTTCGATGACCTGATGTGGTTATGTTTAGCTTCGCGCACGAGTCCAACTCCAGTCATATTCGAATATATTGAGTTTTGGTGGAGAAAAGTTTTGAGCACACCGAGGATAGTATTCTTTTCATTTTAAAATTCAAATTAAGTCATTTTTAAAAACCAACTTTGCCAACAACTGCAGGAAAGTAACTATTAATTATACTGTAAGCCACAAGTAGGTCGCACAGGTAGGTCAACTACCTTACCTTCTACCTGTGACTCTCGTGACCTTTCACCATCATCATGGGTACAAATTACGCCTGAAATATGGCTAACTAAGTCCAATAATAATTTAGTCTCTCGCATTAAGAAACAGAGTATCTTGGTATTAACAACTATTTAGTTAAATTTTCATTTTTAAATACATTTCATTTTTTTTGTTGCGTCTAGATTTGTCGTTCTTGTTATTTAGTATATATAAAATATCACTCATGATTTGTTAGACTGTTTATGGTGTGAAAGTTTGAAATTATGAACGTATTTAAGTGATATTTAGACCGATACAGGCAATCTAATAACCATATAAGATTTTTGCTCCTTGTTACTAATTAAATGAAATCGGTGCAGTTTAGAAACGAAATATAATCCGAAGCCTATGAACATCACACATACACGGTATTGTCGGTTAGTATTCTGCTATAACCATGTATCACATCCCAGAAAATAAGCTAAATAGTATTTGCAGGTTATTTATTGAAATCTAGCAATTGTCAGTCTGTCAGTGAGATGTTTATCAAACATCGGGTTTCGGTCTACATTCGCATATTATATTAAAGGAAGTGTATCATGGCCTTTGTCATAAGAACTTACGTCAAATATCGAACAGGTACTACGACAAGGATCCGTACACGCTCGTCCGGGACAGGTCCAGGAGATTGTTTGACGAATTCGACAAGGAACAACAGGCGGCCGAGACCGAACGTCAAAAGGATTTCACGTACGTCCCTTTCACCGAGGAGGAAGCCGAGAGTTTCGCCAGCGAGCAGCAAAGCGAGGCGTTAAAGGGGGCCGACTGCCAGAAAGTAGACAGGGAAGGAATGACCTGCACGGTGTGTAAAAACGAGAAAACGGGCGGCAACTTCGAGCAGTGCTCGTACACTTCCGCACCGAAGGAGCACAAGTACGCGTACGTCGCGGAGAAGAAATACGACAGCGACGACGACGCTCCCGAAGAAAGCAAAAAGACGATCAAGGAGCTCAAAGGAGAGGCCAAGGTTCAGAACGCCGAGCCTTCGGTGCCAGTAGCGGCCGTCGAGCAGTACCAAGGCGTGACCAAAAGCAAAATCGTCAAGGACGCCGTGGCTGCCAGTACCAACGCCGGTGCGTCCGAGGAAGGTGACGAGGAATCCGAAGCGGAATCGGACGACGAGACGGAGAACGACGAGGAGAAGAAGGAGAAAGCTTCGTCGGACGACGCGTCGTACTACAGCTTCCCGGACTACAGCTTCCTGAAGGACAAGGAGGACAAAAAGTTGGTGGACGAGACGAACTATGACGTTCCGGAACACTTTGCGGCTAGCGTGCAGAAGAAGAAGACGGCGGAAGAGAAGCCCGAGGAGGAGGACGATTTTGACGAGTACCATTACAGGATTTTCCCCGAGTACCTGAAGGAGGAATCGAAAAACGAGGAGCAAAGCGCGGCGGCGCCCGAAAAGAAGGACGTCGAGGAGGTGCTCGCGGAGTTCGCGAAGAAAGACCGGTCCAACTGCAAAAAAGCGGAGAAGAACGGCATGACTTGCTTCCTCTGCGTGGACCAAAACAAAGTGCAACACGAGGAGTGCATGTACGTGCAGGAATCGAGGCCTAAGGCGACACACGTCGCCTACCACGAGCTCCAGCGTCTCAAAGACCCGAAAACGGAAGAGCCGGCCGAAAGTAAAGCCGAGCCGGTGACCCAGTCACCGGAAGAGGTAGCGGCGGAGTCCAAAAGGAAGAAGTTCTTCAAGAAGGTGTCGACGCCGTTGCCCCTGCTGAAATCGGAGGAGTTGGTGGCTGCCGCATCCGACGTGGAAGAAGCGTACGTCGCTTTCGCGAAACCCGACGAGAAGAGGAAGAAAGACTCGGCGTCGGAAGCGAGCGACCAGGAGCCAGAGAGGTTAAAGGAGGACGAGATCGAGAAGTCGATGCCGAAGGAGAAGGAGGAGGAGGTGGCGGAAAACGAGGGTGCTTTTAGCGAGGAGACGAAGCCGGTATACAGCGAGCTGTACGGTACGACCTTGCCCAAGTACATGGTGGAGAAGACCGAATTCGAGAAAGACTTTGACGCGGCAGCAGGGTTCGCCTGATCGCAACGGGACACGTTCAAATTATCATTAATTAATTTTAAAAACGCCCGCGGGGCCGGCGCTGCGGTGGGGACTCGGTAAACCGCGTTCGGAATTATTTACCTGTAATATAATTTGTTGTTTCGTTACCTGTTTTTTTTTTCGTTGTTGTTGTTGTTTTGTTGAAAATAAAAGAGACTCCGTAAATTGGCGTTTCGCTTCGCGGCCGATCGGTTCGACACGGCAGGGAATGACAAATATTGGTTTTGCGGCGGATTTAGAAACTTGGGTAACGGTTTCGGCGAAAATGTGGTAAAAGTCGTTTTTTGTTCTCGCCCAGTAGAAAGGAATTCGTCGCAACGTTTCAAATTAATACGTTTTTGCGCGGTCGCCGCCGTAACGAGTTTTAAATATGTAAGTCCGCTGCAATAAGTGCTGTGAATTTCGAAAGAGCTCCTCTTGCGGTCTCACCGGTTGGCGCAAACCAACTTGTTTCCCTTTTTTTTTTAATTTTGGAAATCGAAATTAATTTTATGACGATAAACGAAATTTTGCAACTAGCATTTTTGTAACTTGCGACAATGCATTTGGTTACCGTGTGTACATGACAAGAAAGATTAAAATCTCTAGCGGACCCTTTTTCTCTAAAACAATATGTTAAAGATCCAACTAACCCGCTTAAAGTCATCGTTTTTGTTAGATCTTGTTTTCACTAATATGTCCAATATTACCCAACGTGGAGCTAGTGACGTAGGCATCTCGGATCATTTTATAATATATTAAAATTAATTATTTAATTAATCTGTAAATGGCAGGTTTTATTATCGGTCGCTTAATCCAATTAACCCTTACTTTTTTCAGAGAGATTTGGAAACAATTCCCTGGCACAATATTATATTGACCCACGATATTGACCAAAAGGTGAGTCTGTTAAAGGATATATTTGATTTTCACGAACTCTTGAAAAATGGATGACTGACAACATATAATAGAAATGAAATAGAATGAATAGAAAAGTGAGAAACAAAGCTCTAAAACGATTTAAACTAACTAACCCACAATGCGCAATTTCGCTATGTCCGATATTCGAAGGAAAATAAATTTCAAAATCGTAGCATAAATGAATAATAGAGTGAACTTAAAAAGCTTGGTCCTACTAAAAATAAAAAAGGGGTTATTCCTAAAAACTTAAAGGAAATGAATTCGCTAAACGATTATTTTGCTACTTCAGGGACAACACTGCTAAAGCCGAACTTATAAATTATTATAGTAATAACACATTTGAAAATATATCTGAGGGCAGCAATATGATTAACATAACGCTCATTTAAGCTCTGTTAAGCTGCCCTATGGTTGTCACGTACATCACACATTATTAATGAGTGCATACTGACATCTTATTTCTCACTGACCTGTAGATGTTTCCAAAAACTAAGAATCTATCCGAGTTCATATTCGGCAAAGTAACGAACATGTAAATTCTGATTTATATAACTCCTATAATATTGCTACACAACATCTACTCTAAATTAATCCCACTAAATCAGCTGCTGAGATTATCGGAAACGATGTTCAAGTTGAAAACTTAAAAAAAATAAGCTCTTATTAACAATTAATAATTTTCGGCTCCAACTTTATGATTCCAGTAAAAGCCTGGGTTTATTCTTTTTTATTTATTTATTTATTTTTTCTATTAATATTTTATTTATTCTAAGCAGCTTAATTTCCGTCAGCATAAAACTGAAAATCTGAAAAACGGTTATGGTACTTTAAAACTAATTTATTCTTATAGGTACTTTTTATCACAAGGGATCAAGAAGCTGCATAAGCATAGAAGAATGTACTAGGAATCTGCATCGCGCAACTTTTTAGAATATACTAAGCATATATTAACCACCTCCAACTTCATATTCTGGTTATATACTCAGTATGTACTAACATGTATTTATCATAAATTCTAAGCATGTTTCCAGTAAACGGAAACTTAAACAGTCTACTGTAATACCATGCCTATGTGGCAAAAAACACATTGGAAAACAGGATGAAAAATATCTAGGCTAAAAGAACATGAAAGAACCATAAAACTATGACAAATCTTTCAAATAAAAATCAAATAAACCAAAAGACATCCTTAACCGCGACCTTTCACCAATATGGAAATTAGTTGTGGCAATTAATGTTCATGCTCCTCCTATAGCTCAGCCCCCCCTAAACAATATATAAGCAGGTACAGAGTACAATGCGAGCGAGTTTCAGATAAGCCTAAAGCTACAGGATGATTGGCGAAACGTCCAGAAGATTTGTAAATATTACGTAATACGTAATACTTTAAGTATATGCGTAAAAGTATATTTGCAGTAAATGTAGCTTTACAAATCAAAAGTTTATTCAGATTTTTTAACAAACACACTACATACAACATTAGGATTCTACGTTTAAGTTTAAAATTCTACCTTTTCAAGAAGAAATCGTCAGTGTATTCACACTTTACAACATGTAAATTTTCTGTAGTCAACAGGAACTTGTGTTATAATGGCAGAAAAAAAAAAGCACAGTTGGTTATGTTTTCAAAAAAACTATAAATGTTGTGGATTCCACCTTCGTCGCCAATCATTCGTCAAACGTCAGCAAGTTCGATTTATTAACCACCACACAGGAGTATAGTACAAAGTTCTAATTTTTAACAAAACCAACAAGTTTCATATAAAATTTAACAACACCCTTGTTTTGAATATAAGTCGTAAAATATATTTACAGGATGAAAATGTTCATAAAAAATCTGAACATTATAGAAAATGTTTTTTCAAAAATCCAAAAGAAGAAAATCTCTCAAGCCCAACAAACTTTAATTACAATAACAATAACAATTGTTACATTAACTTCAAGCACTGATTTTTTCGTTTCTTGCTATTTTTTGTTTGACTTTAATAAGTCAGTATTTTATGATGTGTATAATTTTGATTTCATATGCTTCCCTTTCGTACAATTTAATTGCATATAACAAAATCATCAAATATCAAATATAATACAACCTCCACCAAGTAACATATTAAACAACAAGTTAAACAATTTAAATGTCCGTGATTGCGTCCCATGACTGGTTCAGAGACTTAAAAATAGAAAATTAACGATATTAACATATTCTTTCCAGAGTTTTCTTAATTTAATTTTATCAAAATATTCTCTAGTCAAATGTTCATAACAGCGTATATTTCTGATTCGGTGTCAGCTTCAAATCGGCATCATATTCCGTCAATCCTAGAACGCTTTTGCTCTTTTTTAAAAGACACGATAAAACCATCTTTGCGACGCTTTTGCGGTCATATTTTTTGTCGTAGAAGGGGCAACTAAATGCCCACATTGGCTTTACTTACTTGAAAAATCAGCACTGGGTAGCTACTAAACAAATGCTGGAAAGATAGAATAATCCTTATAGGGGGCGGGAGAAAACTAAATACCTTAACATGAGGCGTGAGCGTGGGCACGATTCGCGTTTTAAATAATTCTATGTAATGAGTTAAGAACATAGAAAAATATTTAAAATTATAGAAAAATTAAATTCAGAGATAGCAATACTAGTGTTAGTTAGTCTGTTTGTTAGTATGTGTAAGTGAGACATTTAAAGCGGCAGCTCAAGTGCGATTGGACAAGAAATCTCAAGTATCTAATTAGATAAAAAAATGTTTCCGGAATTATTTTATTCACGAATGAATATATTTTTTACATACATATATGTTTTTCCTATACATAATCAAAAGAATGTTCCAGGTAGAACTTTCAAAAGTATTCCAAGGATGTAAACAACTTGAACACACTAAGTATACAGTTTTTGCGAATATTCTTTACATACTTTAGGGAATGTTAGTTTCTGGTATATTGAAAGAACACACTACCAACATTTTAGGATGCATTTACCCAAAAGTATTTTAACAGCAACTACCTAGTAAATGGGACGTACATTGATATTGAGGGGATTGGTGCGCTCGCTAATCAAACACGGGTAATCGCGCTGGCTCCCGTGGGCCTAAAACGACCTATTTTTGTTGAAATTAAATGTAAAATTCAATTGAATAATAAATTTGCAACGTTTGATGAAATTAAACAGATGGCGTATCCGCGCTTATGCTGTTTACCGGCGATTTTTAGGCACATAACACGTATTTGCACATTGTTGTATATACACGCCTATTTTCCTCTGCAGCGGAAACTATCTTTGATTAAACCTTTTCTGAAACTAGCTCAACCTAAATCGACCGGTGATTTCAGTCTAATATACCTGATTCCATGATTCCAACACTGGCCAAGGTACTGGAAAGGGTTATTCAGCTTCAGATATCGGAGCAAGCTATATCTAATGATTATATATCCGATTTGTAATCAGGGTTTCGCAAAAAACACAGTACTACTTCAACGCTTGCCAATATTACCAGTAAAATTATATCGGCGCTTGACAGTCTGTCAGTGGCTTTAGTGTTGTTGCACTTTTCCAAGGCGTTCGACACCCTAGACCTCGAACTTATTTGTGCCCAGATCGGTTACAATGGGCTCAACGGTCACCCAGTTTTGTGTTTCCAACCGCACTCAAAAACTAGTGTTGGACGGGAATGAGTCGAATGTATGTAGCATAACGTCAGGCTTATTTCAGGGGTCAGTCTTGGCGGCAATTCTCTTCACTTCACTTCACTCAGTTACTTTACTTGTTTGACATTCGAGACATTGGATATTCTTGTTTCAAAATAAACAATGATTAAGCAAATAATTTCTACTTTGCCTCTCAAAATAATCTAAAATTAAATGCAAATAATAATTTACTCAAAAAAATATAGAATTTCCTTTTTAAATAACAACCTTGCCCTATTTATGATGGACTTAAATTCTTTATTGTAATAAAAGTAAAAAATGTCGACCGAATGCTTGAGAATGACTTATGCTTCAAAATCAAGGTCTCATGGCTATTGCAAAAAGCATATTTTCCAATAGCATATCCTTACATAAAAACACAAGCATTTTAAATTTCAAATTTCGCAAAAAAAAATCTAAATCCTTCATCCTGTCGTTATTAAATCATGCCAATATACTGCATTATTATTGCAATGATATCTGTGCTACAAATCGGCTACACAAGCTTTAGAATGCTTGTTGTAGATTTATTTTAAGATATAGAAAATATGACAGAGTTTCTCAAAAAATTAACTGCAATGAACAATGAAGGCTTTAAATAAATTTTTAAAATATGTGAAATAATGCTTAACTTGTTACAATTCTAAAATTATATTTTCTTAAATATTTAATGTTAAACGTTTTTCAAAAACTAAAATTGAAGGTGAATTATACTAAAGTTTACTAAGATAATTATAACAATAAAATAATTCGTCTTTTAATTTCACTAATATATTTTTAGAAATCGCTTGGCTAACTTTCCAGGGGGTTTTTCTCTATTTAGTACCATCTGGAGCTACAAAAAACGTAGATGTGACTACCACCTCACGTGGTTACCACCTAGTACATAGATTTTTCATGACAATAACAATGTGGATATGAATAAATTAAAACAATTAATAAAGAAAAATATTTTCAATTTAATTATCACAAAAAAAGTTTGCTGCATCTCCCGGTCATCCACATGATCTATATCCGAGTCAACTGATCTGACTTCTAATTTGGTGACAGTGATACGTACATAATGTGATAGTGTAACAAAGTACATGAGGTTAAAGAAGTATTTTTTCGCTTATTTAAACAAAACTCGGAATTGTAATTGTAATAGAAAATAAGAAGAAAAAAAAGCATAAATGAAGGGAGATCCAAGTTTTAAAATGGGCATCAACTCTGTTGTAGGTGGAATGGAGATTCTTTTGTATAGTTGAGTTTATATGTCAAAGTTTTATACATAAATTTTATGAAATAATTATTCGTTAGTCTAAGTTGCTATATGGATAGGTAGACTACAATTTCACCTGGAAATTTTCATTTTCTTTTGAAATGGAGTTTAAACTCAACCCCCAACAAATTCTGGACTATATTCTTACATTAAACGGTTGCAGGACAAACACTTCCAACGCACAGCAGGATAGTTAGTATCAAAATGAAGTCTCAAATATCGTTAACAAGGCTTCTTTCTCGACTCTAGACTTTTTTGTTGACTGGTATTCCACGACGGTTGTCTACTCTGAATAAATTTGGACTAATTAAATTAACATTTCTGGTAGTTAAACTTCTTAGATTTCCCTGTAGGTTCATTTGCAAACAATTGTAGCTAAACTTTTGTAAGTTTGGTGGTTATTACAGCTTTAAGTGCATCAATAATTAATTAATTCGTTCTAATTGAATTTAATTTGATACCACAGACCAATTTATGCGGTTGGTTCTAAAATGATTTTTTAAAAACACTTTTATATTTCGCAAATGATTTACTGGCTAACGTATCCCGTGCTAACAAATCTTTCAGACATTTATATGTTTGACCCTAATCAAGGCCAAGAAAACTGGAATTTTTGTCGTCCGAAGTTCTTGCATTTACGTTGAGCAGTTGTTCGAACTACTCAGTATAGACTTCAGTTCGGCACAAGAGATGGCCGTTGCTCGATAAGTTTATTATTTACTTAAAATACTTTTAAATAATTAAACTAGCCACTTCGAAGTAAACCTTTTTTTCTTTAGATCGGGAACGACATGATTAGCGCCATAGACTATCTCGAGCAAATCAACTTACTATCTACAGGACGAAACCCAAATGGGATTCGAGGTAAATCGCTGTAAGAGTTTTAGATATTTTAATTTTAGTAACCGATGGATTTATTAAGACGGACTTGTTTCCTATTTAGTGATGAGTCATAAGGACGATACGTGAGACCAAATAGTGCCTCTAGTTAAAACTATTTTGTATGTATGTATACCAACTATTTGGTACCTGTTTAAAATGGATTTAATATTTTTAAATTAAACTTACCGATTTCACTAAAAATGAAATTCTTATTTGAGACAAATCTAGTCTGCAACAAGGTCTTTGGGGCCAAAGTATATTAATCGACGGGTCTTTTAAATTTATTTTATTTTCTCTAAATATAAACTTCCTACATCTATGAGTGAATGTGACAGGTATTTATTTCATTTTGGTGAACCGATAATAATAATCTATCAATTTGATTTTTCTCCTTCTGACAAAACAATGAGTGAAAATTGAAACTTCATCGGGGGCCTTCGCCTATCACATTATTTTTTAAATACAAATATACGGAGTAGCGAAAATATCATCCGTTCGGGATCATATTTTCGGCCACCCCCAAAGTACAAATAACATTTTGCTTAAGGGGCGCGGGGGTAAGTCTGTTCTTTGGTATATTATTACACATTTTAAAGTAAAAGGACAGAGGGATATTTGGGTTGGAAGGATAGCAAAGAAATACTCGTATAGGGTGGCGCGACTTTTATTTGGCATCGCACAACCCTTTAAAGGGCGAGTCACTTTGAGTATTGTGTTAGAAGTTATGAGCGTTTGTTAACATTTCCTTATGCTTATTTCATTCCCTTATTTCGGATGTTTTCTCTTATGCAGAAAATACCCTTTTATTAAAATTTAATATCTTTTTGAGTAAGTGAGTTAGCTACTTCCAAATTTCAAAGCGCTTAACTAATACATCTCTTTAAATGGCCAATCCCTGACTTTCATCTTAAGTCATATAACTTGTCCCACAATTTAAAATTTATAAAAACAATTTATTAGTAACAGTAAATGAAGATAAGAAGTTCAATAATTTATTTACAAAATCTCCAAATATGTTGAGTATAGACTCATAAAGGTTCTGCTGATAACTTTGTGGCACTCAATACGAACGTCAAAAAGTGTCAATTAATATGCAAATGCAAATGAATATTCAACATTAGCATTTTCCATTTTTTTGAAAGGGTTGTTTCTCGTGCTTTATTGAATTCTTTTGAAGACGACTTAAGAGATAAGCGAGGCACAACCTACCTTGGTAAATAATTTATGAGGATTTTTTTTTACAATTTTTGAAAGGAGGGACAATATACTTAGGTTCTGTAGATAAATTATTGAACTTCTTGCTTTTAAAAAAATATTTTTTTGCGGTTACTAATCTTTTTTTGCAAATGTAAATTTTTGGGACACCCTGTATGACTTATCATCAAAGTCACGCATTAGTTATTCTAAGAAATGAATTAGTTAATCCCTGTCAAATTTTGAAATAGCCAGCTCACTAACGCAAAAAATGGTAGGCTTTAATAAAGAGATGTTTTCCTACAAAAAAAAGTGAAAGGGAAATGTTAACAGAATTTTGCGCAAAATCGGAAAATGTACTAATTTATATTGAATTTCCAATGTTGTCGTCTGTTTTGAATTGACCCGGCAACGCTGCAGGTGCGTAAATATTTTATGAGCGCATTAAGGCCAAAGAAGAAACCTATTCAGCCTTCCAGAACTTCTAATGGGGTACTGAACGTGAAACGCCCATTACATAACGACCGGAAAAAAAGCTTTCTTTTAGAGGTTTTGGTAAAAAATGCGAATAACTAAATATTAAAATAGTACGTCGTTGACTAGGAGAACGGACGTCGGAGAATTGGAAGGTATAGCGGGGAATTTGTAATTACTCGAACAGTTCGTGATTCTGATGCAAAGTCTAAAAAATAACTATACAACGAAACAACCTCCAAACATTATTAGTGTGTCTTTTGGGGGTTGTTCCCCGATATGACGTAAGTGCGCTAAAACAAATCTTAAAAAAACATTCTTTGGTGTGTACTAAAAAGCTAAAAAATATATAAAATATGATAAATATATAATAATAAAAAAACACATTTGAAATGGTCGCTAGAAATAAATATTTAACAGAGAATACCGTCGCTCTTTTACAAAAAATGAAAAAACAAAAGACGCAAAATATTCCTTTTCATTGCCCTAATGCTTTAGATCGTATTTATCTACACACAATTATACACACGTACGACGCTAGAAAAATTTAGAAAACCTTCGAAAAAAAAAAGTTCGTTTCGACGCGGTCACAACGTCCTCCTCTCTTGTATCTATCAACCCAAATTCAGATCATGGGTGAAAATGTTCTCGCTCTTCAAACAGGCGCTACCGCTCTCTGTCGGCGAATTCGCCGACGCCAACGAGTTGGCTCTAGTGGCCGCCAGAGGACTCCGACTGCTCTGCTCCGTAGAAAGGTGTCCAGCGACAGAGTTGGCGGTAGACACGTCGTTGTTCGCATAGTAATACGCCGCATCTGCAAAATGAACGACATTCACAAATGCCGTCACCACCGAACATTGACAAGATAAGAAGGGGCCACTCTCCGCCGACACCGATTGTTCTTACCCATCACCAGGTTTTCGTGACTTTCTATGGCACTTGGTGGCACTCGGTGACGAGATAATTGAGGCGAGAATTGTAAACGTACTTTAAGGTTCGTCCATTAACAGTGCGACAAAGTACAATATGTGTGTACCTTAATTAGCATAATTTTCAAAAACTACTACCATTACATGGCCTTGGGCAAAAGCGTGGCAATAGAAAAATATATATGTTTCTAACGGAATCCCGTAATTGTGGAAAAGGCCTGCTCTCTTTTTCATTCCTTTATAAAAGAACGAAGCTTAAGATGGCCAAACCTTATACAAAGTTATCCTTTTCTTAATTGGTCAGTATGAGAACTATAAGAATGCGGTGCTTCCATTTTACCAAAAAACTTCTAACGCAATTTTTTTATTCAAAATTTTAATGTTAGTTTTTAAATGTTTCTTTTAATACGCTGAATGGGGTGTTTATTAATTTTTTAATAACTTTTAACTTTAGACTTTAAACTAATTAAGACTAATAAAACAGATCGCCGCTTAATAAGAAAATCAACCAAAATTGCTCAGTACCATTTCTTTTTTATTTTTGTTATAGGGCAAAGGTTTTCAGTCAAAAAAATCGATAGATATTTAGACTTGCAAACGTCACTTTTGACATAACATGTAGGATTCAAAAATGCCCATTTAAAACAGAAACATTTTAGTAGACACGAAAATTAAAACATTATAACGTACAAATAACTTTAGTATTTAAATTTATAGTTAGTTAGTTAGCAAATCAACTTAAAAGTATAATACCTACCACTGTGTTTTTTATTTTATTTTTTGCAAATATTCAATAATGCTGTATAGGCTCTGTGCGGGGGGGCGTGGTCAAGGAAAAATTGGATGCCAGCCTCGTGAGCGTCAGTCGAATCTTTGCACTCCAAATTTTCGTACACTCTAATGAGTAGTGTGATTAAAAGTGAAAATATAAATAATTTTAAACGATTTTTAATTATAAATAAAAAACGGTTAGAACGAGGCGATCAGGAAATACTTGTTGTGTTCCTGGCTGCTGTGTTAATGAAGACTTAAACAACAAAAAATTTTATAAATTCCCCACGCAAGTCTATAACCTCGAAAAGAGAGTAAAGTGGGTTAAAGCTGTGAAAAGAATGAAGTAAGTAAGACCATGATTATCCTAATAACTGATTCAGAATTTATTGTTATAAATTTGTAAAAATGATTATTCAATTTTCTGTAGTCGTGACGGAAGTTCTTGGGAACCTAGTTTAAGATCATGTATTTGCAGTCAACATTTTGTAGGAGGTAAAAAGTCGGAGCATCCTAATAGCCCTGCGTATCTCCCAACAATATTTCCTGAAAAATATTACGGAAAACCAAAAATAAATAAATCAGAGCAAGTACAAGCACAAAGCAGGTAATTTTTCTATTTATTAAACCTTGATTTATAAACGTGGGTATGCTTTGCCCCGGCCATGTAATTAACATTAAAAAAAGAAAAAAAATCGCAAATTTTTTTTTCCACGAAAAACTATATTTTTTGCTTTACATTTGGCGTTTAGTTGGTTGTAAAATTTTTCATTTGTCCTTAATGTAATATTTATTGAGTAAACCACGTACATTTCAAGAAGTTTCTCTATTGGTCGTAAAATTATAATCGATATATCGGATTGACAATTAGTAACGTTAACAGTAATTTTGTACATAATTTTTGGACCGAGATCAGTAGATACAAAACGGCTGGACGTAAAAGACCCACGTTTGTACAGAGGATGATATGAAAAATTAATTGAATCGTAGATGTTCATTTTACTAAAAAATATAGGATTTCTCGATTACAGATTCGCGAGAGCAATGCGGAGAAGTCAAAATTCAAATGGTTCCGAAATGGACAACACTAAGCTTGTTAATATAAGAACACGTAACGATGACCTCAACGACAATAAGGATACCGATAACCTGAATGATCATATGGATATACAGCAATGTAGTGAAGTTATTATTGACTCACTGCAACCGCGGTTTAAAGATGTTGCTGTACAGATTGATTTTCATGAAGAAATGAATTCAACCTTCGTAAATAATATAATATATAATATAATAAATATGGTTCTTTTTTCATTGGACTTTTCCCGTAGCTACAGTTTTATCCCATATTGGTTTCGATTTGCATGATATTGGACATTTTACTTCGACTATTTTAGTTACCATGCCGTCACTGACTACTATTCCATCTACTGAGACTCCTAACCAGGCCTGTTTGGGAGACACAAATAATCCAATTTGAAATACGTGAACATCATGCAGTAATTTGTAATTTTCGCGAGCTTTTACCTCATTTTGAATTCCATAATTTAAACTTTTCGGATGCAGAAAATCCTGTAGTAAAGATTCAGCTGAAGTGCGAGTTATTGTTTTTATCTTATGAGCTTTTGCGCTGGCCGTTATGCGTACACGTCTTGCTTCAAACAATTTTACCGTCTCGCTTTGTTGTGTGCTTTGTAAACACAATGTGAAAACTTCTTCACTGTCTAATAATATCCGGTCTCTGTAAAACTGTGCTATCTCAGATGACAGAGCCAACTTGTCTTTTCCTATGGTGATACACTGACCAGCACTCTTTAAAAGACAAGCAATCACCTTTTTCGTACACTCTGATATTAGTTCTACCTGTCGTTCTTCGAGACATATATTCATGACCACCGTACAGACTTGTTCTTCCTCACTAATATGATCGACTTTTAACCTTTTTTTAATTGGACATTCGATATCGTTAAAGTCTTCCAAATTCAAGTGCAGTGGCTGAGGAGGATTTTTAAGCACTTTTTGAGGAAAAAGATCATTTACCGTAGCTCCTCGAGAATATTTTTCTTTTGCTAAATGATTAATTGATGGAAATCCCCACTCGCTGAACACTCGTTTTAGACACACTCCGGTCATTGTTTATTTGGTGGATAAATGCCGCAATATGTTTGCATTCGCCAGTTTCTTTGGCAATGCAAGTACATTGAGTATGTACCACCTGCCTTTTACTATTCAGCTAAAAAAATTAAAGAATCAAGTAAAAAAGCCACTTTTAAAGTTTTTTTTTCTCTAATCTGTAAATTATATGGTGTTTCAGTGACGGACGTTTGCTGAATGCATTTAGCAATTAACTTATTGTTAATATTGCCACCAACGTATTCTTCAATGTGTTTAATATGACAAAAAGCCAATTTTTTTCCTTTTTCTAGCGTACCTGCAGTGAAAATTATTGAATGGGAGATATTTTCAAACCCGGTCTGCAATATTACCGATGCCATATTTTCAGGTTATGCTGTCAATAAAAAAACTATTATTATTTGTTTGTTACACGTTTTAATTACAGAAAAAAATTTTTGTTATATATAATTTTCACGTACCTTTCGTTTAAATCACTTTATACTACTTATCCATCTCAAAATTTATTGTTAATTGTTTTATTTATAAGTTAACACGTAAAGACAATGATAAAATTGGAGTGCTGTAATTCCTTCTTTTCCGTGGGCGGCGCTATTAGGCTTCATACACGGAGCGAATAGTATGATTTATCCAATAAGTATATGAAAAAAAGACGTAAAAACCATTATTTTGCAAGATTGTTCGCCAGTGCGACATCAAAAATACTTTACCAAAAATCTTAGGTGACATGTTTTTACTTCTTTGAGCGTCTTGTTATATATTATAGTTAGCAAACCAACCAAATTTGTAGCAATTTCTTATTAAGATTTATGAAGCACCAAGATGTTTTCTGAAAGATAATTAAATTTTCAAACAAATTTCTGAGTCAAATATCGTTGTGAGTGAAATTTGATTGATAGACATGGCAAGGGTATAAGGAAGAAATGCGTAAGCTCTCAAAATAATTCAAAAACATGTTTATAAAAGCCACCTTTTTAGATGAATTTTAATTCAAGTGGAAAAACATAACATAAAATTGTACGGAAAAACACCATATGCATTTGAAAGGATTTCGATACAGTTTACCAAAATTTTACATGCACCAAAGTTAATTGTTTGTGGAAAATTGCACAGCAACAATATATGTTGTTTAAATCCATAGAATTTTAATTACTGCAGAAATCGACATATTAAAGAACATCTTTGCATTGTGCCTTGAAAACAAATCCAAGTAAGGCTTTCTTCTCTTGACCCAAAGCTTCAATTACTTTTCCTTGAGTTATATCCATAACATAGCAATTCATGTTGTACACATTTGTATTTCGGATCAGTAGGACTATTCCCTCAACGTTCAAAAGAAGGATGAATCCATAATGAATTGTGAACGAAACCAACTACTTTTTATGCTATAGTGATGAAATGTCACAATAAACAATACAATGCACACAGGAAAGTCATGAAATAAACTTACCAGGTACTAGTCAGCAAGATTTTTGATTTTTTGTTATTTAAGTTTAGTGACATCACCATCAGAAAATTATGCCAAAGCCGACGGAAAAGCAAAGTAAAGTCTGTTCATAGATATAAGAAAGTGACTAACTGATAGGAATTAAGGAAAGACCCGGGCAAGCTGTAAGAATGAAATATGGCCGAACAGATCCGTACTTTGCTTAGAATTTAATTATTTGGGGTTTTGTTAGGAAAGATACTAAACAATATATATTTGTTTATGTATGTATTTATGTTTAAATCTAAAATAAAATTACAAATTATTTTTATTACCTACTTAAATTACTTAAAATTATTCACATAATATATCAGTGTCACTATCGTTATCATCGCCTGTTCTAATTATCATTTGTTCTATATTATTTGCAATATGGACATACGATTGTTCTGCTTTTTCTATATGTTTAACAGAATTTGCCCAACTTTGTGGAGGGATGTTAAAAACTTCGGTTTCTATAAGTTTGAGGACATTGGAGTTAACACGGAGAAAAACATTGTTACGACGAATGGCAGATTTCAGTTGGTGCCAAACATGTTCAATGGGATTAAATATACAGTGGTAAGGCCTTAAAACTGTATGCCCTAGATTTTTTGCATAATTATCGCAGACCTATTCCTTTTGTATGTTCAAGCTTTGTAGAACCTCAATTAATTGCTTTTTGGTATACTCTTAGTGAAAATAAATGTCGTTATTGTACATGTAGTTTTGGATTGTTGCTTTTGTGTCACATGAGGAAGAGGTTTTAGTCAACTGTCTACTGTGATAACTTGCATTGTCCATTACAATGACGCTATTAGGAGGAATGTTTGGAACTAGTTTGTTTTTCAAACAACTTTCAAATAAATCAGAGGTGGTGTCTTCATGGTAATCCAGAGAAGAATCTTTAATATTTTTCGCAGACAGAGAAAGTCCATTTGGAATCCAACCATCTTTAGAGCCAGCAGCCTCTTTTTGATGGCGCGTTTGTTTTACACTTATCAGTTGAGTCAACCCATGTGTTGAATACATTTCTATAAAGTAGTTCTGCCACATTTAACACCGGTTTCATCTTTTTTATGCCTCCTAATTAAGATAGCTAATGTAGGCGCGCTTTGTTCCTCGTATAACTGGTAACTTTTACGCCGCAATATATCTTGATCACTTTCATCTACACTCGAGAAAATGTCAGTATCGCTTCTTTTTTTCCTCGCTGAAATGGGATTATTCACAATTTTCCATACAGTTGATATTGGAATTTTCGAGAATGTGACCGTTTCTTCTAAAGATGTTTGCTGTCTGGCACCACGTTCAATGAGAGTCAAACAAACATTGTTTATAACTTCCTTAGTCTCAATAGAATAGTGTTTTCTACATTTGGGCGGGAGCATCTCCTGAGATACACTAGACTCGCACATATTTTGCATAATTCGCACACGATTCACCACACGCTGTATTACACACGAAATAAGAATAATTACTAATATACTTAAACTAAGTAGTATACCAAACCAAAGAATATTAAACACAGGTAGGTATAAAATCATTTTCTATTGCCGACCAAAATTTTACCTGAATTTAAATTCCGAAACTTTAGGTAATAATCTTGTTGCATTGTATGTTAATGACCACCCTTTAATAATCCCATTCAAAAGCAATTGGTCACTTTCTTATATCTGTGGAAAGACCATACCCATATTTTTATCGAAACGTGACTGAAAATCTGGGCAATGGTAACTTATCTGCAGTCAAAAATTGGTTGGCGGAACGTCAGGAAGTTCGACGCATCAACAACGGACGCAGGAAGAATGCAGAAAATTTGTAAATAGTATCACATAGTATCGTATAGTAATGACAGTACTAAAGCAACAACAAGCCCTATCCTCTTCGCAAAGTATTCAAGTTGAGGGCTTTAGGGGTGGCAAAATTGAGAGTGGCCCTTTTAATCTCGTCAATGCTCGGTGCAGTCACCAAGGTGGATCGCAACGATCAATTGAAAGTTATGTCCGTTGAGTCACACTCAATACTCACTGTTTACTTACTGAGTAACCCGCTGGATGGCGTGCCGTAACCGTAGTTACCGTACGCAGCCCCGTACTGACTGTACGCCGAACTGTACGCGTAGTCGGCGCTCGGAACCACCGTCGTGCCAGCTGTGAAATAAAAGCCGAAAATTATTTAGAGGCAAAAGGAAGGAACCCCGGGTAATATTCGCGAATTTATTCTATCAAGGTGGCGCTGCTGACAGTCAACACATCTAGACGGGCAGGTAGTTAACCGACCAGCGACTTGGTGTTTAAAATTAAAATTACAGATACTTTCCCTGCAGTTGTTAGCAAAGTTAGTTTTTAAAAATGACATGTGTTTCTGAATTCATTGCTAAGAAACTGATTAGTAAAACTGCGCCACCAAAACTTTACATTGGCAATTGCAAAAATAGTTGAAATGACTGAAGTGGCACAGTTAACAATATAACGACTTATGGACGAGTATAAACGCGGCCACATCAGAAATAAAAGAGGATTTCATTCTGCTCATGGGTAAGAGGAAATTGTGGAAATCTTTGACCGAAATGAATTTTCGTTATAACAAAACTCAAAACGAAAAATTATTTTTAATGGATGACGAAATTATTTGTAGGCAACGATATTTGAGAGCAGTTACAAAGTTTCGAAGGGAAAACAGGAATATCCGACGAAACTTGGGTAAATAAGGTATATACCGTTATATATAAACTTTTAAAAAGCGCAAGTCAAGCTTTCATGGAAGGATGGTCCAGAGTATCATGATGATATTTTGATGCTGATGCTGATGATGAATGCTGATGTTTTTGAACACTACTTCCAGTAAATACTAGATCTTAATCCCCCTTGCTCTGTTATAGTCATTGATAATGCCAGTTACTACTCAAGAAAATCCGAAAAAATACCCATTCTTCTTGGAAAGAAAATGACATCATTCGCAAATCAGTACAGGAAGAAATGTCTATGTCACCTGTATTCCTAAATTTTATCAAATGTTACACACTATATTTATATATATATATATATATATATATATATATATATATATATATATATATATATATATATATATATATATATATATATATATATATATATATATATATATATATATATATATATATATATATATATATATATATATATATATATATATATATATATATATATATATATATATATATATATATATATATATATATATATATATATATATGATGACACTATATTCCGGGATATCATCCGTTCGCTCGTTGAACTCCGACTGGAATCCTGCATCCGACTGGAATCCTGCAAATCTTGCATCCGACTGGAATCCTGCAGACGTTTCGCCAAAATCTCACTTGGCATCTTCAATGCTCGCGTTCCGAAAACACTTCGAACAGTGTTCGAAGTGTTTTCGGAACGCGAGCATTGAAGATGCCAAGTGAGATTTTGGCGAAACGTCTGCAGGATTCCAGTCGGATGCAAGATTTGCAGGATTCCAGTCGGATGCAGGATTCCAGTCGGAGTTCAACGAGCGAACGGATGATATCCCGGAATATAGTGTCATCACATTTTTCCATCCGTGAATCAATACGTGAGAATATATATATATATATATATATATATATATATATATATATATATATATATATATATATATATATATATATATATATATATATATATATATATATATATATATATATATATATATATATATATATATATATATGTATATATATATATATATACAAACACAATGGAAGTAATGTTCCATTTCTTATGGGCCATTTATAGAAATTTTTTGATATAATTGAACGCCAATTATTAAACTATAAAAAAATGAAACTATCGTATTTTTACATCTTTTCGTTGTTATTAGACTCTGCCGGTTCAAGGGACAACTCTGTATATACCAATAAGCTAGAGTAATGTATTTTGCGTAATATATGACTGAGAATATTTTTGCAAAATGTCTATAGAATGTTTTTTTCTACTCCCGTCTGTAAAATATCTAATTACACACCGACCTAGCGTGCGGGAAGCGTCACTTTCATTTCCCACGAATCGAAGCCACTTCGGACATTTCCGAGATGGGGTAAACCACGGGTTTAGGAGCAATCGGATGTTTTCGGAGATATTTCCCACGCCTTGAATTTTGACGTTTGTCAATTCTGACAGTCATGTCAGTGAATGTATTCCTGGTGTTGTGCGAAAATGTATCCAAAAACTAACGGTCGTAGGAAAAGTGTATGCAACACGTTCGATAAGCTTTTTAGGTCACTTTTTTAAACATTCGCTCCGCTCGTGTCACTGGAATTAAAGCAATATTTGGAAAAGGTAAAAGATAATTGCTCACACTGGTAGCAAAAACGGATTTTATTTATCCCTAGCTACCACTCAACAAAATTCGAAACTTACGACTTCTTAAAAAAAAAATTACACCATTCATTGTCAAAATTGGTATGGGCGCAAGTAAAGGGGTTTGTGGCCACCACTTTTCAAATTAGGGACGTCGAAACTCTCTTGTGAGAGGAAGTAAAGACAGTGGATTGTGGAAAATGGAGTGTATCGAACATGTTATTGAAATAAAGTGTTTGACAAGTGTCATAAGAGAATATTTATCAGAAAACAACTTGTGACGATGGCCGTACTATGCGTTACTATCCTCGAATTTTAATTAAAGCGGACGTATTTCGTTAAAATCTTAAACTAGGGACATGCAGGAAGAATCAGATGTCGCAAAACAAAACTCATCTAGTAAATATCTGACTATACAAAAAACAGTAAATTTGAAGGATGAGCAGCAGCAGCAGTTAACATGAAGATACGAATGTTTGATCAATAATAACACTTGGAAAGAGCAGTGCAGCACGCCACATAGTTAAACTGAAAGACTCCAGATGGACACGCAGACTTATTGAGTGAAAATTTAAAACATGTATATCTATAAATCGCGTTGCTTGCAGTTTGTAAAGCTAGTATATTACTGCAGCTCTCCTGAAGCGTATCCCTTAATATGTTTAATAATGAAAATTTTACAATCAGAAGTTAGATAGAATAATTTTTATTCAATATTTCTTGAGTGATATCTATCAATAGAAAAGTTCGTTAATGTTGAATCCATAAAATCACTAAATCACTAACGATACCACCAAATAATACTTTAACCGTAGATTAACAAATTTTCCGCCAGAGGTCTCATTGAATTTCAAAATCGTCAATTCCTAGGTAGATACTCCGTGGATGTGGTGGTGATTTAAGGATGCGCAATTACTTACCGGTAGAGTAGCCGGCGAAACTTGGCAACATCGCGGAGTAATGCTGAGCGGCTACTTGCCCGCTACTCGGCTGAAGTACGGTGAGAGCCGCGGGGTCCGGGGAGCCAGCCGCTTGGCTCGATGGCGGCTCGGCAGGGAGGGCGAGGGGTAGGCCGGGGGAAGCGCCCTCGACCGCCCCCAAGCCGCTCCCGCTGCCATATGGAGAGTTCGTTTCGGCAGCTGGATGCGAAAAAACGAAAAGCCATGCAGCAAAAATAAAAACACAACAATACTGCTATAAAAAGGGTTGATATGACACTTGATTGCGCTTAAATATACAGGGTGTCTCAAAAAAAATTCATACAAATCCTTGAGTCGTAGACTACATGTAAAAGAAGCGAAGGTCATTCCATTCGGGCGGCATCAGCAATTTCAGTCTAGTTCAATCAAAATTAACTCTTTACCAGTACAAATAACGTGGCCAAATTTCAACAGAATCGGGCAAGAAAGATATTTTTATTTAGGCTCCCTGACTTTATGCAATCAAGCAAAGGAAATAAAGTTTGGGTGGGTATTCGGCCATATAAAACTTTTTTATTCACTAAAGATTAAGGTTTGGTCAGAAATTGTAGGCTGTCTTCAGAGATATATTGAACTAAAAGGAGAGATACTTTTTTCTGTTATAATTATAATTATCTTACCTTACAGTGAGCATTACTTATATTTCGGCCAACAACAGGCCATAAAATGTAAAAAGTTGTCGTTGGCCGATCAATTATCTTGTCCATTTATCTTGTTTATACCAGACATGAATAAAATTTGTTTTTTTTTTGTAAATTCATTGTTTTTCGACAAACCATAATGTAGTCTTTCTCCATCATGGGACTTTGTCTTCGTCTGTTACCTGACTTTTACCTATGTATTATCAAAAAAAAAGTTGTTTACACAATTCTTGCATTTAATCCGACGAAATTTATAAAAAATAACGACCATAAGGACCATAATTATTTCAACTAAATTACAAAAAAAAAACAGCTGAGCAGTGAGGAAAACGAAACGTGATGAAAAAAATGATAATTTAATGTGGGAAATCAGTGATCTGGAAAAATTTCCTTGTGTGAAATTTTAAAGAATTTATAAAAAGGTTTTTGAGTGAAAGAGGCAGTAAATTGTAGGCTTTGAGAGTACAGCAGGAAAAATATTTCTGAAATAGAGCGGATTTATAGTTAAAAATTTGAAACGATTGTCCCAAACGATAAATGTGTATATTTGACGCGATAATTTTGTGAGTAAACACAAGAAAATGACGCTTACGACTGTCCATGTTCGTTCATTTCAGATCAGCAATTTTTGGCGAGATATGGTCATATTTAAGCAATCTTAAAATGAATCGATTCGTACCTATTAAATACGTCCTTTTCTTTAAAACATATGGATCTCTCCTTTATGTACATTTTATCTCTGACGTTGGTCTACTGTATTTGGCCGAAATGTACGTAATGTTTACAGAATAAAAAAGCTTGATAAGAACGAATAACCACGAAAGTTTTACTTTGTTTGATTTAACGGAATATAAAAAATAAACTTAATTAAATTAAATCAAATTAATTAAGTAAAGTTTTTTGTCACAGAATTCAAAAATGCAAAGCAAGATACCTTATATAATGACAACTAAGCTTATTGCATACTACAGTTTTATATAAAGAACTTTTAAATTTCAACTTTTTCGATAAAACAAATAGTTACGACCATATAAAAAAAACTCGCCATAATGAACTACCCCGTATATGGCATACATTATTTTAGACAGCAATAAATAATGCAAATAGTCGTTTATATATACGAAATAAACCTATTTAAATTGCAATGTCGAAACTAATATCAATGATAATTATTATTAAAAAAAGTCGATTGTGTAAGGATAATCAAAATAAAAATAACGTAATGAAGCAGAATCGAGTCTAATCCTCCCGGTTCGACAACTACGTCTTAACTAACTCATCGTAAACCCAAAAAACATCGCATAATAATACCCTAATTATCTCCTCACCGCAACTTGCCCACCCTGTCCTTTTTGCCTGAGACGCCGATACATTTTACGATCGGCAAAAAAAACAAGGCGGCGCCTCTTTGTTGCGGGGTCTTGTCGGATATGACGTAATAATATAAATATTCCAACACTCGGCCATCCTGACTATTGGTCTGTCCTCAGACCTAATGGTGAAATTTAAACGTAACTTCAATCTTTCAAAACTACAATACCATTCTAGCTTGGTGCCTAGTCTTAATCATTACGTAATAAAAAAAACATAATCAATTGTAGGTAGTAGGGTATCTTAAACATAAGCGACATTCCTTTATAAACAATAAAATAAGCAACATTTGCTTATAGGCAACGTTTGCCAAAACACAAAACACCAGCGACGTTCGCTCATAGGCAACGTTTGCCAAAATACAAAATACGAGCGACGTTCGCTCATAGGCACGTTTGCTAAAATACAAAGCACGAGCGACGTTCGCTCATAGGCACGTTTGCCAAAATACAAAGCACGAGCGACGTTCGCTCATTGGCACGTTTGCCAAAATACAAAACACGAGCGACGTTCGCTCATAGGCACGTTTGCCAAAATACAAAGCACGAGCGACGTTCGCTCATAGGCACGTTTGCCAAAATACAAAGCACGAGCGAAGTTCGCTCATTGGCACGTTTGCCAAAATACAAAGCACGAGCGACGTTCGCTCATAGGCACGTTTGCCAAAATACAAAACACGAGCGACGTTCGCTCAGAGGCACGTTTGCCAAAATACAAAACACGAGCGACGTTCGCTCATTGGCACGTTTGTCAAAATACAAAACACGAGCGACGTTCGCTCAGAGGCACGTTTGCCAAAATACAAAACACGAGCGACGTTCGCTCATTGGCACGTTTGCCAAAATACAAAACACGAGCGACGTTCGCTCAGAGGCACGTTTGCCAAAATACAAAACACGAGCGACGTTCGCTCATTGGCACGTTTGCCAAAATACAAAACACGAGCGACGTTCGCTCATAGGCACGTTTGCCAAAATACAAAACACGAGCGACGTTCGCTCATAGGCACGTTTGCCAAAATACAAAACACGAGCGACGTTCGCTCATAGGCACGTTTGCCAAAATACAAAACACGAGCGACGTTCGCTCATAGGCACGTTTGCCATTAATCCTCTTCGTTTTGTATACTAATCCACTTTTTAACATGGTCTGCGGCTACAACAGTTCGTCTACGTTTGAACCCCTCTCGTAAGTCTTCAACTTCGTATCTGTCATTAAATAGTACTTTTGTGATGCGAAAAGGGCCTTTGTATTTCGGATGAAGCTTATGACTGGCACCCGTAGTAGGTATACTCGTTATTAATACTCTAACTAGGTCACCGTCGTTGTACCTTTTGGCATCTCGTCGTGTTTTATCATAGCGTTCTTTTTGTTTTTTCTGGTCCCTCGATATGTGATCCGAAATTTTACACCTAAGCTCTTCCAGGTCTAGCCTATCGATTTCGTCTTGGATTTCATTCAGAATTATTGCCTCTGCCGCATGTTTTGAATTATAGCCAATAAGCGCCTTCATGGGGGTCGAATTAATACCCTTATTAAAACTTGTATTAAGTGCGCTTTGCACTTGTTTTATATATTTGTCCCAATCTCTTTCATCCTTGCCTGCAGCTGTTGTTGATAGCGCACTCACAATGGTTTTGTTATATCGCTCACATTGGCCATTACTTCTGGGCGAGGCAACGGCATTTAAAACGTGCTTAATCCCATAAGTATTACAAAATGTTCTAAAAGTTCGAGATGTAAAAGCTGTCCCTCTATCGCTTATAATTCTGCTAGGTACTCCAAATAGATATATTAGGTCGGTTAAAACCCTAATAACGTATTTACTTTTTTGATTATGTACTGGTTCGATTACAGTGAATTTAGTAAATGCGTCAACAATCACAAAAATATACTTATTCTTCGTTTTGCTTGTCATAAACGGCCCAACATGATCTACATGTAATGTATGAAAAGGAATCGGATGTTTCTCAATAGGGTTCAATTTACATTCTCGTTTAGAAAACGACTGTTTGTAATACATACAACTTAGACAAGCGTTAACATATTTCGTTACGAATTTCCTCATTTTTGCGAACCAATAGTTTTCACGAATTCTTCGTAACACTTTTTCTACATTAAGATGCCCATAATCATCATGACACAAACGACAAATTTACATACGTGCTGCTCGTGGAACAACCCATGCTTTGGTTCCATTTCCTAATTTTTTGTATAATTTGTTATTCCTTAACTCATACTGCTCAAAGTAAAACTTTGTATCGCTATTTTTTATTTTATCGGCTAAAATGTTTCGGATTCTACAAATCTGTTCATCTTGCATTTGTGCGCCGGTAATCCAGTAAGCTTCTGTCAAGTCTATTTGAAAAACTTCAACTTTAAAATTATTGTTCGATTTGGGGTTTCTGCTAAGAGCGTCAACATGCGTCATCTTTTTGCCGGCCCTGTACTCAATTTCGAAGGTATATTCTTGAATTTCCAGCCACCATCTTCCAATGCGCGGGATCAAATCCTTCTTTGATAAGGTCGTTCGCAAGGCATTACAATCCGTAACCACTTTAAAGTTTATCCCCAATAAATAAACCCGAAAATATTTTAAGGCATAAACTACAGCCATAGTCTCGAGTTCGTATGAGTGGTACTGCCTTTGGTCGCTTGTTGTTTTTTTGCTAAAATAAGAGACAACATGTGTATTACCCTCAGCATCATATTGAAGCAATATTGCCCCGACACCGATGGAACATGCGTCTGTGTGAAGTTCGGTTTCTAATTTAGGGTTATATATTGCAAGAATTGGACAAGATATAAGCTTTTGTTGAATTTGGTGAAATGCTTCTTTTTGTGGTGCGCTCCATATCCAATTCGCACTTTTGCGAGTTAATTTTGTTAGAGGCTCGACAATCATGGAGAAGTTCTTGACAAATTTTCGAAAATAACTTGCTAATCCAAGAAATTGACGCACTTGCTTAACGTTGGAAGGATAATTCATATCCAATACCGCTTGAATTTTCTTCTTACCTGGCCTCACTCCTTCTGCACTGATTTCTCTCCCAAGATATTCTATAGTAGTTGCAAGAAATACGCACTTACTGATTTTTAAAGTAAGGTTATGTGCACGAAGTTGGATTAACACCTTTTTTAAGCGTTCTAGTCCCTCCGCAACCGTCAATGAAGGAATTATAATGTCATCTATATAGGGGAAGGCAAATTCATCTTTTAACGGTCCCAGAACCTTGTTTATTAATGATTGAAAAACTGAAGGCGCATTTGCTAACCCAAAGGGCATCCTTAAAAATTCGTAATGGCCATCGGGTGTTACAAATGCAGTCTTTTCAATGGAATTAGCAGCCATGCGAACTTGATAAAAACCGGATGCTAAATCTAAACTGGTGAAATACTTAAATCCTCCTAATTTGTCGATTTGGTCTTCGATATGTGGCAATACACCACGGTTTTTAATGGTTACTGCATTGAGATGTCTAAAATCAACGCACATTCTATAGCCTCCATCCTTTTTTTTTAACAAGTGTAATCGGGCTGGAGTACGGAGAATTGGATTCGCGGATGACTTCATTATCCAAAAGTTCTTGAATCATATTTCGGAGAATACCCCTTTCAACCTCAGGCATACGATAAGGATAACGTACAACCGGTGTGTCGACTATACATTTTATCTCCATCTCTACCGTATTCGTATTTCCTAAATTTTCCATGGAAGATGAAATGCAATCCGAAAAACTATGCAATAAGGAAATACATTTTACTTTATCAGCCTCTGAAATAGGGCCCAAATTTACACTATTTAAATCCATAGTGTCATAAACCTCAACCAAACTCACAGACACACTTGTAATGGGGAATAAGCTGTATAAAACTAATCGATCGTCACGTTTAATCATGATTACATGTTCTTGGTTAATAAAATCCCGACCAACTAATAAATCATATTTAAGGTATTTGTCCGGAAGAATTATGGCACTTACTTGTGCCGAAACCCCTTGTATAGTAGCGGTTATTTTACAAAGGGACCTACTATCTAAAGAAGTGCCCATAAAACTACACAAAGTCATACTCTCCGAATCAATACGTTGCAATCCAAATCTCTTAACGAGGGACTCCTTTATTAGCGTATTTGAACTGCCCGAATCTATTAAACATTTTATTTTTTTGCCAAAAATTCGGGCGGGCTGTAAGAATATATTAGGAAACTTTTCCTTTGCTAACAGATTAACGTGCTGTATTTCCTTTTGTAAAAAGGGACACTTTTCTTTAGTGTGACCTAGTTTTTTGCAATTATTACATTCAAGACGTGGTTTTTTGCAGTTAACTGAAATGTGACCCGGAATACCACAATTGTAACACGTTGGGCGGGACTCAGATTTTCTAGAAAATTCTTTATTATTCGAATTTCCTCGATTGAAGCCAGTCCAAGGCAGACGTTTGAATTTAGTATTATTCTGACGAAAACTACAAATTTCCGTAGGCATGTTACCCACGGTGTTTAGATACGCATAAAGTGCATTGGCATTCTCATGCTGTGCGGCTCTAACAGTTCGCGATATATTATCGTCTTTAATACCGCCGATTACTGCGTCAATCAAATAAACGTCAGGTATATTTATGTTAAGTGCCCTTAATTTAGACATTTTTTTAAAACAATAATCTCCTAGGTTTTGTCCCGGCTTAGTTTCGTAATTAGCAGCGTCCTTTAGTAACTTGGAAAATGGAACAGACTTACGGAAATAGAGGCTCATTGATGTTTTAATTTCAATCCAGCTTGAGTCATACTCCACGTTCTCGTCGTACCATTGACGAGCGTTACCTCGTAATCGTCCGGAAATTATTCGAAGAATAGTATCATCGTCCCACTGATAACGTTCTGCCAAACTATCCACTTTACTCAACCAATTATCCACCATCACGTCATCCCGACTTGGGTCAAATTTTGGCACTAAAAGTTCGTCTCCCGCGCGAAAGACCGGCTTACGCCTTTTTAAATCATTTAATTCTTTCCTCAAACGTTTTATTGTCCGTTTTCTCCTCGAGCTATTATCGGAAGAGCTATAACTCGAATTCGAACTGTCACTATCACTTCCCGAAGACGAGGATGAACGTTCTTTCCGTGTATTACGCTTTTCACTTGTAACTGTTTTCGATTTAAATCTTCCCATGACGTACAATAATTTTAACTTGTCCGAGAAGAGAAAAAAAAAAAACGAAAACGATTGTAAGTGATTTTAGTAAAATCCCACCGCTGCTTTGTAAGGATAATCAAAATAAAAATAACGTAATGAAGCAGAATCGAGTCTAATCCTCCCGGTTCGACAACTACGTCTTAACTAACTCATCGTAAACCCAAAAAACATCGCATAATAATACCCTAATTATCTCCTCACCGCAACTTGCCCACCCTGTCCTTTTTGCCTGAGACGCCGATACATTTTACGATCGGCAAAAAAAACAAGGCGGCGCCTCTTTGTTGCGGGGTCTTGTCGGATATGACGTAATAATATAAATATTCCAACAATTGTAACTGTGTTTTTATCCTGTTGATTCATCTTTAATAGTCCTTCCTGTCATTGTTCAGAGCACGTGTTACATATATAGATATGTAGAAAAAAGTCATTATGTCGCTTATTTTCTTCACGTTTACGTTGCATAGGCGAATTGTCGATAAGTTTGTTTAACAAAAGCAGGAAGACAGAAAGTTACAGGAAGATTCGCATGTTATTTTTTATTATTGCAACTTGTTGCATCATTTGGCATTGAGTCCGTCCAATTATCTACACTTAGTAAATATCTGTTGCAGTTATCTGCCCTTAGTATGTTCCCAGGTTATTTTATTCAACACGAAGTTATTATTAAGATGAAACAAACACTGCAATGATTTTTCTTAATGCTATACAGGGTGTTATTGAAAGTGACGTATTATAACGTAGTTAGTTAAACTAGATAAAGGATACTACAATAATATTTGCAAATATACTGAATTCGTGTTGCATCGGTTGTTGTTGAATCGAACTTACTGACGTTTCGCCAATCATCCTGTGGTAGACACAATAATAAGTTCGTTGAAACAATTCTTCTCTAATATATGATGTGATTTGAAGAACACCCTGTATCGCTAGCATTACTGTAAATATACATACAACGAAGAACAAAACGAACTCTATGTCTAACAGTCAATTCGCAACCCTACCTGAAAAGTTTCCGCGTAAGGCGTCTCCCGAATTGAAAACAAAGATAAAACCGTTGGAACTGATCAGAGTCGAATGACATATGAACTTAGAGAGCAGAAAAAAAGCGGCACAAGTCATATCCATGAAATCAACCACAAAAAAAAATGCGAAACGAACAAAATACTGCAAAATTGCAAAATGGGATAATAACAAAAACGAAAGTATAACTACTCTAAGCAAATTGGTGTAAAAACCATGACTAGAAGAAAAATCTATAAAACTTAAAAATTTTGTTACTGAAGTCCCAGATCCGTTCATCTCAATTGGTGGAGAGCGGTTTAGCAGAGGCAGATGGGAGGCAAACTGGGAGTTCAGTACTAAAATTTAAAAACTTTATAAATGGCTTTCTTGCAAAAGGTTTTCTTTTACTACACTAAACGGTTACCTGAATGGTAGGGCGACATGGAAGGGTCCATCAGCCTTGTAGTTTCAATTTTCATCTCGTGCATTGTAATCGGAGCTAGAGGCGTCAACGATCCGGGCCCTACACGTTCCAAAGTTTACCTTAACTTTATCCGTTTCGAATCTAACCACCGATCTTAAACCACCACCACTTTGGAAGTATACCCGAAAGGAAATATATTTTTCCAGCGAACGTTCTTACCCAATGAGCCTGCGAGGGGAGGCGTGTACAGATTCTGGGACGTAGTCTGGCTCATGGTGTTGATGGTGTCGTAGATATCCGCCGCGGAGGTGGCGCCCCCCACGAAACCACCGTGGGTGTCGTAGTAGCCTCCCGTTTGGCCTGTCGTCGTGCCCGCGCCTCCCAGTTCCGATAAAAGTTTGTGCTCATCTTTGATGGTCCATTTACTGGACCAGAGCTGAGGTAAAACAGAAAACGTTATATTTTGTCAACTGAAGATACTATTGAATACACTTTTTCGATACGAGGAAGCACATTTCAGGGCATATATATTAAGATGATACAATTTCTCAAGTCACTGAATGCGTTTCAAAACTTACTAAAGACTCTGAAGCTGGCGGGGGGTGTAGGAAAAGCATTACCCTTAGACAACAAGCAATAAGAGGACTGATATATCTGTTTTTGTTGTAGCGTTCGAGTAACCAACAAACTAACCCTAGCTTTATGAATACTAAGGCACTTTTTCTAATAATTTAGACTGTTGTAACTCTCCCTAAAACACTAAATCCCACCGCAATCCAAGTTTGCAGGAATCGCAGCTGACACCACAGATTATAAAATAGTTCCATAAAGTATTCAAAAGAAAAAAATTAAATATTTTTTTAATGCTATGTATTTTTAGTTTATGTTTTCTTGGAAATAACTGCCATATTTAAATAAATATATACATATGAAGTTACTGTATTGTTTTGCTTCACATCCATATATACATTTTGTAAGCATTATGATGGTATTAAATAAACCAGAATGCTAAGTAAGTAATGAGTTGCCCAAAATGAAGCTAATTTCTTTGTTACTTAGAATTGACATTCACTCAATTTGCAACTTCGTATTACCTCTGAAAAACAAATCGTATTTATTGAATACAATGGATGATGAATGCTGGCTAACTGATTTCAGCAACTGAAGTTAAGGTTGCGGTAAGTTTGAAACTTCAGCCTTTCCAAAAAAATAATAAATAAAAAATACAATGTTTTTAAGTTCAACTTAAAATTTTATTTTATTATATTCTCATATATACAGAGAGTTTATTGTGAATGTCGCTAAAATTAACTTTCTTATTTTTTAATGTAGTGTAGCAGCAGTGCATTTAGAGACGATTTCAATGATATCACATAATAGTATGAGGCTCTGTCAAAATGTTTCCGATTTATTGGCATTATTCTTCAGCTTTGATTTATATTAAAGTAAATTGGATAAATAAAGATTTTCTTAACACCGATAAAATATGAATATGAAAGCTTGCTTCAACTATAAATACTCAGAGAGTTTCTTAATATTTAAATGTCTGTAAAATCTATATAAAATTGTCTGCTTGTATTAGTCTGTGTTAATTCACCCAATAATAATGAAGGAAACAAAGCTATTAAGATTCCCCCAAATTTAGGATACCGTTGGAAAAGTATTTGAATTACTTTTAAAAATATCATACTGCTCATATAGTGCCTTAAAAAAATCAATAATTTATGTAATTAATGTTTAGAATATTCAAATCAAAATTTTATATTTGTAAAAAACAACATAAACTAAATAAAATTAATTTTTATAATGGAAATCCTTCTAATAAAAACGAAAAACCGATGCACGTAAAGGAAATAAAATACTTGAGTGTATATGATTTAAATTTGATTAAAAATCGTAAAATTAAACTTTTAATTCAAGGACGGTAAGAGATTGGTATAGAAAATTTGGGTTAGTATCTTTCCAAAAATTCGAAAATATACAGAAAACCGAATAAACCGTGTATCTAGAACTCGGATACATTTTTTTTTAAAAACACACTGTATGTTTTATTTAAAATGGTATGCCAGGAGAGATTGGCTGGTTGGTTTGATTAAAGTAGGGAAAAATAAAAATTTCTTCAAGGGTACAAATTATTTAAAAATGTTGGAAACTATTTTTTATTTCGATAGCGGTAACACCCGGAACTAAATCTACTTCATTTATTCAGACAATAAAGACAAAATGATATAAAGGGGTGCCAAAATATTTTAGAGCCATAGCACACTTCCTCTTACATCACCCTGTATAATTTAAATTAAATCCGTTAGTTAGTTCGCCAGTATCATGAATTGTCCAATCCCTGAGTGACGATCTGAGCTTCTTTTTTGTGTCTATAAATAATAATGCCGATCTGGAATTTTATATTATAAGTTATAATTTTGTATGTATGTTAGCATATTGCTAAATAAATATTGTGAATTATTATTATTTGAAGTTCTTTAATTGGAAGATATCCATAATAAAGGAAGATAGTTCGACATGCTTTATTTATATATTTATTTATTTGCTTGTTTATTTAAAAAAACATACAATGCATAAAAAAAAGTGATATTTTTATATATATATTTATACGTATTACATTTAAGTTATTTGCACTTCATCCAAATCAAAACACAAATAAATGAGTAAATAAATACACCCCTACAAAAGAAAAAAACATAAAAAGGAAACGTAGGCTTGCAACGATAAATATAACCTTAAATCGTAAAAAAAAATAAATAATAAATAAATAAATAATTTTGTAACTTGAGCATTATACATAGACATACAAATCTTGCTAAGTTTGTAGCCCGAAGATAAACCGTAATACTTGTAATACATGTACCAAAATACAGCTACGAAAGTATGCATATTGCATATTGAAAATCACATTAAAACTTTTCCTGGGTGAAAATTATACAGTTTAATAAAATGCTGATTTGAATTTCGACTGGAACTAGGAAGCAGTTTCTTCATTTTTTGGTCCTTATAGGCGAGATACAATAAACTTCAGTTTATCGTTTCTATGAACAATCACAAAAAAGTTCATTGAGTAAAGAGTCTTGGTTAATTTAATATTAGTTTCACAGTGTTGTTTATAATTATTATTATTTCATTTAAATTTATTGCCATATAGGTAACAAATTGAAGTCATTTTTCACAATCCTTGCACTAGTTTTTGTTACTACTAATAAAAGGTGTTTACGGTCCACTATCGAGTGAAATAAAAGTGCAACAGTGAACATTTTTTGAAAAAAATGTTTTGGGAGTGTATGTTATTCATTAGCTCCACATTTCTGGCCGAAATTTTGTTTACAATGGCGTACCATTTTAAAGTTACTTGTCTGGTACATTTTGAAAACATTTTTGTTCCAATTAATGCGGACTTTAATTAAATATCCCGTTAAGGTGTAACGCAGTTGAGCGTCGCGGTTAAATTTCCTTTCGCCGCATAAAAAAAACAACAACAACAACGCGATATAAATTACATAGAAAATACATATTTCCATCCAATATAAATGCGTTCCCATTTCATTACGGACTAAATCTGGTCGGCGCACTGAAAATTGTTACTTTCTACTCGACACATCCGCATATCGCGTCTCTAAAATGTATTATTTGCTTATATTTATTGCTATTTTTATTGTTCGAAAGACCGTATTCGGATCAGGCGGCAAAGGATGTAATAAAGCAGAGCCGCAAAAATTCGTAACGAAAATTAATCGTCCGCTCGCGAGCGCAAGAATTTGTTTACACACCGCTCCGCGTTAAATTGAAGGATCGCGGTCCAGCGAAGGAAATTACCTCTCCGTAGCGCAAATGCGAAAAAAATCGACAGGAAGTGGGGTTATGTACCACCGGTGGACAAGGCGCAACCCATTTGCGCGATTTCAATAAAATGACACTAATAACTGCTGAGGAGCAGAACAAATTGGATATACGATATGCGGCTTGCAATACGGGGTGAGTCGAAAAGATGGGTCAACCGCTATCTGACTCCTAATTTTAAAAAATCACATTAATAACTTCGACTACCCAACAATCATTTGGATGTACCATTGAAGTCGTCATAGGTGATCCGAAGTAGGCACGACGTCACAAGCGTGCTTAATTACCTAATTTAGCATTTAAATGGAGTGAATCGATTTAAGCCGATACCCCGTCAGCTTTAACCTAAATTGATCATTATAAAAAATAAATTAAGTGCCCCAAGGTACCATCAAACAAAAATCGTCATAATAATGAACCATTGTGTGTACTAGAGCGACTATCAAATGCGCAGAAGTATGAAGTGACAAACGAGAAAATACATAACAACAATAAAACAATAAACGGAAATTGGTCGAACATAAAAAAGCCTGTCTTGGAACATACAGAAAAGCTAATATCTAAGGGGGAAACAAGGAAGAAATTGCTTGTTGGATGAACGATGCAAATTTAAGAACAGGAATCACCAGAAATACTCTGAAATCCAAGGGCAAATTAAAAGATGGATGAAAGCAACGGAAGAATTACCCTGTAGAGAGATTGAGCAACTCCAACTCCATTAATCTCCGCGAGAAACTTAAATCTGCTGCAGGGAAATGCAAAAGTTGAAATATCGACTTGCTTAATGATGAACCTGAAAATTTCCTGACCTACAAAATACACGCTGTGAAGAATGTACAATCTTTTTGATGATTTAGCAGGACCGGAACTTGCAGAAAAGTATGACAATTGTGTGATGAAAACCGCCCAAGTCGAAAAAGCAATTAATTAAGTGAAAATGCCGGACCAAATCCCAAGCGAACTACTGAACGAAAACACTACAGAATTCTTCATCTAAATGTACTACTCTGAACAAACTCGGAAAACTGACTCGAATCTATTTTCACTACCATTCCGAAAAAAAGCAAGGCGAGCAAGGAGTAATTCTCTTAAGCTACTGCTAAAAATAATACAGAATCGAATTTACAAGGGATTGAAGAACGAGCTGAGTAACGAGCAGTTTGGTTTCAGAGAGGAGCTAGCACTGTGTGCAACTACTCACACAAAAAATATTTCAAAGAATTGGATACTGATAATAGCAAAAAGCAAAAACGAGAAAAACACATTATTTTGGACCCAAGCACTCCCTGATCGGCCTTGTTATTCAAGGAAAGTTGGAGGGAAGTTGTTTGATTGAACGGAAAAGGTTATCATGGCTGTCTGCAACCACAGCAGTTTTTTAGAGCGATCGCTCCACCGCGACCATGATGATTGCCACAGTCTGAAGAAAGAGAGGGCATCAGAAGAGGGAGAGAAAGAATAATAATGTATGAAAAGTGAGCAAATAAAAGTGTTAACGCTCAGTGGATTTGGCCGTTATACAGTCAAGCATTTGCTCACAAATGTAGGCTTCATCGGGGCATAAAGAGTGTTATTACGGGATAACTTTCCATCTCAAACTAATTTAAATTATACTCACGATAATGTGTCAAAGTATGCTCTAAACAATAAGAAGTTACTTCAAATGGATCTTTACTATTAATACAATGATATCGTGACAGGTTAATATGGGTTAAAAACATTCTGGTTTAAAAAGACCGGTTACGACTAGTTTGTGTTACCAGTAGCCCGGTATATAAGTATATACAATTTTCCGTTTTTTGAAAAAAAAAAAGATCTACACTATGCAGTAGCTATTTCCCGCTAGACTTTTTCAAATATCTCGCGCATCCTGTACTGCTACAATTATTCACTCAACTGAAAATCTTGTTGACGGCTTTTGTGTTCTTCTAATATCCATAGTTCCAGAAAAAAAATTAAGCAAAACTAAGCAAGTTATTGTCGTATAAAACAATATGTTAGATCATATGGTTGATTCATTATCTCAGCTACAGTCCACAAAATTTTAATTAATGGCCGGAATATTATTGACAACGCTTTGGCAACTATACAGCAATTAAGTGAGGAGGTTCAGAAAGCTAATCATAAATATTAAGGTCCAACAGGTTAAACCATGCCAGGAAAACATCTAGGTGTGCTAACAATGAAGAAGTTTTTAATAGATACCAGGGACAGAATCTTCCAAAAGTGATATTGCTGAACTGTCTTTAGAAGAGCTTGACTACACTTATCAGATGGCCTCAATTAATATTAAATGTTAGAGATTAAAACGGTATTGTATAGAGATTAATTAATTATTGAAGAGTTATATTGTGTTCATTGTCGAATTAAAATTTAAGTTATATATTACATGTTAGCTGACAATAAATAACTTTTTAATACTTTGGATTTATTGATAGACAGCCGAACAATCGGCACTACTTCACTTTGGTATGCTTTTTCTTACTTTATAATACGTTTTGAAAAATACAAAACCATTTTTGAATATTCTCACAAGCCCGAAAGTCTTGTGTGCACTTATTCTGATAAATTTTATGTGGTTTCATACAAAATATTGCCCAATGTCCAATACAATGTGGTCCGTACAATTTTCAACGGTGTTATTAATTTCGACTATAGTTCGATAAAAATTAATTAGACTTACGTTCGAGTAAAGTGGATCGCCATTGTACTGAGACCGCTGCCTTTTCATGTCATCGTCCTGGTGGCCGTTGATGTCTCTGTTCTCATCTGAAACCAACGAAACCGATTAGAAGAGAAATCGCACGGAGCAAGATCTGCTTGTAGAGTATCGACGAACAATAACTGGGTGACGTTTGTTACGAGTGATTAATGGTACCGCTATTAACGACGTTTTCGATTGATCGTCTTTTGATTGCGATCGTCCTGGGCTCCGATTTGTTTACTCTCGCCCATCTGCTGAAATTAATCCCGCTTATACACGGGGGTGGAAAACCGATTAGGCGCCGTCTTCGGACCGGAAAATTGTTTGTTTTGCATTATGACGTTTCCAACATAAATAGACAAATCGAGATATCATTGTTTTGTTTTGACTGTGTTAATATATAAAATATATTTACAACACGTCCAAATTGAAAAAAAAATGGATACGGTTAAATGAAATGTGCAATAAATAAGTATACACAATGAACAGAAAATTTTAAAGATATCCATCACGATTTTTCTTTTATGACTTGTTTGTATTCCTCTACAGGATAAAGCAATGTTCTATGAAAAATGATTTTATTTTGGCTTTAAAATTTTGAAATGGTAAATTTGTTACCTAATTTGGAATTAGGTTATATAAACTTAGATCAAGAGAATTTTTCAAACTTTTAATGTATTTAAACTTCCTAGTTCGATGCAAAATTGAGGAATAGATACCCATGAGTACAGCCGTAACAAATTTTTCGAGCTAGGAATTTCTAAAATTGTGTGATAGATATATACCGATGGCAATAGGATAACCCTAAGTTTCTGAAACAGAGCTTGACAATGGTCTCTATATCCCGCGTTTGATATAATTCTAATTGCTCTTTTTTGCATAAGCAAAATTTTCTATCGTCCAGGCCCACATCCACTAACTTCGTAGATTTTCCTTGCGAAATATTTATATTAGTTGAAGACATTAAAGAGTTTCATCCTCATTTAATTTTAGGCCATTGTCTGTATACCTCTGATCGGAATTGTAGACTATGTTTCCACCCTAAGAGTTTTTATATTTGGGTGTGATGTGTTAAATGTAGATTCGCCTCCAACCGCGGCCGCAGGGTCTATATTAAAGAGATCATTAATATAAATTAAAAACAATAATGGAACCCTGTGAGAGTCCGTGCATTACCATTCGTAAATTTTACATTTTATTATTGCAAAATACTACTTGCTTTCTATGAGAAAGATAAGATGATATTACAATCAACGCAATGGGTTTCTAACCGTAAAAATCTAGATTTTTCAGTAAAACTGAATGACTGACACAACTATAGATGGTTGCAAAACCTCTGGACGTACTACAGTAAGAAAACAGCTATTTATTATGTCTGTCAACGGTAACATTATTACATTGCAACACTCTTTAATGATCCTACTATTCAAAAAATTAAATTATGGAAAATTTGAATGAACATTTAGGATTAATCAAGTTATGCATAAATTGTAATGGACTATGAGCTATTGTAGTAAAAAATATATTGAGATTGTCGAGGGATAAATCTTTCGTGACATTATATGTACCTGTTCTACACCTCTTTATTAATTCATTGCAAGGAGTCATTGTCATTCCTTTGAAGGTGAGAAACAAGGCGTCAGTGATGAAATTTAAAAAACTTTGCACTTCCGCCATTGTCTTAATGTTTCCCTTGCATACATTCGATTAAAAAAAAAAGAAGTTGGTGTTTAGTCCAAGCAGATGAAAGAAAGACAAGTTTGGTGAATATAACTAATGTAATAACGGCGTACTACTGGTACTTTTTTAGAATAATAAATATAACAATGATTCATAATTACAATTACTGTTTTCTAGCATGTTATCAGCATCCCGCATTGTTTCTTCCATTGTTATCAATGTTCGACGCAATTACTACATTCTCACGGGAGTCTCATTCCCTCCTGCAACAGTATTTCAACGTCCCTAATTTAAAAAGTGGTATCTCTATTCTTGCTCTATTAAAAACGATGCGCTAAAAAATCATCCTTTTTCATTTCAGACATTATTTTCTCCAAGGTAGATATTTCTTTTTTTAAGTTAAATTAGTGTATTATTCTTCTGACGGTAGTCTTTTAATCTACATTCATTACTTTCTTTTGTACTTCCCTTTGGTGTTAATTATCGTGCACAAGTCGATATAATGTTGACTGATTTTATACCCGCATTTTTTTATACAACAATATTTAAAAAATATATTTTAACCTGGCATTAAATGCATATGAAATATACATTTTAAATTTATTTTTTCGTAAATTAGAATGCAAAATATTGTATATAATATAACATATAACCATATTAACGAATCGCGTCACGTGAGCACTGGCCACGCGTTGAAACAAGAAACCAACCGCAGTGATGTCAACCATTTTTTCATTGTCCTTTAAGGCTATGTGCCTATTGAGAGTAATATAAAAATATGTTTCTGTAAAGTCCTAATTCACTGCAGAAAATTCGAAAAAATTAGCCTAATAAAAATTTATTTCGAAATTTTTTATTTTTCTTCGATCAAAATTTGTTTTAATATACTATTTCTTGCTTACATCAAATAAATGTGTGTATTTCAATATTTTAAATTATAAACTTGATGCTTTTTTGTTTATATTGCAAATAATTACCAAAAAAAAAAAGAATTTGCTTAGTTAATTATGTCAAATAAATATTTATTTGATTAAAACAATATCAGTATAAATAATTGAAACCCATTTTTCCAAATATCAAAAAAAAATTTTTTGTCGAATATCACTATTGTAGCGGTGATGTCCCAGATTATTAATATTTAATTTATAAATGAACCCTTTGAAAAGCGGCAATGTACTAAAGCAAAAAGCTAGAAAAATGATTTACTTGCGAAAATTTTCAAGTCCAGAAGTGCTTTGTATAATTTAACTTGTCAATGTGATGAGCATATTGGAGAGACTATACGTCCACACAAATATCTGACTAGAAGAACACATATTTGTGTGTATTGTCCACAGATAATTCTAATTAAAGAGGCAGCAAATTGTAACGACATTTTTAGCAACCCAACATGTAATTGTTAATATTTGTCAGCACACTGATAGTGGTGCAGTTGCAAGTATAGCTGCGGATAAATGATTTGTTGCCTTATTTAATTACGTTTATTCTCTTAAGAGGCACTAGAAAAAGTACGTGGGGAGGGAGGAGGGCGCAGGGAGGGGTAGAAAAAGAGCAACGTTAAATATCACTACAAAGGGACCGAACATCATACAAAAGGGCGACCCTCTGGGAAATCAAAAGCCAGTTCGTACGATCGGGGACTGTTTACAGGAAATTTCGACATTGTCGTTGGACGATTAAATGGTCGCCTTGGTTTGTGATTTTTACGACAACCCGAGTTAGATTTAAGAAGACATAAGCAAAAACAGTGAAACTCAAATTTTTTGCTGGTCGATTTTGGTCCAACTGCAGTCAAAATAAACTTTTTTGCCTATATTTGCAGTGAAAAGAGTCTCAGATCTGCAGATCCCTTCCATAAAGCTTATTTTCTGAAGAAATTTTCTATATTATACTTCACTTTGGAAACTTCTCACTTCAAACACTTTACAATGCCTGTTGCTGTAGATTTGTTTGCAGATTAACAAAAAATTCGGTATTTTGCATTTTATGTTTTTTTCTTTTTTCTTATTAATTGTTTTGTTTATTTTTCATTTGTTCTGCAGCTACGTTCTCTCATTTCGCAATAGAGACATTATTAAATTAATAATAATAATAATAATAAATAATATATGAATAATAATTAATAAACAGCTTTCAGTCTTGTAGTTATAAGAATATCAAACCTCCAATGATCAACCAAAAACCTCACATTCATTGCATTGAAGGCTCGATAGAATTTTTTTAAAAAGTCACTTAAACTCCCGTTTGTTGATCTTCTAACAAATAAGTCACAGAGTGGATATAAACATATACATAGAATAGAGTTTTTAAGTTTTTTAACAAAGAAACTCAATTTATTTGCAGCATTTGAAAATCATTAAAAGTTCATAATGCACTGAAAATAGGACTATGCAGTCCCATATTGGTTCTCGTGTTAATCTGATACAAATTGTTTATAATTTTCGTCTCATAGTTATGCCTTTAATTAGATAAAATTATTGGTGCCTTATATTTTTGTTCATTGTTTATTACTTTGAGTATTAATTATCATTGTCCAATTTGCAAAAGTGAATTTAAATTGAAGTGTTTGGTTATTTGTCTGGCGTAGTTGTGTTAGCCCATGATATTTGGATAGTATTTTTACTATTTTATTTTGTAACACTTTCATCGTTTAAAAAATTGCTTTGCTACAAGTTTCATCTAAGACATAAAAAAACCTTTTTTTTTCGATAAATAACGTCTAGTCTAGGTCCAGTTATTCAACTACATCAAAAGGCATTCTAAGATCTCTGAATACTAAAATAGCTGTCTTTTTGTCATCTAATTATTTTGAAATATGATTGACGAGATTCACAGTGGCACTTAAAGTGGTATTGTTTTTACGCAAACCATACTGGAGTTTGAAATGCTCCGTACACTGAGATTAGTCTATTATTAACCTTTTCTTTTTTGCTACCTGCTATAAAAACTGGGCTTATTTTGAACTCATTTGGAAACACACCTGTTGAAATCCCATAATTTGTTAGCTAAGTTAATTTTTTACCATATTTTCATTTAAATTAAATATGTCTCTGATTGAGACATGGTGCTGAGTTTTTTCAAGATCCAATATAATTTTCCAGATCTTGTTTTCATTGGTCAGCTTATTGTTCTTAGTAGTATTACCTGAGTATTAACCTCCTCAAACATTTTAATACCGTTAGGTCTTTCAATGGTGATTTCGTTTTTCAAGTCAGAAATAATACTAGTACCGATGGTAACAAAACGGAGACTTAGGTGATGAGCAATTTGCTTTTTCTTAATTCGTGTTTCATTGGTTTTGTCTTGAAGAAAGTTATTAACAATTTTAGTCAAAATTAACTTTTCCACCAGTTCTTATATTGAGAAAGCACCTCAAGCTTGCTTC